GGGGGGGGGCAATTATAAGGAAAAAACACACCAATTTCATAGATAGCGGTGACAGTGCCCTGCATTGTGGAATTGTCTCTCGTAGCTGTGAAGACATCGTTGAATGGGGCTGCGTTAATGATACCGCTCATGACACCCTCTGCATAGTACATTATAGTCACATTAGTGGATGGATCCAGTGTGTACGAGATGCACAAGTCATGGCTTGACTTACGGTCATAACCGAAGAGAAGGAAGCCCATAGTCGCAACGGTTGAGATGGACCAGGACAGCCTCTTGCCGGACATGCCGGCGAATTGGGGGACAGTCATTATTCCGGAACGAAAGAGCGTACCAGCTCACAGAACAACTGTAGAAAGAAGGGGTAAGATTATTATATATATAATACGTAGAACAGGCAAACAACCCTTACTTGATCGATCCCACCCTGTGAAAGCCGTGCGTTTGTTTTTCTCTTTCTTTTCTTTTTTCCTTCTCCTCGAACTAGTAAAACATGCGATAAAGTAAGGAGCAGGAAAAAGCAAATTTCAATGCGAATGGAGGAAAGGGCTTTATATTCACCCATGTTCCTCTTGCATTTTCCCGTTCTTTCGTATGGCATGTGGCTTTCGTCCCGAGGCACGGGAGAACCGTGGAGAAACCTCGTCGATGGATAGAGATATGCAACTCCACAAGAGCCTCGTGCCCCGGCACATACATAAAAGGGCGGCACATGGTTGACGCAGACAAGAATGTAAGTTGAACTCACATGCTGCCTCGAGCCGGTGAATCTCAGCCGCGGCCTGCGAGTGGTTGGTTGCTCCCCCAGATAAGCTTTGCTCTGGTCACCGAGTCCCCAGTGGGTGCAAGGTGCAGCTCCAGGCCAATCAGACTCTCCCAATTGGAGATAGTACCCCGCTTCCCGGCCCATCCCGCGCACTCCACAGCGGGCTGGCCTTAATCTTGAAATCTTATTTACGATTCTCTAGGTTTCTCCCTTCACTTTCCAGATTATTTATTTAACCACAGTAGTCCGTAGTCTCTTACCTAAGCGCTGCTAAGACTAAGACTGTCAATGTTTTCCTCATTCCGGAATACCTCCGTTTTCTTCCCGGCCATATGGGGTCTCCCTAGGTCTGCTCCCATATCATCGAATCTAGGGAGCGTCTCTTTTCACGTGAAGATTTCGTCGCACCACTACTATTTCGTCTCTTCGTTTGAGTAATGAATATAGTATACATCTGATATACCTCGGTTTCACTGTTCACTCGCTGGTCTTGCCGGAGAGAACAGGAAGTGAATTATTACTTGCTGTACTAGCAGCCAAGAACCAACAGTCCTAATCGATAACACTCACAAAGTAATGCTAAATTGACCTCATATAAGGAAGATGTCAATAGAACTAAATCACTCAGGAATGATGAGGTTTTTTCCCCCTTCTTTACTTAAACTTCATTAAAACGAGGAAAGAGGAAACAAGTGCTCATATCATATATCACAACGCCGTGGCCAAAGTAAATGACAGTTTCGGAACAAGGAATCCGAGAAAGAGAAAGTAAAGCAAGAGAAATGAACAAAAAAAAAGGTCGTATACATACATCATGACATGCATCAAGTCTGGAGAGTCACGTTTCGGCGACCAACAGCTTCTTCAATGTGGAATCCAAATACAAGTCTATACAAATCACGCAGCCACGTGTATTGTCCATTTTGAACCATTGACTGTACAGCCCGTGCTATATCAACAGCCCCGGCATGACCCGGTGCCCCCATCACTTTAAACGCGGGGTCCATCGTGACCAACTTTTTGTACTGTTCCAAGAGCGAGACCTGCCACGGCATCGTGCCAAACGAATCCGAAGAGAGAGATTTGCTAAACGAGGAGAGAGTCTGGGGTCCACCTCTTTGATATCCGGCATTCATGGCGGCCTTGGTGATTAGGAGCTTTAACCGTAGAATATTCGGATCTTCTGCCGTTGTGACAACGGTATTGGTCGAGGATGTATGCTCCGATGTACGGGATCGTCCCGACAATGTGGAGGAGGTAGATGACCATCTGGGTTGGCTGGGTTGAACTTGCGCATGTCCAAGGACGAGGATGTTGGGTATTGGCGCCTCGTCAGGTGAAACGGTCGCCGTGTCCTCGAATATGGTTGTTGGCGTCTCTGGGTTCATTTGAGGATCCATTTTCTCTTCAACCACCTCTACTGATGATTCCGTGGCCTTCTGCAATGCTTCAGTGAAGCTTATCTGGCTGGGCCTTGGGGTCCCCCGGTCAGGTCGAATCTGTGTCCAACCTTCCCGGAAAAGGTCGCAGAGCTCCCAGCAAGCTTGGATGGCTGATCCCAGAAGTTCCTCATCCGGGTTCTTGCCCTCCCGCTTGCTTTGACGAATACTGAAAAGCATCTCGGCTAGTGACCAGCAAGCATGCAGCAGCGAATCTGTCTCTTCTTCTAGATGCATCCGCTGTTTCATAAGTCGATGGCATAAGGTAATATAGAAATCAAGAGTGCGCTCCCGAAACACGGGTGGCAAAGTATGATCACTGGCATTGTAAAGATGGTTATTGAGCTCGAAGCTGACTCGTAAAACAGAGTCTGCGTCTTCATTTACTCTCGCACGGACTTCGAATAACGCCTGGCAAAAGTCTCGGCACAAATCAAGCGTTGGGTCGACTTGCGACGCATAGTCGTCATCCCGACCCTCATATAGCTTTCGACATAATTTCCAGCATGACTTCCAGGCTAGTTCCTGCATGTCACCTTTACTTGTGGAGTTGAAAAGCCTCTCGCGATGATTGGAGCTCAAGTTAGCAAGTGTATTGCAAAATGTCCAACATTCATCGAGCGCAGTCCATAAAGCAGCAGTCTCGTCTTCTCGAGTTTGAATGGCGTTTGAAACTGAAAATCGCTTTCTAGATACATCGGCTGCATTATTTAGCATTGCGGTTGGTGACGACGATGCTACTGTTGCTGTCATCGGTGCATCAGTGTCAATACCCTCGGGTATATCTAGATAAACATCAGCAAAGCATCCATGAACCACAGGGGGTTTTAAAACCCACCCTCCAAGCTGGTAGAATGAGGACGTCTATCAAGATCCTCTATTTCCTGCCGCGTCTGCGCGCGAGGTGTCGCTCTGTCTGATGACCAGTCTTTCAAGGGAGGAATGGCTGTCGTGATCGGAGGCGGAGATGCGGGGCTGTTGGCAGCTTTCTAAAACAATGGAAAAGCATATGTAAGTCATTAGATGCAACCCGTTTGTTCGAAGAAATAACTGCTGACCTTTTCTGTCCCTTGTGGCTTCATCATTATCGTCTCTTTTAGTTTCATATCTCCATCGCCTGGAGTCGGTTTCCCGTCATTCTGGGAATGGACTTGATTAGGCGCTGTTTTCTAAAGCCAATAAAATTAGTCCCTTATTTTAAGCCAACCCAGGGCGCAGAATCGCTCACTCCTACGAATTCACCGAATCCAGCCGGTGCATGAATAACAGATTGAGGAGCATCATCATCGGACCGGGGAGTCGAGCCAAAGGCCGGGGCACTTGGAGTTTTTATCTGCAGAAAAGAGGGAGACCGTAATTAGTACGCGATTAGTACGCGATGTTATCCAAAGTCATACCGATCTTCGTCATTATGCTCACTTACAGTAAGTTCGTGTTGGTATGCAGAGACTCGCTTCCCATTTGCCATCGATGGAGGCCTTGATGGTGTTGTCTTGGAGACTTGAACCGCCGACTCATCGACATCTGTGATATTGGAATCTAGGTCGTCCGATGAAGCTTCTTCGGCTTTGATGGTAATATTTTTATCCATCGTGACAACGGAGGCTGGAGCAACCTGGTTACCTGACATAACGCCGAACCTAGGCATCTCGTTAGTAGGCTGTAATAAATCGCATGCACTCTTTCTGACTCCCGACTAGGCAATGAGATCTTTACATTGAGTTTTCAGATGCCGTAGACCCTGACTGACTCGAGTTCCGGCGGTGTGTCCTCGAGGGCCCCAGCTTACTCAGAGACACAGATATCAATGGGGATTTCAAAGTAATCATTGCATGAATGATGGCTAGTAAAGAGAAGAGAGTATGAATGACGGTTTTCGTAGATTCCAAGTTTCGGAGATGGATTGTATTCAAGCGACTGAAACACTTACCATAACACTATATAATTTGCGCACTTTCGCACTGCTGTGCGTCACCGCAACGAGAAGACGTGTGTAGAATGCGCCTTGTCCAGCTGCTTAAGTAAAGAACTGAGGAATGGTTGGATGTCGTGCACCGTTTCTTGTGAAGAAGGCTTCAACCTAATCGCCGTACGGAGTAGGTACTATCTCAGACAAGTAATGCGCATGACTCGCTTCTGCTATTGAACCTGCTCACGACATGACATATTCCGAGAGGAAGAAAAGAGAGTCGGAGTGAGGGGCGTCAGGCTGTAGCTCCAGCAGGCAAGCTGATGTGTTGTGGCATGCACCGAGAGGGAGAGCTGGTCCAAGTCTTGGACTCTGCGGATGGATCGACGGAGAGGGGGCGGACAAAGACGGGCCTCAGGCCGCGGCGCCTGCGCTGTGACAGACGTGCATTAAGGGCTGCCATTGGCCCGCGGGTTCCCAAGGCCCTGGGTTAGCCGGCCCGGACGGAGCTGCCATTGGCCCACGCCGGCACATAAGCGCCACTAAAATAGCGCGGTTTCCTATTGGAGACTGCAATGTAACTATAGGACGACGATGGGCGACAGCACAACGACTAGCAGCACACCGGCTAGCCGGGAATAGGCGCTCGAGAGATCTCGGAACAAAGTGGCTGTAGACTGAAACGAGGCGTACTTGACTATGAGAATGTATGGAGTACGTGATATATATATATAGTATGCCACAACTTTTTTGAAATCGAACTGAACCTATTTATATAACTACGTGACAAGACATCTGATTACAAAACGCCAGCCCTTTCAAAGGCAGATGCATAAACAAAGCCAAAGCTTCAAACAAGGCAGAATCCACAGCGTATTGTGTCTCAGGAACTCGAGACGAGCGAACTGATAACATCCTTAAACAGCGCCGTGGCAGGCGGCAGTGCAAAAGGCGGAGCACGGTCGAATATTCCCCCAAGGCTCTGTAATGTGAGTGTCGAAGAAGCTTGTTGGGCTGCAAAACTTCGGCCTTCCAGCACTTTCTGGCCTAGACGGCCAAAAATATCACCCAAGCCAGCAGCCGCAGTGCGTTGTTCATTTTCGTCCGCGGGCAACGCGAGCGCCTGAGACCTGCTGTTTCCACCACCGAGTCGCCAAATATTGGCTGCATGGTCTATAACAATGTAGCCTCCAGTGCTTGGATCGGCTAGCAATTGAAGCGGAGGTTTTTCCAGCACGGTTTCGAATAAAGTCGCCATGGTGGAGGGGCTGTACACGGCTATGCCGTAAACCGAGTTGTGGCCCTGCGGATTCACTAGGCCTGCCATGCGGGTCACAACTGCAAAAGTATTTTTAGTGGAATCCACGGCTAGTGCGATGTATTTATGAGAGGATCCTTTGCCCGCCATGTCTGGTTGCACGGGAGTTCTGAGCACATTATCGACGACATCCCATATGGTAAGGGACAGTTCTGACAGGATAACTAGAGAGCGTCCTAGCCACCCGATGGTTCGTATCCTCTCGGAAGTGAACGCATTACGACTGCAGTTGACGGTCCACTGCCGAGAGTCAATAAGATGAACGACGTTCTTCACGCACACAGCAACAATGGATCCATCTTCAGAGAAACTCATCACGCGGCTGGGCAGCTTATAGTTAGCATCATTCGCAGTGTTCCTCCCAGTCAACTTCACTGAATGCTGGCTCTTCCAAGTATGCTCCACGAAATCCGAACGATTTTGAGCTCTCGAAGAGCCCCCATGACGCAAAACAGGTTGCCAGACTCTGAGCGTACCATCCCCACCAAATGTGACAAATTCAGATCGGTCCGGTCGAGCCTTAAGAGAAAGGACTTTGGCGGGCTCGCCAGATGCAGCCACATGAGGAGATTCAACCCGCGCAGCTAATTCCCAGATCTCGCGCGCTTCACTCCAACGCCAGAACTTCAAGAATATCTCACTTCGTTGCACGTTGCTGGAGTGAAGAGCAGACGATACCGCTTCGACGTCTCGCTGCGACGGAGTCCAGGTATCGACAGTAGCAAGCCACTCTCCGTTCATGCCAAGCTCCATCAGTTCCACACTTGGCGGTAGAATTGGCGTTCCTTCGGGGCCTTTGTTCAAAGTAGTAACGTTTGTCCTTGTAAGAGCCTGTCGAGAAATATGGGACCCAGTTTGGATATTGAATGTCTGAAGGTACGAGAGGCTTTGAGAGTCGCCATCGGGAATTGCTACTAATAATCGCTCAGGCTGGAGGGGATGAATGACAGCGGGATATTTCCCTTCCAGATTCCGAGTAGCGGCTTTGTCGTTGGTGTCGACCAAAGATGGCAATTGTAATCCATCTATAGTGGCCACCGAATGCAATTCGGTTGCTGAAATCACGGTGATAGACTTGTCCGCGAGCTGGACTGCATACAAAGCACCGCCCGAAGAAATTGTGATGCTGCGAATAGGTGATGGCAAATGCGGCAAGAAGTTTCGACGTCCAGAATCAAGCTGCCAGAAGACGATGACAGACTCCTTTCCTCCTGAAATAATATAGTTTCCTGCTTATTATCAGCTTCGCGTACATTTCCTTTATAGGTTATTTAACTAAACATACCGTCTCGTGACCATCGAAGAGAGGCGACGGGCTCACGGTGCCAATGCAACCGTTGAAGCAGGGGTAGACCAGCACCATCACCACCGATTAAATTGAGAGCATCGTTATAAACGAGAATGGCCCCAGATGCATCGCCAACGGCTATGTTAATTGACGTAGCCACATTCGAGTCTTTTCCAGCAGTGGCAGGACGAGTCTCTTGAACATCCAGACAAGTAATTTGTTTCACGGGGAGCCTGAATTCTCTCCACTCATATTCATTGTTTTGTCCCTTGTTACCGGATGATGGGCGCAAAGTGCCGATGATGATATGCTGGCGACCACACGCAACAACGACTTGCCCGCCTTGAAGAACTCTCAATTGATTGATATAGTTCGTGTTCTGCAGTATAGTGATATCGGCTGAATTTTGCCAGGCTGCATTCGTGATTATGTTGCATCGTCCTTTTGTCTCTTTAACGGCAAAATATGTCATGCGCCCTTCTTCTTCCTCTTCTTGAGCTTTGACGGAAACGATCTCATACGTGACCACTTTTAAGAAATCCGACCGAGTCGTGACTTCTTGACTGGTTTCCCAATTCCATCGTATGAGTTTGCCCGACGAGGTTGATACGTATATATGTTGAGAGTCCGACGAAGCAAGCTTTAGTCCGGTTACATGCGAGGCATCTCTTGTTGTGAGGGTCTTGACTGGTCGATGCGTTGACATGGAGTATACCTGAATAGCATCTCCGCGGCTCAAGAAAAGATATCTATGCAACAGTTAGCAACTTATGTTATATTTAAACCATGCAAAACCCGAGCGGAACGAACGTACTTCTCGTCTGTGGAGAAAATCGGGTCAAGGTCATGAATATGGCCTCGAAACATGAGGTCAAAAGACCAGTCAGACGACGCTTTGACTGCTACCTCTAGCATATTCGACGAAGGTTCGGTGGCATTTTTCCTGTGCACAATTTGTAATTCTTGATCGGTCTTGAGACGTTTTGGTCGGGACGGCGAGTCAACAACTTTGACGTCCGTGGGCCGCTGTCGCTTGGCCGGTTTCCCTAACGGGGACATTTTTGTTATAAAAGACGTGTAGTCACACCAGAAAGGGGAATTGGGCTCGACAGCGAAGATTCCGTTAACAAGCAAAAAGTAGAGTGTTTGTATTCGATCAGTTTTCAAAATCTTTTGATAAAAAAATAAGTGGGGATCTCTAGCAGTATTGGACTAGCGCCTTGGCGGCCCGTCGGCCAATGATATAACGGTATCAGCTGGTATTAGCGCCGATGAGAAATTCTGGACGGGACCAAGACTCAAAGAAAGAATTTGGTTAACTGCTGTTGCTTCATTTTCCTCTCTTACTCTCATTAACCCATCTCGATAACGCAATCTTATACCTATTTAACTATTTTTTGGCCAAGCGAAGACCGAGCGTAAAAATGATCATTCCAGTTCGTTGCTTTTCTTGTGGCAAGGTAGGTCCGGCGACTGTTTCTTGATTATTGCTAGCTGCGAAGTCAAGACACTCATCCTTTATCTGCATTTGCATAGGTTGTCGGTGATCTATGGGAGCGATACTTGCAGTTACTCGATGACGGCGTTCCAGATGGGTAAGCTTTGAGCCGTTTGGAAGTACCTGCCAGTTTTCCTACTGACTGCGAATAGTGAGGCTATGGATCAACTAGGTTGCAAACGTTACTGCTGCCGACGAATGATCATGACACATGTTGACCTGATTGAGAAACTCTTACGGTATATATAAAGGGCTTATCTGCAAATTTGAAGGAGATGCTAATGAAGGCACAGCTATAACTCTTCGGAGCGAGAGAAGGCCAAGACTCAAGCCTAAAAAAGAAGAAAAAACCGCACACTTTTTTACGAACTTTTACGAACTCGAATGTAAAAATATGGAATGCATGATAAATGGATTGATTGGTCTACTGCACTTTTGGACTCAGACAAATCATGAAAGATGCTTTTTTTGCGTGCATGTGGTTTAGATAAGCATCCAATTCGTGATCCTCCTCGATCAAAAAAGATACTTCGCCTCCTCTTTCATCCTTCTCAATTCCCTCGATCCTTGTCACAATAGAATCGGGATATTTCGTTTGGACAAGGCTTTGAAGCTCCACCAACGACGGTGAAACCAACTTTCCGATCCAGGTCCTTGATGCAGTGTGAGCCTGGCTTTGCGGGCTGACACGGAAGTAAACGGGTATCGCAGGGCTTTGGAGCAGAGTGTCGACATAGTTGAAGGTCGGGTCACCATTCTGCTGGAGAGCTCGCGCAAGTGACGTGTCGTTGGCCGCTTGGAGTAGTGAAGGGTCTATTTGCATCTCACCAAGGTCATTTGATGTTATCGATGCACTGGCAAGCGCTTCGGAGGCTAAATTGCTTATTCCATGATTATATGCATTGGACGTACTGTTGGAGCGTATCTGATTCTGCTTTGAAACCGAACGCTTCCGTAGTGGATCACGCTTTGCTTGATCATCTCGAAGGCGTTTCATGACATCGCGACAGAGGACTTCAATGGCTTTGACTTTGATGTTATGATTAGGATCTGATAGGCCGGGGGCCAGGATTTGTTGCAATAGTTCTGATTCTTGAATCCATCCCTCTTTGAGTTCATTCCAGTGCTCGTCTCCTGCTTCCAGCTTGCTAGTAAAATGATCGGCCTTTAATGTGCTATAAAATGCATGCCGAATCTGCCGACTCTCTTCGGGATTTATGCCTAGCGCGTTTTTGGCCTCTGCAATGGTCATACGACTCTCTAGAGTCCTCATGCGTTTTGTGACATCTGTACAAACAACATCCAATGCAAGGCTTTTTGCCTCTAGCTGATTCGAGTCCGGCATGCTGGGATCTACGTAGAAAACACTTCTTAAATGCGGCGATTCGCGGATTAGCCTATTCTTGGCTTCCTGCCATCGCTCGGGCCCAGCCACCGTCTTCTTGAGGAACCCTGCCTCCTGGCAGATTTTCTGAAACTCGTCACGTATTTGGCGATACATCGCCGCGTCCAGGCTCAGATATTGCTTGCTTTCGTCAATGGTCGTTTCTGAGGGAAAACGTGGCGGGCCGGGAGGATCAGCTGGCAAGCCAGCCCAACCGCGCGTGCGGCGGCGTCGCTTTCGAGTAGCCCAGCGTTCAGCACTCTCCGCCTGTAACCGTTCGAGGCGTTCCTTCCTTTTGGCGAGAACTTCAGGGGACAGGCTTGGCGAAAAGGGCGATAACGTCGACGGTTGGTCAGTCAGCGATTGATTGTCGTTGGACAGCTCATGACTGTTGTACATTTCCTGCTGCAGCGAGAGTACGCCTTCTTCTACGGATGTCTCGACTGGGGGCTGGGTCGTCGTCGACTGTGACTTCATGCCATTCGGAACACGGAGAAGCCATCGGTTTTTGGCGCGGACACGCATCAGCTCCCTCTCCTTGATGTCAAACCCCTCATTTTTCAGGATATTCAGCATGTCCCGTTGGCAAACATTCCGCTCCCAGAGTTCCTTGATGCGAGAGACCAGTTGGGCGTTCTTATGCGCGGGGTTTTGCTTCGAGGGGAACCCCCATCGCTTGAACTGCGTCTGGAAGGCACGCTTACTGTTTGAGAAGCGCATTAGATTAGTTTCGAGCGTCAATCAAACACGATGACTTAATATCTGCTGCATACCTCGGCGCGAATTCATACGTATTCTTCATAAACTCCATAATCTCCTCCAGGCCCTTCCTATCAACAATGTACATTTGGTAACATAGCTCGCGCTTGCCTTCCCAGTCGTAGACCATCTTGACCGGCAGACTGACAGTATGGTACGCCGTAGTTTGTCGCTGGAGTCGCAGCAGCTCTTAGGCGTGAGAGAGTGCGGAGAGACCAAAGGCGCAGTTCCGTTGCCTTCCTTCCAGCCGGGGGGCGGGTTGCGGTTGCCGCGGTCGCTGCCGGGTCACGTGCCGCAGCGACAATTCTTACCCCGACAGGACAATGTTCATTGTCATCATTATTTTATGCAGGACATCACATTGCATCGCATTGACTCGCGCATTCCATTCAATCCCACCAAACGCCGAGGCTGGTATTGACAGATGGTAAGGTGAACTCAGGAGGCAACGCAGCTAACTAATGATTAACTAATGATTACTTTGCGACTAGCGCAGCGGCTTCACTCTCCTTATCCTATCGATAGGAGGGACCGCGCCAACTCTCTCAACCCGTTATTTTCTCCTCAATTGCAATAGGGATGTCGACCGGGGCATGGTGACTATGCCTGGACTCAAGTCGTGATATGCGTGATTCTGGAAGCGGGAAATTTCTGTCTGCTGCTACGTGCTCGTAATGTTCGCAAACACAGCTCACAAGTCATGGCGGGATCAGCATTCTGGGAAGTCGTCTCCTGACTCTTACAGGTATTCGTCCAGTTTGAGCTCCCAAGTGGCACTCGACACGCCGAGTTCAGAGCCGGTGACTCCAGTCGAGGGGCCGCTCCTTGTGCTGCCGAAACGACGAGGCCAGAATGCAAAATCCAGCGCCAAACCGCACATTCGAAACAAATCCCGCGAAGAACGGTCGTCGACCTCCATCGATCTGTCGCGATCCTCCATTGAGCTCGAGGGGCTCGGAATTTACACGAACCTGGAGAGGGATACGCGGTTCCATCAAAACCGTAACAGTGTCTCGAACCTCCACAGATCCGTTAGCCAGATCTCGTCTTCACCGAGTATAACTAGATTAGGTCAATCTTATGTGCACCCGCGGCGCCAGCTTCCAACAGCAAGCGCTCCGCAAAACATAGGGCAGCGCCACTCCGTGGATGAACGGTATTTCACAACTGTGAATCGAAGCTTGACGGCGATCGGTAGCACGGCACTTTCCATTCCAGACGACGACTCCGCCGACGACGACACCAATTCTCCGGAAGAAGCGGAAACACCGGGGGCGGTCTCGATAGATTATCGACATTCAACACCAGTAATACTTCAAAGGGCACACACGGATACAGCAATTAGCAGCGGCATATCTTCCTCTTGGACGCCGTCTGAACACCTATCGTCCGCAGAGTTAACATCACATGCAGCCGCTGTACGCGCTGCTCGAATAGCATTTGCGAAGAAAGAAGCTACAAAAGCACGAAAAATCGAAGAGCAGCAGAAAAAGGCACAACAGCGCGGTGAGCGCCGACATCAGCGATCAGTTAGTCATATGGTAAAACCGCCACCAGCAACTGCCAACAAGAAACAGTCAGAGCAGCAACAACAACATCATCGACGTGCAGTCAGCGAGGCTTTCCCACCTCGCGCGTCATTCACAGAAAATGATCTAGCAGAAGAAAATTCCAACTTGGAAGAAGGGGTAACGACGACGACGGCGGCTACTACTACCACCACTACTACTCTTACTCCCTTGGGCCCACCAAAGCTTCCAGCAGCAACCAAGCACAACTGGAACAAATTCCTTACCTGGGGGAAAACACGCTACTACAAAGCCAAGAGAAAAGTCTCCATGCCTGTATCGACAGCGGCGACTTATAGGTGATTTATCTCCTTGTCTCGGTCATTTTCTTACCTGGAGTAAGACATAAAGAAAGACCCTTCTTTACACAAGAAGCCCCTGTTGTATATAATTTGATAGCGTTTTTCTTTTCTTTTGTTTTATTAGCATTCGCGGGCATTCTGAGAGGGATCTGCTGTACATAAGTCCCATCATCAAGTGAAAGCAATTCAACCAGCATAATTCAGTTTACACGTAGGATTGGACGTAAACAGATATCTAGGTCCAATTTTTATATTACAGGAATGCACCCACAGCTTGAATCTCATCTTATCTACCATTCTTTGATCTCCCCTGGCAATGGCGCTTCCACCCTCACGGTCTTGTCGCAGTTGAGCAGACACAAAGGATCCAAAGCGAATTTCAGCTATAAGCAAGGTATCGATCAGTAAAAGTTATCATCAATGGTACTAAAATAAAGGTGATTTCCTCATACCTGGCGCATGACATCCACGGCTGTTTCTCCAAGCTCATGAGTCAAATAATCCCGCTTGATCAGCCCAACGCCATGCTCTCCAGTGACTGTTCCTTCCAGTTCGACGGCATTTTTCACCATGCGATGCACAACCTCTTCTGCGAGAGATTTCTGCTTGTCATTGAAGAGAATGATGGCTTCGGAAGGGGAGTGGTCAGAAAATGGAATCGCAGTGAAAATGGTTGGCAGACTCACCGTGGAAATTACCGTCTCCCACATGGCCACAAATACCAGCCAGCAGCCTACTCTGAGTCAAGTCTCGCTTCGTCCTTTCTATGATATCCGGCATCTTGCTGATCGGTACAGCGACATCGGTGGTCCACACATGGTCACTGGGGTTTCTCTTCATGGAAATGACACTCCATAGAGCCGCCTTGCGCGCACTCCAGAGCTCCTTCATTTCTGTATCGTCCCGGGCAAACTCAAAGGTCTTTCCTCCTGTGCTTTTCGAGAGCTTCTGGACTATGCCTATCTGCTCTTTTACTCCAAGCGGGGTGCCGGCGAATTTGAAAAACAGCGTTGGAGCCTCTGCCCACTCGCGCCGGGTTGACTTGCTTGCATTGATGCATTTCATCTGCACGTCATCGAGGATCTCCAGGCCGGCGATGTGAATGCCTTCCTCGACAACCCTCCGAGCGCAATCGGCGGCTTGCTGAACGGTCGGGAAGCTCGCTACGGCCACGCTTTCGCTCTTCGGCTTCACGGCCAACTTGAGGGTTGCCTCTGTGACGAGACCGAGGGTACCCTCGCTGCCAATGAAGAGTTTTGTCAGGTCGTATCCAGCACTAGATTTCTTGGGTCGCTGTCTCGTTTTGATGACTGTCCCGTCGGCCAGGACTACGGTCAGAGAAAGAACCCATTCCCTCATCGTCCCGTATCGGTACGCATTGGTGCCCGAGCAGCCTGTGCCAACCATGCCGCCAATCATGGCGCCGGGGCCTGGATCGGGGGGGAAGAACAGACCGTCTTTGGCGACTTCCTCGTTCAACTCTTCCCAGCCTACAGCAGGCTGCACAACGACGTCTAGGTCGTCCTTGTGAAAGGCCAGGATACGGTTCATCCGTTGAAAGTCAATGCACACGCCACCTCTGGTTGGGGCATAATGACCTTCCAGACTGGTTCCGCCTGAGAACGGCGTAACGGGTATCAACCTCTGATGACAGATCTTCATGATACGCGACACCTCCTCGGTGGTTGACGGGTAGACAACGATGAAAGGCTTTTCGCTGTCCTTGACAGAATACGTCGAGAATTCCGATCCGGAATGGGAGTGAAGATCGAATTCGTCCGTAGATACATTCTCCTTGCCCACTATGCCTACAAAATCGGCCCAAGCAGCTTGCAGATTCGAAGACGTGGTATTGTGTTTGACAGGTCTCGCGTCGGCGAGAGGAGTCGTCGACGACGATGCCGGAGCATTAGGCGTGAGGGAGCCAAAGTAGTATCCGCCGGTGGTGAAAAAGACCAACACTAAGAGAAAAAGGTATTAGTGAGATAAATCCCTTATATTGCCGTATTCGTATCAGAAAACACACCAAACGTCAACGCCGCATATCGAGCGCCGGGGGACTGTGTCTGATATTGCGAGAACCGTTCTTGCTCGGCGCGCTCTCTTTTCAGGCGCTGTTGCGTGCTCTCGTACAATTGGCCCTTGAAGGACGGCCTCTGCTGCTCATCTCGGACAGGCTGCGAAGAGGCAAAATTGCGACGCAGCAGGGGAGATGCTGCATGCTCGGTGTGGTGATGCAATGGTAGCGAGGGACGACAAAAATATTGAGCGGGCGCCGGGGCGGGCCTGACTCGGAGGGCTGCGCGCCTCATGGCGACTATCAGTTGTGATCACAGCGAGGAGTCTGCAGTCCTGTCTATGCAGAGATTGGACGTGGTCTTCAGTGAACTCGCGATGCCGGCGGACGACGAGTCGAACAGTTAAATATCGCCGTCTCTTGGCGGGCCGCGTTGGGCTTAGCTGTACGTCATTTTAGTGCTGTATGAGCTGCTGGCCTAGAATGGCAAATTCCTGACTATCTCATTGCTACCTATAGTCGACTACCAGTATATCGCCCAGAGCTCGAATTGAAGCTCTCCGTGTGCATACTCGACGATGTCTCCAGCTCTCCGGTTAATTAGCACGGTTAAATGGTAATTCAGGCGTAATGCGCGGATAACTCACATGACATCCATGATCTGAGGGGCTGTGGCCAACGCATATAAAACTCTCTGTCTCTCTCTGACTTCTCCTGGACATCGCCCAAATATCCGTTATCCAGGCAAGAAACGAAGGATCCATCGCAATGTCTCTCGCCGAAACCAAGGCAAGTCAATTGTGCCCCGCCGTACTATGTACATGTAAATATCTAGGTGTCTGTGCTTGAGGTCTAACAGCGTGCAGAACCTCTCCTTCGTCCTCGAAGGCATTAAGAAAGTGAAATTCGAGGAACGGCCCATCCCCGAAATCATTGATCCCTACGACGTCCTGATCAACGTCAAGTACACAGGAATATGCGGCAGTGATGTAAGTTGATCGCTGAGCGTCAAGCGTTCACACGAATTGACATAGAAAATGAATATATATAGGTCCACTACTGGGAACACGGCTCAATCGGCGACTTCGTCGTCCGCGATCCCATGGTCCTCGGCCACGAATCCTCCGGCATCGTCAGCAAGGTCGGCTCGGCAGTTACCACGTTGAAGGTGGGCGACCAAGTGGCCATGGAGCCTGGCATCCCCTGTCGCCGCTGCGAGCCCTGCAAGTCCGGCAGATACCATCTCTGTCTGTACATGGCCTTTGCTGCCACGCCGCCCTACGACGGCACGCTGGCCAGGTACTACAGACTGCCGGAAGACTTCTGCTACAAGCTGCCGAGCTCGGTGTCCCTCAAGGAAGGGGCGCTCATCGAACCGCTCGGCGTAGCTGTGCATGTCATCAAGCAGGCAGGCGTCGTACCGGGCAACTCTGTGGTGGTGTTTGGCGCGGGCCCCGTGGGCCTGTTGTGTTGCGCAACGGCAAAGGCATTCGGAGCCAGCAGAGTCATAGTCTCCGACATCCAGCAGAGCAGATTGGAGTTTGCAAAGAAGCATCTCGGGGTCGACACGTTTTTGCCTGCACGAGTGTCTGCCGGGGAGAATGCAAATCGCCTCAAGGAGGAGAACAATCTGAGTGCCGGCTTCGATGTGGCCGTAGACGCATCGGGCGCAGAACCTGCTGTGCACACGGGAGTGCACGCCCTCCGGACCGGCGGTACGTATGTCCAAGCCGGCATGGGCAAGTCCGAGATGAATTTCCCGATTATGACGGTGTGTGCCAAGGAGTTGAACTTCAAGGGAAGCTTCCGGTACGGTAGCGGAGACTACAAGCTCGCAGTCGAGCTGGTGGCCACGGGCAAGATCAGCGTCAAGGAGTTTATCACTGCTGAATTCAAGTTCGAGGATGCCGAACAGGCATATATTGATATGAAGTCGGGCAAGGGGATTAAGACTATCATTGCCGGACTGTAAATGAGAAGAAGAGCACATGACATGACGTGACGAAAGTGTTTATTGTATTAGGGTGTGGAGAAAATAATAAATAATAGATTTCCAGCTTATATCACAATGCCAAAACGTATGTATAGTTGAGGGCAACAAAAAGAAAGAAAGCTCTGACAGGGGTATATGTGTGTAAAAGAATGGAAACGCCGAAGAACAGACAGCAAGAACTTCAAGGACGTCGAGTAGGGTATTGAACTGGAGATATAGTCAGAAAGAAGAAAAAGTAACAAGCCACCAACCTAAGGAAAGAAGGAAGGGAAGAAGAAAGAAAGAGAGAGGCGTATCAACAACAACCCCTGTTACTCCTGCGCGTTGATCCTTGTATTCGAAAGACATCCCCCCATTCACCGGCAGCGCTCGCCCACGAACTCTGCTGCCGATTCCACTTCCTTCTACTATGCAGCGACTGACCGCCTGCATTATCATCAACAGTAAGCCCACTGCGAACACTGCCACCATCACTAGTCCCAAGCGGCCACGTTCCCGAATCGCCATACTGAATCCCGCTTTGCGGATCGTCCGGATCGATCTCGCCGAGCTCGATTTTGGTCAGGATGATGCGCGCCAGGCGCGTGAAGAGCTCCTCGACGTTTTCGCCCGTTAGCGCCGAGACCTCCACGGCGACAGGGATGTTGGATCGGGTTGCCCATTCCAAGGCCTCGAGATCACTGACCTGCCTGCCGTGCGAGGTTGTTGTCGCTGTCAGGCGGGTGCCGGCGGCATAGTTTGTGCTGGCGACGGAGCGAAGAGAACCGGCCCCTCCGCCTACCGCGTCATACATGAACGAAGATGAATGCTTGCTGCTTGAAAAGCTATTCGAAATCGAAGTCGACGAGGGAATGTCATCTTCAAAGCGGTCGCGGTCATCGTCATCGTCATCGTCATCGCCATTGTTCTCAGACAATAGATCCGTTTTATTCCCAGCCAAAATCGTCGTAAGATTCGGCGACGCCAGGGCACGAGCATCCATCAGAAAAGTCGAAAGCGCCGAAAACGAGGTATAGGACGAAACATCATACACGACTATAGCGCCCGCAGCACCGCGGTAATACGATCTCGAGACCGAGCGGAACCTTTCGGTGCCAGCGGTGTCCCATAGTTGCAGTTTGATTCGTTTCCGACGAGAGCCTGATCCGATTTTCACGATTTTCGAGGAAAATTCTACTCCGATTGTTTGAGAGGATAGGACTCGCCCTGGTACGGTTAGTCTATCAGTGTCGTGGGAGAGAAAGAGAGAGGTAGGGCGTACATTCATCCTTGACAAAGCGATGGAGTAGACAAGACCTGCGGAAAAAGAGCAATTGTAAGCAACCAAACGAACCATTGGCGGATATAAAAGTGTAGAACGCACTTTCCAGTGCCACTCGGCCCTATCAGAATGACCTTTGCCAGGTAGTCGTACATGGTCTCAAGCTCCTACGACAGTTCCATGTTTAGCAGAGACTCGGGCACACTTCACATGCAAGTTGTTGGGCTGACCTGATGATGCCGGTCCGGCAGGGAGGACGCCGAAGAAGCGTTTGAGGGTTTCCGATGACGGGGCATTGCGAGTCATGCCTAAGCAAGAGGAGAAGTAAAGAAATAGCAAGACGACTTTTATTCAACGACAAGCAAAGGAGAGTGTTTTTGTTGTAGACAGTTCCGTAGTAACAGCAAGTTAGATAGGACCGCCTCGGCATGCCGGCGCCACGAGCTAGCAAGCCCGCACGCCCCACCAGAAACAACATCATCAGTTCCGTCACGGCAGCAAAAGCCCCTCGCGCTCAAACCTCGCCTCAAACTCAACTCCACCGAATATGCCAACAGCAGCGTACAGATCGAAATCGCCCTCCAGCCCCTGCACGCCGCCAGCCTCCGAGTCGAGTTGCTCGTGCAAATCCCAGCTCCCGGCCTCGAATCCATTGCGCGTGAAGAACACTCTGACCCTCGAGTTACAACCAGGCGAAGCAACGAAAAAAGTCATCCCCAAGCCCACCGTCTCCCCCTCGCGAAACGGCTCAGTGAAGCTCTTCCCACCAAACGAATCGTTCACAAACCGACACCCATCGTCCGAAAACACTCCAACACTAGCCCGATCCCACCCGGGCGAACGCCAGGATGGATACGGCTGCGCTACAAACCCGATGGAAAGCCCGTTTGCATCACCGCCGTTACTATTTCCCGTCTGCCGCTGAATCCGCAAGATCTTAACCTCGAAATAGATCGTCTTATCGCGTCCCGTGACCGCAGGCGAGTCTCGCAGCGCGTAATACAGCGGTAAGATGGAGATGAGCGAGCAGTCGCGGCAGTGCTTGTCGCTCTTGACTTTCCAGCGGCCGGGGTGTCGAGTGTCTAGACTGCCGCGGTATTCGATGGGTTGTCCTGGTCGGATTTCGCCGCGTAGTGTGCTGTTGTAGATGGCTTCTGAGGGCTGACAACACCATCAGTAAAGATTGCTAGTCATGTAGCAAGGCGAAAGGGCTCACCTGAACAGGCCTCCATAACGGTCTCGAAGTACAAAACTCCTTCGCACGATCTGTAAATCCGAACTACGTTAACAAAGGAATAAATCCCGCTCGTAAAAAGAACAGGAAACAAACCGGCATCGTCGCCCGAGGCATTCCCCGTCTCAGAGGCAAAATGCGATATCGTCGGCGGAGGGGCCAAGATGGCCGTGTCAGGGACTTGTTCTTGCCAATTGTGATAGGGAGGAGGGTTGCTGCTGCTGTCTTGATAGCCTGGAGGGGCCCCTGGAGGTGGTCTATACATGTTGACTGTCTTGAGTAGAATCAATCGTGGGGTTCCAAGGTTTGGGGAAAGCGAACGTGGTAAAGTTATGTGGAACAAACTTCAGGACGAGTTTAGGTACGATGTGGCTGTGCATTCAATTATTCTTTATTCAATGACTCATTGGCATTCTTTCAAACTACGGTGTCATTATTCAATCTGTATGCAAGCAGTAAAAAAAGACGTAATAGGTTCAAATTGTGCAAAGAAATCGGCAATAGGCCCAATAATGAGATGAACAACCCAACTCTCAGTAATTATTCAATTCCTCTCCCCCCTGAGGAACCTCAAGACTTGTCTCACCACGAGTCTGTCTGCTATCAGCATGACCCATCCATTGTCCCGCCGTTGAGAATACTTGTATTCTCGCAGGATGGATAGAAAAACGACGCTACTGCGATAATCACATACGCGGCAATCAATAATGCGCCTTCGAGATAATTGCTGCGGCCATCCAGCATTAGGTAATTGACAATGAAAGCCGATGCAAACAACGAAACCGTCTCGAACAAGCTAAAGTAGAGCGACATCTCCGTGTTGAGGATCCAGCCAAGGAGAACAATGATCGGCGTAACAAAGAGTGCAATTTGAATGCTACTACCCAGTGCAACACCGATGGCAAGGTCCATCTTGTTTTTGCTTGCAACCGTGACGGCAGTAACGTGCTCAGCAGCGTTGCCCACAATCGGAAGAATGATGAGTCCAATAAATGCTTCGCTGACTCCGGTGCTGCTGACAAGGTAATCAATAGAGTCCACAAGGAACTCGGCGCAGACAGCAACGAGTGCGGTAGTAATAAGTAGCAAGATAATGGCTGTAACACGATCCAGCTTGGGCTTCTCTGCATGGTCGTCCTTGATCTCCACTGTCCGCTTCGAAAGTAGATGAGGTAAAGGCTGAGCAGAGGGTATCGCTGTGGCTACTGCAGTCTCCTTGTTGAGACGATCTGGCAAAGAACTGGTACGGCGGAGGCGATTTGGCCTTGGCGTATTTGATGACGCTTCTGGCTCTGCTTGTCCTGCAGCAGGAAATATCATCGGAGTCAAGACACGGGGGATTGTTGGTCGATATGGAATGCTGCGTATATTGAAAGGGCGTTTTTCACTTTCTCCCTTAACTTCAAAAAAGGGGGCGGTTACAGAAGGTGCAACTATACCCTCTTCAATGATATCATCTTCAGATTTGCGGCGCTTAGGTTCCTTGTATCGTTTCTGCGGATGTAAAGCTTTCCGTTTCGGCTCTGCCGGTTTGCGCATCTCTTTATCAACTTCAAAATCACGAGTGGTCACCTCACCGCTTAGCTCTGGGTTTATTGGAGGCCGTTCAAACTCGGCTGTAGACTCCTGACCATTATTGCGCTTGGGACCAAACTTAGTTCGTGATGAATTTGCCGAATCATCAATCACCTGAGAGCTAGAAGACAAAGTGCGCACAAAAGACGGGAGAGATGGAACCGAGGCAGTGTCTTTCGAAGCGGAGCTAGACTTGCGTCTACGTTTTTTTCGTAGGGCCCGTCTAATCCTCTTAATAGTCGTTTGCGATCCCGAGCTAGCATCGCTGTCATCATCACTGGATGACTCTGAGCTCGAAGAAGAGTTCAAGATGTCTGCAAGCACACCAGGATACGACTCTTCGTCGATGACGTGTTGGGGCGTGCTTTCGTATATGTATGAGTGAGACTTGAGCTGAAATAAGAGATACAAGATGTAGACAAGCAGGAGCACCTTGCAAATGTTAGCTAACGCTCAAAACATGTGGAGAATAGAACCTTACCACACTGGTACCTCGGCTGATCTTGAGGACGGCTGCATCTGCATTATTCATGTTGCTGAATGAGGCATGGAAAGCGGTCTGTACTTTAATCAGAACTATAATTGCAAATTCGAGTGATATACAAACTCACCGGTAGAAGGAGACTTATAACGCTCAAGCTCAAAAGACAGGCGCTCATTTGAGTGACGGCAGAGTTGTATAGCTGCAAACAAGTTAGTTTCAGGTTCTTCAAAGATCGAGGCTAACAACATGCCTGTTCCCGGAAACGAAGACCACCGAAAAGGAAACACATGCCGAGAATAAGCAGCAGATTTGCGAGTATGGAACCAAGCAGTGAAGCCTGCACAATTTCAATCTCGTCCTAATAGAGTGTGTTAGAAGAGGACGCATCAATACACGAGCCTATGCTACTTACTGCAACCAGTGCAATGATACTATCAGAGTAAAGGTCAGCGCCGAGTTTTTCGAGTCAATGAATGCATACAACATACAAAATAATAAGCTCGACAGCATTTCCAAAGGTGACGTTCAGAAGAGCACCGACGGTGTCACCCATGTCAGAGGCAACACATTCGGTTGCGTATCCGAGCATCCATGCTAACGGAATAATAGCAACAGCATTCACGGAGAAGACGGCAGTTGGCGAGATCGGGCCATCGTCGCCCATCACTCGTTCTACTGCCCCAAGGGCGATACCTACGGGTACGCAGAGGAGAAGCCAGTTGACCCAGCTTGAGAAGATGATCAGTTTGAGGGAGGTGTAGACTTTGGTGAAAAAGCCAAGCTTAGGCTCTAAGGTGGATGCCTTCTCTCCATCTTGCGTATCCAAGGAGACCGCTCCAGGTATGGGAGTATTGTCGTGGAGGGTTTGCTGTGTTGTTGTTCTTGAGACTCCAGGGCCATTTGCGCCAGGAGCTTGGTGAACGCCATCGTGGCCGGTCTGATGGTGCGTTATCGGTAGGATGGAAGAGTCACGAGGCGGCTGTTTTCCATGAGGCACGAGGTTTAAGGCATATGAGTGCAAGCGATCCCAGATACCGAGACGGTCTATAGGTGGTTCGTCAGATTCGTTCATCGATGTTGCTAGTGCAGAAGCAAGGGTGGCAAGGGACTGTGAAGAGCGTGGCGTTTGATGAACGAGGCTTGGAGAAGGCCCAGAGAGGCGATGAGAGGAAGGAGAAAGATAGATACGCCGGGAAAGATGAAGCTTGCTTCCAAGGTGGTTCTTAAGAAGGAAGTATGGTAGGCGTAAGGCAGGCACGTATTGTTTGATCCATGGCAGTGGCGATGGCGCACTCTGGCCAATCAGTGTGGCCCAATGCGGCTAGGGCTGCCAACAAGGGTTAGCGTCGCCCCGGCGAAGCTGACAGTGGGTCTTGGCGGAGACAAGCGCGTTACGTTAGATTGATAACTTGTAAGAAGTTGTTTCTACGTCTGCTGCATATACAACGTCTGTCGCCAGGGTTCTCTGGGTATTTGTATGGGGCTACTGCACATTCCAGTCTGGGTCTTATTCACTGGGCATAGCATACTATTGTACACGCATCCTACATTCCACAATGATGACGAGCGTGTACTGATATCATCACTTTCCTAGCGTCACAATGGCGCCAAGCTTGCATTAAGCCATAAACAAAGAGGCGACAAGGGCCAATCACAAGCGCAGCTCCGCATTCACGTGACGCTACACAGCCCTGATTGGCCCGCCACTGCGTCCTTATCAGGCAGGCTTCCAGGCTGTTCGACCGTCGATCGCTGCCGTTTGCAGGCTGCTTACCTAACGGCAGTCCACCAATCAGGCTCGGGCGGAGCGCCCAGTGGAACTGCGGCCAATCAGAGGCTCGGCGGGTGCACGGTGCGTCCCCATTGGGCAGGTTTCGTGATATGCCGGACTATGCATTCAAGTCTGAGACAGACCTGAACATCACAAATCCTTTTGGATCTGCGCTCACCACTTTGGAGGTGTCTGCTCCAATTTTCTCGCCTTTTCTGCCTTTGTCTGCAAGGCTTGCTTTTTTCGTCGCGATGCGGATGGACAAGAGCTAGCAGTGGTGTGCGGGGCCTGGGAACTACTAGATGTAAATATAAGTAGACGGGGTCCAGGGCAACTGAGTCGAAAAATTTTGCAGAATTGAACGCCCGCAACTACTTCACTGACTTTTGCTTGTTTGACTTGGTCACCCTATGAGTGATGCGAATTGAGTCGTTGTGTTGATGGACTGACTGATCTCCCTGCTACGTCATCCGTAAGCGCTACTAGCTTGTTTGTTTATATTAGATCATAAGCAGCTGCCTTTCTTCTGCCTTCCTCTTCCGAACCCCCCGACTGAGTGAGCTTCCGGTCTACATAAAAAATGTCTGATGCTGCTTCGCAACCGAGACGCTCAAGACGGTTTTCCTTTACATCACGCCGCCAGCAGAATCCCGCCCAGGAAGACGTCCACCATGGGCCGCCACCAACCACCATTGGCTTCCCGATAGATGCCATCCCGTTTTACCCAGAGTCACAGGCACAGGAGAACTCCGGCTCCTCATGGAAGAGAGCCTTCAGACGCTCTCAGTCGGTTGATCGGGCTGAACAACCCTCAGACCGTCGACCCTCGCGTCGTCTTGTGAAGAAGCCGCCTGTCAGTGGTTCCCGCAGAGACGCCAGCGTATCGTCCGAGGCACCCAGGAAGTCTATGATATCGAGCATATCGACTCGTATTCGAAGTCGGCGTGCGAGTACATCAAACAACGGTGAAGACGCTGCAGGTCTTCAATTACCCGACGAACAAGCTGGCGAGCGCGGTGCAGAGTCTTCCCACCCATATCGATATGATAGAATATCATCACGGGGCGTGGCGCAAAAACCAGGCCACACACATGCCAAAAGCCTGGACGCTGCCCAAGAGGGGCAGAAAGAAATGCAAAAAGAATTACGGCGGAAGAGTGAGCTTGTCATCAAGCGAGAGGACGCATCAGCCACTCCCACGCCCACCCTCCGCAGAGTTGGCAGTCCCTTCTATCACACGGCCTCTGACAAAGAAGTCGTCTCTCAAGAGAATCCTCCCACTTCGGAGCCAAAATGGCCCAAGCTAGAGATTCCTGCCAGCACCAATCTGGAGTCGTGGCGCGACGAGGCTATGATGATCCCAGCTTCACTACGAGTTAGTCGGTCGAAGATTGTTGAGCCGGGTCCGAAAAGTCCAAGTAGGGCATCATTGTCGATGCAGGAGAATAACGATAACAACAAAGACGACACATCTCAGCACAGTTTGCCAAAGTATAGTCCTCCTCATGCCCAAGTTCCGGGACCTCAAAAGAAGGAGAGCAGCAATCGCATTGAAAGCAGCCTGTCGTCACTATGGCAAGAACCGCTTCCCTTCGAACAGGTTGCTCCTAAGCCTGCTTCAAAACCAGTTGAACAAGTTGCAAGTATTCCACGGCCATTGTCTCAGAACGACAAGTCAACTACACATGAATGGGTTCCCCCAGTCCCCTCAGAGTCCATCAACCCAGTCAAGACAATGTCCCCTCGGCCAAGGCACGCAAAGCACACAAAGACACAGTCCTCGTCCTCAACCGCAACCGCATCCTCGTCTTCATCTTCACCTTATTCCTATACATCGTCCACATTCGGGGAGCTTCCAACACCCATCAGCTCCAACGCATCCAGCACGCATCTCGAAGCCACCACCAACAATAATACCAACGACACCGCCAAAAAGGAAATCCCCCGCAACACCATGTCCCCCAAACTCGACAAATACCTCGCCAAAATCTTCGTCATCTGCTGCCACTGCAACCACTGGCACGACGTGCCCTCGCCTCTATATGCGCAAATGATCATCCCAGAGCGTCTTTTATTCTCTGGTCTACCGGAACCATCAGAAACCCGATCCTCCAAATCGTCGCGATCGTCCAGTCAAGCGCGCGAATCCGCGCGGCTGTCATCCGAGTATTCCAGAAAAAAGAGGCCGCAATCCTATATTTCGCAGAGCGATGGATCTTCCTCTTATTCGGCTACTACTACGTCGTTGCCATCGTCGTCACATTCGCGCTCGCCGTCGCGCTCACCGTTTTCTTCGCCAACGGCTACTGTGCTCTGCTCTTGGTGTAAGCATGAAATGGCGCAGTCGTGCTGTGCCAGTTGGACGACTATGGTTCATATGATTGAGAGGCATTGATCCGATCAAGATTTACTGAATAATGAACATGGTCGGTTCTGCCATTGTTTTGCATTGCTGCATTGCTGTATTCTGCAATTATGATTTTCTTTTTTTTCCCTTTTCTGGTACAAGACAATCCTTACAACATATCTCCCCTCGCCTGCATATCTACTCACCCACCAATGTTGCCTGCTTTACAAAGCTTGAACAACGCATATACATACATCACAACAAAAACAAAACGAAAACGAAAACAATTTACGAAATAACGAAAGCCACGAATCAGGGAAACGCGAATCAAATCGATATAAACGAGAGGAGGAATGATATAACGACGATATGATGATCAACATAATCAGTTTTTATTTTAATCAGAGATATTACCTGTTTAGCCACGACGTGATGTGATGTGATGTATTATTCTTTCATTTCCGGTCATGAGGAGCAGAGAATAGACCTAGGTAGTAATTAAAAAACATTATTTATACACAAGTTCATAATACATTATCAAACGTTATAATGGATGTCAAAACATCGGATAGCAAGCTCCCCGCAAAGAATCGTCAATATCTTGTTTTCGGTATCCTGACTTTTCGCCAAGACAGACGGCTTTCTTCATGAGGCCTGATTGATTATTAGTATCCTTGTTTTTTTTCCCTTGAATTGGGATGGTAACCTACGGTCGAGAAAGTGTTCTACGTCGAGAATGCGGGTGGTGTTTTGTTTTTGGACGGTCGTATTACTATTGGCGGAAGTAAATGATGCTTCGAATGATTGTGTAGTCTCCATGTTGAGAGGATAGTCGGATACGGAAAGTTGGGAAGGTTTCTCAGAGGACATGAGAGGAGCGAGAAGGTCCAGGTCCAAATCCATGTTTAAGTCAACGTCATATGGTGCGAATTGCAGCATTGCAGTATTCTCATTCTGATTCGCTGACGCTGACGCAGATGCAGTTATTGACGAATCCAGGAAAGGATCTATATGCATCTGATTCGACGAGGACTGTGGCAGAAACGACGATGCCGGACTGTTGCTGCTGCTGCTGTCAGACAAATGTGCATTTGTATCGACGCTCGGAACAGCGACGAAAGTCGAGTGAGCGTCAATCAATATCCCCATTTCTTTCAGATAGCCATCCACGTCATTCGGATCGAACCATTCACCGCCCATTCCATTGGAGATCAGAAGCTCCTCGACGCTCGTCTTGTTGTGTGGCAGATCTGCAAAATGGAAGGACCAGGGGCCAATGAACTTGGATACTGGGTACATCTCAGCTGTTGATGTCGATACCGAGGAATTGGAGTGACCACGGTTGTGCGGGAAATGTGTACCGGCGTTTCCGACGTGATAATTAGGTGGAATTGCTATTTGGGCAATATTGCCGTTGTTATAGCTTGCGGTCCCAGAGGTTGCATCATCAACATTCGACCGGCTCAAAATTGCACAGTAGCGAGCTAGCATTGTCTCGCAATTGCGGAATCCAAGGGAAAAGCGAAACATGCGCGACACATCCCTGGGATCCATGCGGGTATCGGAAAGCATGCGAAAGCCATGTTCCGCATAGCGCCGTCGCAAGCGACGGACAAAGCTCGATTCTTGGTAACTGTAGCTGGATGGGAGGGGGAGGTGGTGTGGCAATGACGGTTGGATATGATTCTGGTTTTGAGGGGATAGCGATGGTAACGAAGACGAGGATGATATCATTTCCATGCCGGCATTGTGATAAAGTAGGGGCTCGCCTTCGAAAGCAACGTTGTTGTTGGCGGTGGTGGTAGAAGCGTATAGGGCATTATACTCGTCCGAACTGTCTCCCATGGCTGTTGGTAACAAGCCATCACCGCTAGCAGCAGCTCCAATAACATCCGGTAGAGAAGAAGCACTTGCAGTCTCCAAGCCCTCGGCATCCGCATCGGTGGCAGAAGAACTTTTGCTACTGTTACTAGCGCTGCCCGAAGAAAGACTGACGAGAGCGTCTGACTTCTCCACGAGCCTTTGAAGACTCTGCTGCATCTTATGATGCTGCAAAAGCAAGCCGGATCCGATAAGCTCGTCGCGGAAAGAGCCAAATGATTTGCTCATCTCCTGAATGGCGACGTCCATCTCCGCGAGACGCTCGCTGAGGACTGTAATTGTGGCTTCTTTTCGCGATCGGTAGGCCCGCTGAGCCAGGCGGATTTGTGTCCTTCGACGCTATTCCACATCATTAGCACCCGTGCTTCTCTCTAGGTGACGGAGGTAGGTGTATGTGTACCTCTGCCGCATTCTCATCTTTGCCGAGCACGCGTGGGCGCCCTCGTTTCCGCTTGAGGATTCCATCATCATTGCTATTGTTATCGGTTTTATTTTTGGTCGTATTCCTTTTCGAAGCCTTCTTCTGCCGTCGCGCATCTGTCGGATTCATCGTACCGTCGTCTTGGACCAGAGTCAGGCCGCCATACAAAATGCCGGAATCTGCGCGACGAGGACTGCGCCGCCCTAATACTTCTGGAAATGGATATGACGAGGCGGACAGGATGTCAATAGACGACATGACAATGCAAACGTAACTAATTGTGGTAAAACAGGCCTTGATGTCCAAATAGACTTTGTCGTCCTAGTTATGTAACAATCATTAGCTGAGGATCGAGGAAGACGAGCCTTATATATGCGAGGGATGCACCAGAGTCAGCCGCGGTAAAAGCAGCGGCATGGTTTGTTGCGGCCTGATTGGCTGGCAGCGGCTGCTTACGAGAGTTGTGACACTGTGATTAACGTATTTCATGGGTAAACGGATCACTTGTAGTTTCATACAAAGTAGCCATTTTAACCCCCTGCAATCTCAACAAATTTATATATAAACCAGGTCTAATAAGTAAATGTATTAATTAGTATTTATATACTAATATATTCATAGCTTTACAGGTCTCAAATAATATAAGAACCCTTTCGTATTGAAAATTACAATAATTACTAGCGTATTTCTTAATAATTTATTATATTCGATATTAAAAATATATTATATTTTATATATAAGTGTCCACAGATATATTATTTATTATTTTTCTTTTTTAGGCCTGATTTATATATATATATATTTGTTGAGATTGCAGGGGGGGGTAAAATGGCTATTTTGTATGGAATTACAAGTGATCCGTTTACTTGGGTGATCCGTTTACCCATGAAATACGTTAAAGCAGCGCCGAGGCTGACAAATTTTGCATCCTTCGGGCCAGATGAGTCAGATGGCTTAGTAATAATTGCCCCGACATTAACTAGGTTAGTTTTGTTGACCTGCCGAGTCATGCATCGTTGACGTATTTCCCGGGTAAACCGCGCACTTATAATTCCCATACTAAATAGCCTTTTTAACCCCCTGTAAATTCCACAAATTTATATATAAACTAGACTTAAAAAGCTTACATATCAAATAATATTCATATACTATTATATAGATAGCTTTATAGATTCTATATATCTTATAAACCCCTTCGTATTAAAAATTACAATAATTACTAGCGTGTTTCTTATTATCTCAACAAATCTATAGATAGATTCTTATTATTTTTTATATATAAGCTCTTATATTTATATTATTTAATATGTAAGCTTTTTAGATCTACTTTATATATAAATTTGTGGAATTTACGGGGGGGTAAAAATGTCTATTTTGTATAGGAATTACAGGTGCGCGGTTTACCCGGGAAATACGTTAAGACGTGGAGAGGACTGACATCTCGACATATCAATTCGTTGACTAGACCTGAATTGCGAACTTGTGCATGTATGAGTATTCCTAAGGAAATGATAAAGGCTTGATTGGAAATCCCGCTGCTCACGAATTTTCTTTCGAGGGTAAGGATAATAATCTCTATTAGATCCCTCTGATGCAGCAGGTTTGTCGCATTTCTCGAGCAGTAACAACCTGACATAATCGCCATGATTCCACGACATCGGATAAAAATGCGGGTTTCCGTTGGTAGCATTGCCCTTTCACATTTGACGGGGATCTGGTAGATTCAAACACGCTTTTGCCATAACAAGATGTGTGTCTGTGAATCAAGAAGCTGCTTCTTGGCCACACCCGCCCTCGCGGAGAAGATTTTTTTTAACCTACTTCTTTTGTCAATGCTCGTCGGAGTCATTGCGGTCGCTATGACTTCTTCTATCTGACGGGGAGTGATTGGCCTAGAAGCGTTCATCAGCAGCGTTGGTGCGTTTCAGCATAGCCGATTAGGGCTGCATACAAGCCAGTCAAACTACCACATAACCTCGCAAGGGGAATATCCCTGTCAGCAGCTTTGAAAGGACACTGCTGCATAGCCCCCAGAAATACCAAAGTATAAATAAACTGCGACGCATAGCGTCTCATTAAGCCTTGCCATTTCACGCCAGTTTCCGAGGCTGAGACCGACCCCCGATTTACATAAGACTAGCTTGCATCCCCGTTTCGAGCTCAGTAAAGACATTCAAATTGAAAAGGAACATTATACGAACAAAATGTCCGGCAATTCCAACCCTTATGAATACACCGTGGCGTGGATATGCGTTCTTGAAGCCGAGATCACAGCAGCCAGAGTGATGCTTGAAGAAGACGAGGTCTATGATCCCGCACCCGTGCATCGCGCTCATGGCGATGAGAATTCCTACATCTGTAAGAATGTGGGCGGGCACAAATGTGTGATAGCCGGTTCGAAGTGATCTGGAATCAACTTCTAAGACTATCGCCTTTCTCGTCAATGCATTTCCACGTCTGAGATTTGGATTGCTGGTGGGCGTTGCCGCCGGAGCCCCAACTCCGGCGGTTCGTCCTGTTCACGATGGAAAGTACATTTTACTTGGCGATGTAGTCGTTGGTGTGCCAAAGAAAAATCACAGTAGGCGCCAACAACCATTCCTAAACTCTTAACTCTTCTGTTTCCCACTCAATAATCACTTTTTCTCAGCTGGAGTTTTGCATGCACAAAGGGGCACACTTAAAGTCGGTGTGCTTGAGGAAAGCTCCCTTAACATGCCGCCGCAACTTCTGCTTTCAGGGATGAAAGATCTCTCCTCAAAACATGTCTTAGGGCAGGGTAACATGCAATCATACATCAGTGATGCGAGCAGAAAATTCGATATATATCACTTTCCGGGAAGACAGGCAGATCCACTCTTCAGTCCAAGCTATCCTCATGCTATTGGAGAAGAAGATTGCTCACGATGCGACTCAACTCAAATCCAAACTCAATCAACAAGGGAATACCCGGTTGTCCAGTACGGTCTCGTTGCATCGTCCACCCAAGTCATCCAAGATGCTAATCGGCGAGATGAGTATCGCAGGGAACGTGGGGTACTATGTTGGGATACATGGGCAGCTGGTGCGATGGATTTCGATGCCATGAAGTGCCTTGTAATTAGGGGCATAAGCGACTACGCCGATAGCCATAAGAATGATCAATGGCAGAACTATGCTGCTCTAACTGCAGCTGCTTATGCCAGAGATCTACTAAGCTATATCACCCCGAAAACTGTTCATCACGCACCGCCATGGGCGGCGAAAATACGTACGTTGGCCTTGGAACATCATACCCTCAGCAATGAACCTTGTATTCTGTTGCCTGCCACCTCACTTAAAGCTCCATGTACCTAATTAAGTCGGATTAGCCGGCCTTAAACAGTACTAAGTCAGACATAGACATAGCAAACATTTCGGCAATGATGACTACCAGAAATGAATCAACTTTTCTTAATTCTTAAAATTCTCCATCCATTGACACATGAGCTAAGTAGAAAGCGTGTCAGTCAGTAGTGTTGCAATCCGAAGTGTTTCAGCGATGGTCCCAAGGAGTTCCATGGCAATTTCGGCGTTATGGTGCACGCGGAGATCAGTCCATCTGATGCAAACAGGCGAAGTGCAGCATCTATTATAGTACCGATGACCCCCTGGGACCACTCTGCCTACCCAAGTACCTGATGTTGTGCAGTGAGGCTTAAGCGCCTTTGGTGGCGGCTTCATTACGGGCTACTTCTTCGACGACGCCTCGTTGGCAGTCTTGAGCATACCCCGTTTCGCGAAGTATGGCCGTGCTGTCGGTACTTTTAGCGAAACAATCGCGAAATTCATCTCTGATGTTTCGGAGGCAGGATTTAGCAAGGTTGTCATCGACTTGCAACAGAATTCTGCGAGGTTTTAGCTTTCGATGCACTCAAACAAGTTAGTTCTAGCTTATGATACGAAGCCCATTGAGAAAGATACTGACCTGGCTATAGATAGTTCTTCCCATTCATTGAACCTTTTGGTGGTCGTATGCGAGTTCAATCAATGGCCGACGCCACTGGGAATACCTTGACACGGCTTTGGAGCGATACAAGCAGCGGGCTTTACCACGATTACCATCTCGTGGCTAGTGAATGGGTTGTGACAGATAGGATAAATGCGGCCCCAGGGCAAAGGTTTTTTTCGTGGGACGAATTCTTCGATCCAAACAGCTCCTATGGTTCGGACAACTTCTCTCAGATAGTGAGTGTTTCTGCTGACGTCCTAGTCTTAATAAATAAGGTGATTGCTCAAACAAGACGCTAGGGGAGATACAATTTGTCCAATGTCGTTTTTGATAAAGAGGCATCTGGAGGCATCGTAGTTGACGGTCATGCGAGTGGTACAGGAAATGGCTCTTCGCCATCCGCTGCGCAGGACATCATTATAGTAAGGGTAACCCACTCGGCGTGCAGCGAACGCAAAACTCTAACCTTTCTTTAGTTGAGAAACGGTCTTTGTTCATCTTCCTGCGCGGTCTTTGTGGAAATGATGCATCACGAAGCCGGAGTACGGAACGTGGCTGTCGGTGGTCGACCGAGCTATGGGCTGATGCAAGGACCAGGTCGAAGTCGTGGTGCCGCATTGTACAGTACTTCACAACTGGATACAGACATCTGGAACGCACGACACCACAGTAAGAGAGCAGCCAGGCATCTTCCACATCGACGGAAGTCATTGTTTGTCACCTCGGCCAGCTTCAATCTTCGAAATCTTCGAGATCAGGTGCGGCGAGATAACACCACCATGTCACTACAGTTCCTCTATGAACCTGCCGATTGCAGAATATTCTTCACGCCAAGCACCTGGTATAACTATACGAACCTCTGGAAGTACGCTGCAGACGCAATCTGGAACAACACAGGGCTGTGCGTCAAGAACTCGACAAGTCAAGATGGGTTGGAGCCAGATCGACTCGTGTATACAGGCGATGCGACAGAAATTATCACGGATTCCTTCCAGCAGGGCTTTCCTCCAATCATTCGTGAGGAGGAGATGTTCGGCGGACGCCATGACTTATCAATGATTCAGAACATGGAGTGCACTACGAATAGAGACTGCGCAGCACCAGGGCATTTTTCGTTTCGAATGGTTACGACTTGCCATGATGAGAATGAGCGCATGGTCAAATCGCTATGTGTTGCAGAATGTAGCTCGAGTAAAAATTGTGCCGGGGCAGCTTTTGTCGCGTCCCATGCCACACATCCCACACATACGACGAAGAAGTGGTAGGTAATATTGAAAAGAGATACTGGACAGGATACTGTGTACCATCTTCACGTCAGTGCGGCTTTAATAATGATCATTTTCCTCAGGGATGGCTACAAATTAGGTACTTGACGATGGTGTGTTTTGATCTAGACTAGACGATATGAATGCTTTTCTAGATATGACAATAATAATGAAAATAAAAAACATCCATGGATCTAAGCTGCCTAATGGAATGTACGTACTAGTAACATTTGGTTGCATGGACATATGCCATGTAGGGCGGCTATGATCGAGATAAGTAGGAAAAAGAAGTAAATTAATTAAAGTTCGTGGGACACAGGCTAGTTTGCGCTGGATCTTTCTACGAATCCCGCACATACATGCTAATCATGTCTGTTCCCATTCCAATCTTGTGGGTACGGGCTGGCTGCCTATATAACTTCCTGGTGAACTTGCCCGAGCCGCCGTGGGAAGAAAGTAGGCGCCAGTGGACTCCCTTCACTGCCCATGGCGGCCCCGGAAGCGATGGATCTTTATACATAGGAAACTCCAGGCAAACGAGAATGCCTCCGGGATTTAGCAACCCAGCCATGCGTTCCGCCCACTCCACTCGTCGACTAGGGTGCAAGGCACACATGAACTGTAAGAAAATAAAACATATTAGCGTATTGTGCCGCGTTAGGGAAAAAGAGAGCAAACAAACCGTGTAGTCGTATATCAAATCAAACTTTACATCGCCCTTTGTCCAGGACGAAGAAAAAAAAATCACCCTGCAGGAATTCGGCCACTCCCTTCCCAGGCGTCTGGTCCGTTTGTACTTCGTGGCCAAAATTATGCGCTTGGGGCTTAGAGAGCTCGGTTGCTGCGTAAGCTTGTGCCTCCGCGACCGCCGTGCCTGAATTTTCTAGGCCGTATGCATCAAAGCCATGGAGACTCAGCATAATGACATCGTAGCCTCGGCCACAACCCTGTATTTTATTTTCAGTTAGGAGGCCGTCTTGGGCGGAGAGGCGGAGTCCATACCGGAACCAGAGCTTTCTTGCGTCTGCCATGCTGTGTAAATGGATAGAATATATCTTCAGGATTATGCTGGTGCTCTTCTATGATGTCAATCAGGGCTGGTGAAGGCTGCCCTCTATCCCAGAGATTGCTTCTTCCAGCATCCCAGAGATGAGACCATCCACGTGCATGATCTTCGATTGTACTGTATCCTCACTTAGTGTTATGGGCTTGGTCTAGGACGGAAATCGGAAGTGTACCGGCCCTCAAATTCTGAAACTAAAACGCCCTTTTTAGAAGCTTTGTTTGCCATTGTTAGTGATCTGAAAGCAAAACTATTATTAAAGCTAATCGATACGGGGATGCTGAAAGTTACGTGAATATTTAAAATAAAAATACGCGCCCCACAGATCAGCAGGCGGGTCGTTTGTTCCCGTGCGGGGACCATTCCTAAGTCGGAAACGATTGACAACTTCATTCATTCCCCACAGTAAATTTCACGCCACCATGAAAGTCTTACAATATGCACCAGTTGGTCTCATCCTAGTGCTTAATCGGGCAAGCCATCTATTGAAGAAACAGACAGATATAAAAGAGATCAACATTTTGATTGGCTACAGAAATACGGAACAATACAGTTTCACACTGGGATCAGGTTTGCCTATCTCCGATCAATCTGTATATAAACAAACTGTCGACTTTCAAATGAGAATATTAACAATCAGTTTCCCTCCAAGAGAGGGTGGATTTGATCTCGGCTCGAATTTCAGAATGAGACGACCTGTCCTCCTTGAATTTGGAACAAGGTCTTGCCATCATCTGGATAATTCATACTCCAGATTAATTTCTTCGGGTGAGAACTCGCTTCAAAGCTTTCATGTGTCTTGCCGCGGGTAGAGAGTTCGGCCTCTCCGACCCGAACTAGATGGCATGCCCGTCCGCTGTTGACTTGGTTCTTCTCACTTTGTCGCTTACCTATGTACGCAAAATGCAAGCCTTTGCTCTGGTCAGGCCCTACATTTTCGCTTAGAGGGGAGAGCACGATGTTGGCACCCAGAGTTTCAGCAACAGAGACTTGGCGAGGCCGCTGAGCACCGTTAGCTTTCGGTGCTTTGCCTCGTAGCCAAGAGTAATCAAGCGGCCGACAATCATTGGTGATAGTAATTTCATCGAGATTATCTGTGTTTGTTTCAGATAGTATACCATCCGCAACTTGCTCTTTAAGAATCTTGGCCAAGGTGCAAGGAATACCCAGAGCGGATGTCAAGAATGCTTGAATGTCTGGCTCTTTGTACAAAAGGAGTTGTACACTTATGCGTCTCTCCTCGTCCCAAAACATGATATCATTCGAATCTTCATGATCAAGGAACACTGTTAGAAATTGATCGGTCATAGAATGAGTCCATACAGATCGATGTACTCGAATCCTAAGGATACGAGCAGAGAGATCTATTTCCGGATACACGAGGAACATCCGAGGGTACCGTTTTGGTGTCATTATGGTGCCTGTTTGGAGGTCGACTAAACACCATTGTGCATCCCAGTATAGACCATGACTTGCGATGTCCACTGAAGCTCCGTCATCAACCCACCAAGCGCTGCACCCCCGAATCGGGTAGATCAAGATATTTTGTATGTATAAAGACACCCTAGAGGTGAAAGTTTGTCGGATAAAGTTCACAAAAGTGTCGACATCTTCCATGTTGCTCATGGCGCCTAGGCTCACTCTGGCAATTCCAGAGGGTTTATCGCCAATCATGACATTCTTACAACCACAGCGAACCCCAGCCCTAAAGCTCCTGATGAGCTCCCATGCTTCTAGTCCAAGGTGTCTCGCAAAACCTCCGTGATTACATACATCCCCTATCCGAATATGGATATGTTGCTCGTTAGCAGCATTTTCAAGGTCTGACAATTTGACCCATGATCCATCGTCAGATTTGATGTTGAAGGCAATAACTGGCCCCTGCGTCTTGCTATCCCCATACTTCGCTGAAGGTCCTTGTAGACCTCACAAACTTTCTTGCCATTTTGGTGTCGTAAAGCAGTCAACTTGTGGTACATCTGGGATATTAACCTTGACGTATGTCGAGTGACATGCTCAAGGGAGCCGTACAGTCTTTGATAAGTGGCCAGGGCATAGTCTAGAGCTACTATGCTGTGAAAGGGCAGTGTGCCATCTTCAAGAGCTCCATGGACAGAACTATCTTTCATGGAATGCCATGGATCCCCATTGCAAACAACCATATCGACTGTGCCTCCGCCAAAATAACGGCGTTGCAACAGACAATGTGCTGAACCTTTTCGGACAATCAGCCCTCCAAGGTCTGGGAATCCGAAGATCTTGTAAAAGCTGATAGCCGTAAAATCTGCCGCCTCTTCAGGATCGCTGAAGTCCAATGGAGTAGTTGACGCCAATGCAGCAGCATCCAGAAGTGTATACACGCGATCGTGGGCCGGATTTTTTGAGTGCCTCAACCGTCCGACCCAATTCAGCGGCAGTCTAGCCCCAGTCATATTGGATTGTCCTGGATAAGAAAAAAGCCCTAATTCTTGAGACTGAGTTGCAGACCCATTCATTATGGTGTTTTCAATTTGATTTCCAGTGACTAGATGTCCTTCTTCAAGCCAATTTTCAACTTCATTGTTTGACTCGAAGCAATGACGTCCTGCACTAGCGAGCTCCCGGATCCCGACAGCACTCGTATGTGACTCCAAGTGATATTCATACCATAACCGTTTGCCATGAGAGGTGAATGCCTCCGCTACGAGCTTCATCGCATTTGTTGCGTTTAGTACGAACACGAGATCAAAGTGCTCTGGATCTGCACGAAAAAACTGCAGTACATGTTCGCGGGTCTTCTGGACACGGGCAGTTGCAAGTTGAGAGGATGTTGAACCAGAATGGGGATTCCCATATATACTTTTGGTCATATTTTCCATGTATTCCTTGAGTAAACTGCTTGAATATAGGGTTGTACCTGCGTGATCTAGGTATGTCTCTCCTATAAATGTATGTCAGCTCTTAACTAAACTACAGGGCAAACTATGACAGGCTCATAATCACCTTTTAACATCGGATAATCGCTTTGCCGAATTTCTTCGACATCATACTCATGGCCATGAGAAATGGAAGCCATTTTCTGTATGGACAGTACCTAGGTAAGCAGCACTACAAAAAAATAATGGAGATATGAACTGATCTGTACGGAGAGAACTGAAGCGATATATATATATATATATATGTATTTGCATCTAACATTATACCTTTGCTGTCCGCATCTTCTACGGAAAGCCTGTAGATAGATCTATTATACATAAATGATGCGATAGAAACGTCAATATGCAGAGTAGACATATGTATGATCCGAATTGGGCGCTAAGAAAACAATAGACTCAAGTCTACTACATGTACTCTACACCCAATTGTGGGACAAACTGACCTCATGATCTTGGCCTAGCGTTATCTTTGGGCTGCAGAGTGACTGCCAGTGAGGTTGATCCTTGCTTCTCAGGATATGTCTTTGTCATTGTGCATTTAGGTAGTACTGCATATGTCTGAAAAAAAAAAAATTGGTCCAATAATGCGGGGGATGTGAACAGTATACTAGCTCACTTCTTCTCGGCTTATGATGGATTTTTCGGGTTCCATCTGCGGTCAGAGTGTTATGGCGACATTTCAAAAAAAACTCACGTCTTATTTAAGGTTATTTAAAGTTATTTAGTGTAAAGTTTATATACTTTCGTTATATACAGCGATCACTTAGCGAGATATCTGATATATATAGTTCGCTGAAGATCCCCAAGGCAGTAACGAAAGACGTTGCAGAGAACTGAAGATATTCTGATCTTTCACCAGTTATCCATAGTATTTCAATGCCGATATGGCCGATTGTCGAAGATGTAGTGCTGAAAGTATCGATGAACTGGCTTACGCGTGCAGGTAATGGGTGTTCCATTGGGCCATGTTGCTATCGTTATGCTTGTTTCAGTACACCACACCAAAGCCTTTCCATCTTCAATTACCACCACTATTCGCAGCTGTAACTTAGTATTTAGGCGGTCTCTGAGAAGGATACCTCCAATAACACAAAGCGTTGACTTCCTGGTGGAGCAAGCGAGCCATGAGTGTTACTGGCGTTCGAGAATCAAATTTACGAGATGGACGGAATAGGAGGCTTGCAGACCTTGGAGTTACATCGTTGCATCCTCATATCTGTTGGCAGCGTGCTATCTTGCATTTACTTGCATTTTGTGTCCATTACACTGTCCAATTTAATGGTCTCGTATGACACACAAGTTTTAGATCTTCAAAGCTCTCGCCACCAGACCATTCCTTCTGTGCCGTAATTACCCAAGAGCTTCCGCGTCATGCCATACTACATACTTATCTAGCATAGCCACGGTTTATCATAGAAATGGTTGCGAGCATTTTCTATGTTTAACGACGTCAGTCACGTCACGAGGTTGGTCCGGTTTTTTTTAATTTGGAATTACGTGGCTCCTTACATGAGCGACAGATCTGTCTATCAGAATCCATTGATACCAAGACAGTTATTTGTGAGTTTATCAACACCACTTTGTGGGAATGCTGCAGCGATTTCTTTCTTCTTGCAGCACGCCATTGGTTCAAGCACGCGTAGTTTGAATAGTACTAGGCTTTTTTTTCTCTTCGGTTGGGCATCAATGCCACTTTTTTGCCAAAGGTTGATGCAAAATTGACTCAAGCCCATCGCGTAACGTAGGGTCTAGTTCGGGAGACTGGATGTATCTATATTCGGAAAAGCGGAATTGTAACATTTCTGACCCCCCCCTACTCGAACCAAACCCGGATTTCCACCAAGCACTGAAAGAAAAAATAGAGGAGTTTGGGCTTGGCGAAAGATATCACATAATTGGGGGTGGACTTGATGACCTGGACAGAATCAGCATCAGCCCTCGGCCAATTGACACCGTAACTACCGTTCATATCCTTCGCAGTGTCAAACTACCTCGGATATTGGCCAAGGAACTGTCGATATTAAGTAGTGATAAATGTGTGAACACGTCAACGTCAAGAAAGCAAGGGCTCCCGAGCGTTTGGGCAAGGTGCGTATACTATCCTTCGAGAAACTCATGTTCACTTGACAATCGCAACGCAATAATGACCAAGCAAGTCACTGCTAACGTCGCCATGATTCTCGTTTGCCCCGAGGTACAGCCAGACGCCTGCTTGGCCTAAAGGGTTTGTGTAGAAAGCCTTGGAAAAACCAACATATGTCAAGCGGTTTAGCAGACATGAAGTAACATAACGTACCATTATAGAATAGCATGCTCACATCTAAATATATTTGCCCTACGAGATTTGTATCTGTACGAGTGCTCATGACAGCCGCATAGGGCAATGTAGTCTTGTCAAAAATTTGCAACAAATACACGGCCAGTCAGCAACGGCGCTATTGTGAAGTCAATCTTGCGGACCAGCTTCCCTCAACTTCACCGGTTTTCAAGAATAACAGTGCCCTCCGCTAGAACTTTTTCTTGATGTAGGTGGTTCTCAAAGAAGGCGAAAGCTTCGTCGGCATCCTTAAGGTTGATGACAACGCGGGCGGTCGACCCTTCACTATCAGCCACTGAAACATCTGAAACCGTCTTCTCATCCGCCATTGTCAGCATTGTATGTTCTAACGAGCTTCAATAACATCCGAATTAGTATCATAATGCCTCACACCAGGAGAGCAGAGTTGCCTCTTGCCCGTTATATAACACTTCCTTTTCAGCTATCCATAAAAGAACGAAAGGACGGGATTGGGGCAAGCGAATAGGAGAAATGTCTGTATCTTGCAACAATTGATTATAGTTTTATCTTGCGAACCCCTCATTTTTGACTCATTTAGAGCCAGTGACTATATCTATCTCCTTAGAGATCCAAGGCTTGCGTCCATGGTTTAGGGACTTGCCTTGTCCAGACAGGCGTTCAAAACTCACCCCTAACCAAATAAGATACCTAACGCCGTGCTCTGCTAGCCTCTGCAACATAATATACAAGCAGAAACTGTATGTACGTGTGTAGGTGCTACTAAAACTGTTACACACTAATATACTATTGATGGCACAAATGGTCTAATCTCAAGTGGGAAGATTTCCAGATACTAATTAAACAATGATTCCTGCTAAAATACCCCTTTTAAATCAAAGGGAAAGCAAGACGAGCGCAAACTGGCAATTCAGGAATATTTTCCTAATCAGGAAACTGTTGCCTTTTTCGGAAGTTTCAGTTCGTCCGGCTGTCGGGCGGCTGTCGGTGGCGGCTGTCGGTACAAGGGGCCTTGTTTTCAAGCAGTATGAACTTATAAAATAGCTGATGGCTTCCATCCTTGAATTTTTCGTTGTGAAAAACGGTTATCCAGACAAATATCCGATCACAATGTCACTGGCGCAGGATGAGGCACGACCTCACTTCATCCCGCACACTCCCAGCGGCCTTCCCAATGCTCGTCCCAACATTGTTATTTTCATGCCCGACCAACTACGCTATGATGCTTTGCGATGCTCTGGCATGAACCCCGCCATAAAGACACCCAACATCGATTCCTTTGCGTCGCGTGGGGTGCGCTTCACAGAATGCTACGCTCAGGCCTCGGTATGCAGCCAGTCCCGTTGCTCAATGTTTACCGGGTTATACCCCCATGTATCAGGCCATCGATCACTCGAAAACTTGATCAAGCCATGGGAGCCAAACCTTTTCCGCTCGCTGAAAGAAAACGGTTACCATGTCGCCTGCATGGCTCCGCGCGGTGACATGTTCGCTCCAACCGTGACGGAGCTCAGTTTGACCGAGTATGGGTTTCTAGAGCCGCCTGAGGTATCGAAGATAATTGGGAAATTTGCTGCGCCAGAAAGACCGGAAGATAAAATCACGATCTGGGAGCGACTCTTCTACAAGGGACGACGGGATGTTTCCAAAGCAGTCGATTATGATGAGGCTGCAATCCGCAGTGCAGAGAAATGGCTCGAGGTTCCCCCGAATGATAAGCCTTGGGTGCTGTTTTTGCCTTTGCTTTTCCCTCATTGTCCCTTTACGGTGGAGGAGCCATACTTTTCAATGTATGACCGGAAGGATATGCCAGTCCCATCTTCTCCGGATGCAAAGGTGACAATTCATTCAACTCCAATTAATCATCATCGTCATCAACAACCTTGTAACTAAAGAAGAAATCAACAGACAGGATACGAGCCCAGATATATGCGAGTCAATCGCACTAGATATGGCACCCATCGCGCAACGCCTGAAATCTGGGCCGAAGTGTCAGCTACATACCACGGCATGATCTCGCGACTGGACGATCAGTTTGGCCGCATTGTCCGAAAACTCGAGGAGACGAACTTGTGGTCCAAGACAATCACCATGTTTTTCACCGACCACGGCGAGTATCTCGGCGATCATGGACTGATTGAAAAATGGCCTAGTGGCCTCTCGGAAACGCTCGTGCGAAATCCGCTTATCATCGCCGGCGGAGGGATCCCGGAGGGCGTTGTCAGTGACTCGATGACCGAAATGGTCGATATACTGCCGACAGTACTGCAGCTGTGTGGCATCGATGAGACTTTCCCTCATAACGGACAATCACTCGTGCCAACGCTTCTTCACAACGGGTCATCATCATCGCCATCACATCATCGCGACTTTGCCTTCTCTGAAGGCGGGTTTTTGGTATCTGAAGAGCCGCTGCTAGAACACGCGTCTTTTCCGTATGACATCAAGGCCAGTCTTCAGCATGAAGATGTCAAGTTGGTGGGAAAAGCAATTTCTATGAGAAATATGGAATGGACCTATATTTATCGACTGTACGAGCCGGCCGAGTTGTACCATAGACCACAGGATCCCCACGAGCTGCATAACCTGGCCGCTGATCCGGAATATGCACATGTGGCACGATCTATGGAAAGTCTAATGTTCCGATGGATGGTTGAGACTAGTGATTTCTTGCCATTTACGAAAGACAATAGGTTCCCCAAGGTAGATTTACCAGATCCGAAATCTATGTGGGAAAAGAGAAGGGGGGAAAAGGCATTTGGTCTGCAGACCAGAGATATAAATGTAATCCCGAAATAAAACATGTATACAGTTAAACTGCGTTGCTATTGTGACCAATCATCTACTATCCTATAAAATGGATCAACTCTAGTCTCAAAGCACGCCAAGTCGATATTCGTGGACATGGGGAAGAAAAATTCTGGTAAACTATTGTGTTCCTGGCCATCCATCATACCCTCGAGCAAATCCAAGGCTATCTCTCCTGATCCAGGTGTCACATCCGTTGAAGCCGAGACTGTCGAGGCTTCTGTATCCACGTTACCAGGTCTATCGGCTTTGTGGGGAGAGTTGTGTTTCTCTAAAGCTTCGAGATATGAGAACTTTGAGGTGGTCTGCCCTACGTCGCCGCCTCGGCTTCGGAGTTTCTCGCGCCACAAAGCAGTCAGTGTCTGAGAGGAGTGCGCATGTGATTGGGAATAATATTGCTCAGTGACCGTGTCGAGATCTGCAATGAGATTCCTTATCTCAGTTTGCTAAGCAGATGTCAGAATACAGTGTATTGTAGAATCATGTAAAGAAACAGAATCGAAGAAAAACCTACCATATCTGGTACAATTGGATACAGCAATGCCAAATGGTCCAAAAAGGAATCCATCCCCGATAACAACTGCCGTATTCTTGAAACTCCTCCGCCTGTAACATTCCGGTCCAGATCCCACAGATTGGCAATTATGTTTGCACATTGATATACGCATATAGCCGCTATTGGATCTGTGACTCGCTCTATATCAGCGTGTTGGAGAACATCTGACAAGAACTCGCATGCAGCGACGGCATGCTGGAGGCATTTGTGGCGGCAAGAATCTGCCCAGTCTCCGGGAATCTGTTCATGGATTGATTGGGGAACGGACTCGCGGATGCCAGGAACCATCATTCGGAACAGATCGCAATAGACCAGGTGCCAGAGAGTGTGTAGTATTACAAATTCAGTAAGTTCGGGCGTGTATGCGCGCATAATCAGGTTGTTGGGGGTATAACGAAGGTGGCTAGGGAGATTGGACATGAACTTTTCGAGGATGTTCTCAATGTCTTCAAAGTCAGTCCGTGAGTTGTAAGGGTTCTCTTTAGCGGATATAATTTGTTTTGTTCGTCTGTCACATAGTCAATCATTGGGCCCATGACCCCCCATTCAGAAAAGCAACGCTTACTGAAGAATCCTATGACGAATAGCCACCATGCGAATCACATTCCCCATAGTTCCAGTATTTCGATCATAATCAGGTGCTACACCGAGTGTATCTATGTTCAAATAGCATGTTTCCACGGGGATCTCCAACTCAAACGAGCGTTCCTGACAGGGAAGTTGAATATGCATCGCCTCCACCGGACACAGAGTCACGTCCGAGAAACCACCTGCATAAAACTTGTCGAGTATGAAGATCGACCACATTACGCGACGGCGAATCTCCCGTACCACTAACGAGTCCCTGTTGTTATTCACTTCGTAGTTTAGACGCATGCCAAACGCTATTCGGGCGACAACCCCCGAGAGAATCCAGACAGATGAGATGTTGCGCTCGATTGAGTGCCAGCAGATGAGCAGCAGCATCGTTTGCAAGGTTTGGATCTTCATTTCTCCGATTCTTTGCCATGTCTGCACCTCCGCTTGCTTGAGCCAGTTTTGGGCGTAGTCGAGGGCCTTGTCCTGCTGATGTCGTCTGGGTCGAATGAAACGAGCAGCAACTCCACATACGCACTGCAGAAGGAGCGGATCTACTTGATTCTGATAAAAGCTGCGCAGGAAGAGGCCCTTGTGGATGAACCGATACGCAGGAATGGGGTAGAGATATTCGAAGAAAGCCTGTACATGACTCTCGAGGAATTGCTGATCGTAAGACGGGTTTTCCCTGTTGAACCGAACTAAGCAAGAATAATAATAATAATAATAATAGCGTCGACAAGTAGATCTACACATACAGCAGGGCCGGCTCTGCTATTCTGTGGTTATTCACTTCAAGCCTTCGATCATCGCTTGTACGAGGCTCGCCAGCATCGCCGCATGTAGCAAGAGACAACGGAGTCTCCCTCCTCCTTTTCCGTTTGCTGGGCATATATTGGCATTCAGTGCCATTCAGCTGGCATCGTCTACATCTTGGCCATTCACTACCGCACCGAGCCTTGGATATACGGCATCGGTAGCATGCTCTTGGTCCTCGTCGGCGCTCAGTACCACCGACGCCTGAGCTGATCAGCGACTCGGGCGAAGCAATTTGTGCTGGCATGAAGCTACAGGCGAACTTCAGCCGGATGCAGTTGGAGCAGCCCGAGAGCTCTCCGTCACAGCGGACCTGTTGCTTCCACGTCAGCTAAGCGTCAACGCCATCACCAATAGACAGGGTGGAGCACTTTTCTACTTCTACACTGCGCGCATGTCTGTTTGTGCAGAGGCCGGCTGGAGGCAGCCATGCTGGTATGTTCTCATGAATACATACATTCAGACATGTTTTATGTCGTTGCCATGTTATATCCAGCGTGAACCCACAAGCGAAGCACGAATCCCTAGCGTCTATGGCGTCAAACGGCGGGTAAAAATCGACATTGTATACGTCGGCTATCGGGCCCGACTACCGCTCCACCGGTTGTCGGAATGGCGTATAACCCTCAAGATTTTGTTTGTACCATAGAATATCGAGCTCGATATAAAAGGCGCGTGTCCAAGCTCCTCGGATCCATGGAGGGCATCAGAAGGCAGAAGAAGCACACGAGGTTGGGCTTGACTCTATCATGTTCTCCTCGATTTCAGACCACTTCAATGGCACGCTGGCGCTCTCCTGCGCCTTGATCATGCTGTCGCAGCTCAGCTATGGCTTCGATAACCAGGCTTTCGCAACGACTCAGTCTATGGCAGCTTTCACCAAGCAGTTTGGCGAATACAATGCCAAGACGAAGACCTATGCTATTCCCACATATTTCCTTTCTTTGCTGAATAGCTTGAATTATATCGGTTTCGCCATTGGTTTGTGTTCTCTTTTGCATGCTATAGAAATATCATTCACTGATGCTTCCGCAGGCCTCGTCATTGGCAGCCTGATCAGTAAGCGATATGGCCGTCGCGTGTGCATGCGCTCCATGAGCTGCTATGCGCTTGTGTCTGCCACTATAACTGTGACATCGGAGACGAGAGGCCAGATCCTTGCTGCCCGAATCCTGAACTGTGAGTTGTCCCTCTCTCATCTATGTTTCGTCATCTAACCGGTATAATAGATATTTATATCGGAATGGAATTGTCGGTCGTCCCTGTTTTCCAGTCAGAGATTGTACCGGGCCCCGTTCGTGGATTTATCGTCGGAACATACCAGTTGAGCGTGACGGTTAGAACTGGATTCCCCCCCTCCTCCGGGAATTTATATACGTGAAGAAAAAAAAAAAGACTAATATCGGCCAACAGTTTGGCGGACTCATCATTAACGCTATCTGCCGCGGAACGAGCACCATTCAAGGGAACAGCTCCTGGAGAATCCCGTTTGGCCTATTCTACATAATCCCATTTATCATACTTTGCTCTATCTGGTTTATCCCGGAGGTTCGTTGTCTTCCGTGGTCTTGATTGATTTGAGAGCGCCTTCTCACTCTAGCCTGATAGTCACCTCGATGGCTCCTGACCAAAGACCGAGTCGAAGACGCGCGGGCGTCTCTGAGACGTCTCCGTAGGGCTTCCATTTCCGACGACGAGATTGATGCAGAAATTCACGAGCTGCGCGCAGCCCTCGCCGCGGAGGTTGAACAAGGCGCCTTTTCTGAACTCTTCCAGGGCGTCAATCTCAAACGCACAGCCATCGTTGTGGGAATCAACTTCTTCCAACAAGCCACGGGGCAGGCCTTTGCCAGCCAGTACGGCGCAGTGTTTGTCAAATCCCTTGGTACCATCAACCCCTACAACTTCACCGTCATCAGCAGCTCTATCGCCACGGTGATGTGCTTGGGCGGCATTCTGCTTAACGATAAAATCGGCCGTCGGGTTCTCCTGATCACAGGCGCAATCGTCCAAGTTGCCGCGCTCTTCACCATGGGCGGTCTCGGGACTCGTGATCCGGTGACTCGCGAACTGAGTATCGGCATTGTCTCGATGCTGGTTATATTCACGTCCGGGTTTTCCATCGGATGGGCTCCGTTGACCTACGTCGTGTCCACGGAACTGCCCGCCTTGAGGCTGCGCGACCATTCGCAGCGTGTTGGTGCGCTGACGAATATCGTCATGAACTTCACGGTGACTTTTACAGTGCCGTATCTCATTGATGCTGGGTATGCTGACCTGGAGTCGAAAGTCGGGTTCATTTTTGGCTCTATCGCTGTCTGTGCTGCTCTCTTCACGTATTTCTGCGTGCCGGACTGCCAGAGAAAGTCGTTGGAGGAGGTGGATCGCTTGTTTAACGAGGGTGTTTCGGTCAGGAAGTTCAAGTCTACCACGCTAGAAGCAGAGGCTGTGGACGAAAAGGTGGTGACAAAGGTATAATTATGACTGTAATTCTTCGTTGGAAGTATACTTCGCTCATTTCCGTATACTACCTCGTTCGATCTATTATCATGATAGCGGTGAAGTGATTACTAGTAAATAGGAATCCCTTCATCCATAATAACTTTACAATCTTTGATGCATCAGTCTAACCGCATAATACTAAGCCATTGCAAGCTATAGCCTATATTTATGTATATTATAGCTATAGTTGTCGATATAACAGGTTGGTAGCAGCCGATAACAAACAACATGTCACATGGTATAGATACGACGTCATGCCATCCCCAAACTTGAAACTTCAAACTTCATCTTCTCACTGCAAGATGTCCAGCCATTCCGAGTCCAAGTACGCGGACCTCCCCCGCTCAACCTCGAAGCCGCTGGAATGCGGCCTTCAGGTAAGCCAGGTCCAACAGATTGACTCGTCTCTCTCTCTCTCTAACAGTCCAGGGCCACGCCCTCCTCCGCGACTCATACTACAACAAAGGGTCTGCATTCCCCAAAGACGAGCGCCATGCATTCGGTCTTCACGGCCTGCTACCCCCCAGCGTGCAGACGCTGGAGGAGCAGGTCAAGCGCGCTTATCAGCAGTACTCCGGCCAGGCCGATGATCTGGGGAAGAACACGTTTATGGCGAGCATGAAGGCGCAGAACGAGGTTTTGTATTACAGAGTATAATGCCGCCCGCTCTACGCGCCGTGCATATATAGGACTTGCTAATGATAAACTACGATTAATTAAAGCTTATTCAAGACCACCTGAAAGAAATGTTCGGCATAATCTACACGCCAACAGAAGGCGACGCAATCCAGAACTATTCGCGAGTCTTCCGAAAGCCAGAAGGGTGTTTCCTGAATATCCACGACGTGGATAGGATTGAGCATGATCTGAAACAGTTTACGGATAACGGGACCAATGAGGATATCGACTACATCGTCGTCTCGGATGGAGAAGAAGTATGCTTTTATACCCCCGGGAAGCTTTAGAATAGAAGCTGATGGGTATAGATTTTGGGCATCGGCGACCAGGGTGTAGGAGCGGTGCTGATATCGGTCGCAAAACTGGTGTTGACTACGCTCTGCGCTGGGATTCATCCGGCAAGACAGCTTCCAGTTGTCCTTGACTGTGGAACAGATGTAAGCTCCACCTTTATAATCAAAAGGTCTCTGCGAGGTAGTAGAAAACTAATATGTATCTGTCTATAGAACGAGGAGCTTCTAAAGGATGATATGTATCTCGGTCTTCGCCATGAGAGAGTGAGAGGGGAAGAATACGATCAATTCGTTGACCGGTTCGTCACCAGCGCAAGAAAAGTTTTTCCCAATGCGTATATCCACTTGTAAGTAGTCACTACTCAGAGGATAACAATAGAAAGATACTGACGCTTCACAGTGAAGACTTTGGGATCAAAAATGCGCGAAGACTGCTGGAAAAATATCGACCTCAAATCGCCTGTTTCAACGACGACGTCCAGGGCACGGGATGTGTAACGCTTGCAGCTTTAATGGCAGGCTTGCACGTCAGCAAAGTCACTCTGAGTGAGGTCCGGGTGGTTATTTTCGGGCCTGGCACTGCAGGTACCGGGATAGCTGATCAGATCCGAGACGCCATTGCAACTGAGAGCAGCAGGTCAAAAGAAGAGGCAGCCAAGCAGATATGGTGAGAACTGGAAACCGGTTCCATGCATCTTGTCCTAACGTGTGTCCATTGCAGGTGCATCGACAAACCCGGCCTTCTTCTCAAGTCACAGCACGACAAACTAACACCAGCACAAATACCCTATGCAAAAGAAGATGCCGAATGGAAAGACGCCAACCAAGCTGCTGACCTCTACCACGTCATCCAAAGAGTAAGGCCGCACGTACTCATTGGCACATCGACCAAGCCCAAGGCGTTTTCCGAGGAGATCATTCGCGAGATGGCGAAGCACGTCGAACGACCGATTGTGTTTCCACTGAGCAATCCAACACGACTACACGAAGCGCAGCCCAAGGACATCAATGATTGGACCGAGGGCAGGGCGCTGATAGCGACCGGCAGTCCGTTTCCGCCTGTGGAATATAACGGAGTCAAATACGAGATTGGTGAGTATTAAGTGACTACCCTTGCTAACAAAGTTAGGTGATTATCGTATTGACGTATATGTACTACTACAAGCTGAATGCAACAACTCCACCTGCTTCCCCGGCATTGGGCTGGGGGCAGTCCTGAGTCGCAGCCGGCTGCTGTCGGATAAAATGCTTGTGGCCGCCGTTAAGGCACTGGCAGCGCAGTCGCCGGCGCTTCAAGACGCGAACAAGCCGCTTCTGCCGGATGTCGAGGACGTGCGCGAAATCAGCGTGCACATAGCCAAGGCGGTGATTAAAGCTGGGGTCGCAGAAGGTCTTGCGCAGGAAGAAGGCATCCCCGACGATGACGCGGGCTTGGAGGCATGGATCCGGGCGCAGATGTGGGATGCGGTGTATCGCCCGTTGGCGAAGTCGGCGTATTAGTTAGTTGATTTGCGTATAAGTAACTATCTTAACTTATTAGTTTGGTTTGACATAATTTGCGAAAAATTGCAATAGCTGTGCGAACCTAATATCGACAAGTCTGCTCGTATGGTTGGTTAATGTAGCCAGCATAGGAAATAAATTGCGGTGGTGGCTGAGGCAGTGGGGGGACATTGGAGCCTCAGGCCCGCAGCACTGCCCGCTGGCCTCAGGCATAACTTTATGTCATATCATCATGAACCTTTTTTTTTTTTTCTTTAAAGTTCCAAAGGAATAGACGAGCCACCATGAACGCCTGTCTTTTCCTTCCACCGCTCATGGAGAGATATATCTAGCCTGGGCATATTTCGTGTGTGTTGGCTCCTGCAAATTAGTCATTCATTCCTCTATTGACCTCTCTGTTTGCCCGGTCTTTGTCCCTTCCTTTACCTTCCACATAACTACCACCACTTTCACTCAACCACATCTGCATCATCTGCATCAAGGCTGAGCACACCATGAAGACATCATCTATAACGAGCATTCTCTTGCTCTTTTCCCCTCTTGTGTCTTCTCTTGCAGTTCCGCAGGGAGATCTGGTCGTTCTTAACGATCCGCCACCGGAGGCGATTCCAGATGTTTCTGAGTTGGAGAAGCGACGAGGCGGCGGCGGCGGTGGTGGGCGCGGCGGTTCAAGCTCTGGGGGCTCAAAAGGTAGCGGTTCCAGTTCCAGTTCTGGCAGCTCCAAAGGGAGCGGACGCAGTAGCAGTTCCAGCTCTGGCAGTTCAAAAAGTAACAGTGGAAGTTCAGGTTCAGGCTCGAGTTCAGGCTCCAGCGGGTCGAAAGGTAGCAGCGGAAGCTCCAGCTCCGGGAGCAAATCTTCTTCAAGGTAGACTCCCTCTCATCATAATATCTTGTCATTCGCCTGACTAACCTTTCTAGCAACGTCGGGGGCACAACGAGGTCGGGCTCCGGAACGCCCAGAACATATGGAGGCGGTGGTTACTACGCGGGCGGCGCAACAACGCCCTTTGCAGCCGGTAGTCGAACATTATCCGGCATCCTTCCCTTTGCATTATTAGGAGGAGCGCTCGGGATCGCGGCCGGGTCTGCCTGGCACGGCTATGGCTATCCCTTCTACACGCCGTACTACTACCACGACCCCATGGCAGCGAGTCACAACAACGGTCAGGCTGGCAACTATACGATGAACGTAGTCTGCTACTGCGAGCAGTACAGCGAATGCGGCTGCGACGACAACAAGAACAGCACGTACCTGGCGGAGGTGATTGGCGATCCTCCGCACAATTCGAGCATTGTCACAATCGTGCAGAATGGCACCAACGAGACGGCCTATATCAACGGCACGCTGGCGAATGGCACCACTGCTGCTGATCCGAATGCCTCTGGCGCATCGGCCATGTTGGCGGTGGGCTCTGCATGGCCTGTTGTGGCGCTTGTGTCTGCGATGATATATTATCTGTAGGCGGCTGCGTTTGTATTCTTTGCTGTTGCTGGACACATATATACCCAATTTGCTAGTAATGATAATTCCGATAATGATGGCTCGGTAAGAGGGTGGCTATAGATTTATCACTTGAGGTTGAGACTGGACACGGGGCTGTACGCGTCTTGCATGAGCGAGCTAGCTTGGCGATTACGCAGTACTCCACCGCACGTACGGAAAAGTTGTTAACTATTATATTAATAAATAACTACAGCTCAGCCTGAACTTGAACATTTGTGGGAATTCTTCTCGACTGCAGTCAGTCTTACACACAAATGTCCCTCGCAACGCGGAATGCAGCAAGAATGTACCGTACAATACGCAAATACGCTGCAATTTAACTAAGACTAGCGTGCCCCTGGGCCGTTACGCTACGTCAGTAATTAATACAGTGGCCAATCAGGACGGGTGTTTTGATTGACGCTCATTTTAAGCTGTGCCGTCTTCATCTGAGCCACTTTATATATACTCCGTATATCTCTCTCGTTCTCTTTCGTTTCCTACCCCGAATAGATTCGTCTTCTCTGTCGTTCGCTCTCCTCAGATCAGACCGAGTGTCTCTCGTTGACTCGTCTGTCGTCCATTCTTTCTGTCCGATATTGATTGAGTCCATCAACCTCAACAAGACCAAAAGTCAACAATATACAAATCACCAAGAACTGAACAACCAAACATGCACGTTACGAAAGTCCTCATCCTGCTTGCAGCCGCGGCCTCCTCGGCCCTCGCCACCTCAACCACGACCATCAACATCGTGCACGCGCACTCATCCACGCCCACACCAACGCCAACGCCAACTCCCACGCCAACACCGACACCGACACCGACACCGACACCGACCCCATCCCCCAAACCCTCCTCTTCTATATCTTCTTCTTCATCCTTCATAATCCGCCCCTCCTCAAGCAGCGTACACCTCAAACCAAGCTCGTCCTCCATCATCGTCAAGGCCTCATCATCCGCAAGCGTGAAACCCATTACCTCCGTGGTTGTGGACGCCGCATCTACTGCGTCTCCTTTTGCCGAAACATCAGCATCAGCGTCGTCATCGTCATCGTCATCAACAGGTAGTAGCACCGCGCCAGCCTCCGCTAGTTCGTCTGCCAGTGCCGGTCAGCAGGTTACTGCCGGTACCGGCGCGGTGATGGCCGGTGTTGTTGCTGTGGCTGGGTTGGTGATGATGTAGAGAATCTCTTTTCTTTTTTTTTTTCTGTTTGATTTGCGTCCTTGCTACGTCAATTTTCAAAGTCAACGACAAGCGATAGACCGGTTTTTGAGTGCGGGAGTTTCGTTTCCGTTGCTTTTTCAATTAGCCGGGCCAGAGATCCCGGTTTATGTATAGGTGCATCATTGATATCAATGGTGTAGATGTGCAACACGAGACGGGCTGTTTCGTTTCTCTACTTGCGGCCTGTCCGTCGTTTGGTTCATTTTCTTCTGTTCTATTCTTACCCGAATTGTCTGTTTGTTTATAGATTTGTTGATATACTTGATATACATACACTGAATCAATCCTGATTTTATAATACGGCATTGCTTATTGCAAGACATAAATTTAGATAGATAGGTATATATATATACACGAAAATAAAGACCCTAACCTTTTTCCAACCGTACCTAACCGACAGCCATATGTGTATTTCAAACGCCATACATACAAACCACCAAACGCCACACCTACCGCCAGGTATCATGCATAAACAAACAAGTAATGAAATGAAGCCAACGTATAACTATACATAAATCAATGGCACTGCAGTAAATGGTTCAATGACCCATCGGCCGTGGTAATAGCGTCTGCTCATGGCCTGCATAAGCATATAACATGTTTTCGTGCGGCATTAGGCTTTGTGGATGGTGGCCTGTTGCGATGTATTGGGGGTGTTGTTGGTAAACAGGGTGCATTATTGATAATTGTTGTTGTTGTTGTTGTTGTTGTTGTTGCTGTATTGATTGTATGTGCTGCTGCTGGGCTATTATTTCCATTTCTTCATTCGATTCCTTTCTTTTTCGGTCCGCGACTGGCTTGCGTTGGCGCCCTTGTCGGTCGACCCGGACTAGCGGCGTGGACTCGGGATTGTTGCTGTGGTGCGATGTCATTGCGCGCCGCCAAGGTCGCACAGGGACGTTGTCGTAGCCTTGGTAATTGGTGGGGATTGGTTGTTGTTGTTGCTGTTTTGATTGAAGTTGGGGTTGAGGTTGAAGCTGAGATTGGGCTTGAGCTTGGTACATATCGGGCGACGCTGACGCCATATGTTGCATGACTTGATTGTATGCACCTGAATTCATACGTTGATAGTATGCGGATGCCGCGTCTCCTGGAGGTGGCGCAGTAACCTTTCCGACGTCATACATGGTTGCATACCAATTCGTCGGCTGCATGGCTAGAGTGCTAGGGGTAGTGTCTGGTTCAATATAGTCGGGCCAGTGTGTTGCTGTGGGCGGTGCGGGTTGCGGATATGAGATGGGGGCCATGGCAAAAGTTGGTGAGATGAAGGTTGGTGATAGAACATGTGTATTGGGAGGGATGTTGTTGGGAGAAATGCTGTTCTGAGGGGATGGAAGTTGCTGCTGCTGCTGCTGCTGCTGTTGGGAAAAATCATAGGCTGTAAGACTGTGGTGGGAAGGGAACTGCGTGACTATCGGAGTATTGATCTGGCTGACTGCATGAGATTGATGCTGTTCCGGTGCTGTATTGATAGGACTTGGTGCGGAAACCGATGCCGTCCAAGACTGTGTCTCTGCCTGCGTAGCCACCACATTTTGCACAGGCTGGATGATGAGTTCGTCGTGTTGTGACTGCACCCAGACGTCTGTCGGATACCACTCTCGAGTCAGGGCTAGATCCGGCTGCGACTGTGGTGTCAGCATCGCCACGGCAGCGGCCGGCGGAGTGATTGTCGGCGTGGTCTGATTCATGCTCATGGTTTGGTGATTATTCGTCTTCGTTTCGACGGGCGACGTTTCTTCTGACGCCTCCTCTTCCTCTTCCTCATCGTTATCGCCCTGCTCGCCAGCTGGCTTCTTTCGGACCTGGCGGGACGGCTTGGTGACTCTCCATTTCTTCAGGCGACTGCGCAGTTGGGTTTCGCTGGCTGATGGTCAGAACAAAGGCCGACGTATGATAAAAAAAAACCAAGCTACTACGTACCTTGGATTGAAGTCGGTGGTGCGGATCTGCTTGATCACCTGTTTCAGCGGCCACTCCTCATCCTTGTACAGGCGGGCAATCAGGGCCTTTTTCTTCTCCCACACATCTGACGGAATCGAGGTTTTCATTGCGGCAGTCTGCTGTTGTGAGAGGTTGCCAACAACAAATAACGAAGACGAGAAGAAGGTGCGAGGAAAGATTTCCGGGCAAGATCGACGGCGGGCGTGTACATAGCATATATAGAATAAAATAATACCAGAGAGTACCGACACAGGGGACTCCGCCCGAACCCTAAGTATGCTTAATACTGTGAGTTAGTCCCAATACCGTCGATACAAGCGCATTACAAGATCCACGCATGGCTTTCCTGCGGCACGCTGAGTGGCTGCGAGTCGGGACCGTGTGGTTGCCGCCCCCAGAGTTCGTGCGTGGTGTTCTCCTGCAAAGCGAGATGATTGGCGCGTGGCTGTACTACGTGTATTACACGATACCGTCACTGCCAGTCAGTACACAGAGTGGTCCGGATGCTTTCCTGCATCCGCGCCTGCTGTGATTGGCCGTGGTTTCTTCAGCCGAATGCGGTTAGCATCTCTCTACCTACTTCTACTTACGTACTTACTAACTACTTAGTGACTTGGTAGTTACAGAAACACATTCTTCTCATACATAACACACACGCACACACACATACACATGGCACAGCAACCTAGAACTATTGAATTACAATTTCTCTTTGAACATTCATCAGTAGTATATGATCTGACCCGTCAGACTGGCTCGATCGCGCCTAGCCAAACCTTCTGGTGCCGCCATTCCCGAAAAGGGCGGTACTCAAAGCCCTAGCCCTACTCCTACTTCCTACTCCGGCGTAGCTACCCAAGGACTAGGCCTGAATCGTAACGAGCTGGACATCATCTGATCGGTTCTTCAGTTATTCCATCGTCTTTATCACGCCACGCAATCCCGTATCTGGCGGTCGTGCCAATAGCCTTGCTCGATATAACTACATATCTCCGCGGTGAGCTAAGCACGTACGACTCCATGAGGTTAACCATATTGCCGGGCCTTGTTTAGCCTTAAAGTTTTCCGTACAAATGCCAAAATACTTACGTTACTCAATAGTTAACATGTACTTTGTAAGTGGGCTAAGTGCAAAGGACTGATCCGTCGGCATGTCTCTGCTTACTGCTTGCCGCGGCCTACATATAGTCAGTCCGGCGTCGTAGCTCTCAGTATGGAGTCAATTCTCCAACTTCCCTCTCAGTGAACAACGGTTCTAGAAAGGCAAGTAACTACGTTAAAAGTGCAAGGAAAACGATGACAAATAACGCCGACTCGATCTCAGTTCAATAGACTGCGGATTATCACTGTCAGTAATAGTCGTGCGTGGCATTAGCCGCAGACACGTGCCTGCGGGCAAGCAAGCAAGAAAGTACCGACAGGATGAATCAGCGAGAGTCTGCAACTGAAATTCTTTGATTTGGGTTGTACTCGGTCTGGAAATACACTAAAGACTTAGTAGTAAAAAGTAAGCTTTGAAGATGGTCTATTCAATAGTTGCGAACAGACATGTATGTATATATTCTCTGAGTGGTAAGTACTCCCAATTCGCTCGCGTATATTAAACTCAACTCACATGATGCACCATTTTATGAATGGATATGCCACTGTGCATGCCAATTCTTTATATTATTCTTCTTATATTTCAACTACTGATATACTAATATCTACTAAATCCTGCGCACTGAAAAGTAACATAAAGAGAATCCTGCCCTAGCCCGATTCGGCATTTTCCAGCGTCGCGCGAATCGGAGGAAATCCTGGGATTTTGCCACGCGCTTCCGTTTGGGCGTTGCTTATTATCATATTCCTATTCTACGTAGAAAGTCTACTTAGTAACGTAGAGTCTAGTCTAGGGTTCTAGTTACACAGCAGATGCAGATGCTCGAGTCATGGTATTCAAGCCTATCAATATCCAAGATGAGAAGAGCCTTTTCACTACTCTTCCGCACAGAATGAATGCTAAGTGGTTTATGTCGTGCAGGCACGTGTTAAGAGAATCCTATCTTGTTATTATGGCGTTACTCTGTAGACGATGAAAGATAACGAACAATACGCCGTATGTATGTAAAATATATTTAATAGTACGTATCTTACTGTAAATACGCGATACTATAATTATGCGGACAGTCTATTTCGGGACTAGTTTAAGGCTCGGGCCTTTTCCCTTGGCTTCCGCCGCGGGTCTCTGCGTGAATCTCTTTGTCTGTTTTGGAGTAGCCATCAAACTAACTAACTATACGTTAGTTCTGTCCATTGCTGCGGGATCAAACAACAAAGACGAAGACAAAGATGCGTGTAATAGTTAAGTGTCAACTAACTATGTACCATGTAGCCCGACAGCGTGGATGGCATGACTCGTACCCAAGTCCAAGGCTATCTATGTTTATCTATTCGTATTATTCGTATCTTGGTGTATTTTAGTTCCATTTTATCTCCCCGAGCACACCCCCTCCGCAAGCAAGGAGTATGTCCGGCCGAGCAGCACTTCGGATGTACGGATGAAAAGCAACTTCGTAATAGCGAACAGAGTTAACTAACTCTTTTCCCCCCCGTATCACTGATGCACGAACCCTCACTGATCAGCGGCATAGAGCGAATCAGAGGCGTCTGGGTTAGCGGTTCATGATTTCATCCAGACTGTTGGAACCAAGGATCGGCATTAATTACGAATACGTAGCAATACTTCCGTCCATTCGTCCATTCATACTAGTCTGGGGGACCTTGGGTGAATAGTAGTCAGAAAGTAGGCACCAGGTAGAGGGGGAGGGGAAAAAGAGTCACATATAATTAAGAAAAAAACACTAGAAAACACCAGCCATGCATACATACATTAAACAGTAACATAAATCAAATCAGGGAAACCAGAAAAAAATAAAGGAAATCTATCTACGCCTGATGCGGTGCTCTTTGCCCCGTTTTGACTTCTTCTTGGCCTTGTCGGGCGGAAGAACAAGAGGCTCGTCACGCACATTCCACTCCATGAATCGCACCAGATAATCGTCAATATGATGTGGTTCGGCAGTCGCCTCCTCGTCCTCCTCGTTCTGCTCTCTCTTTGCACCATCGGCAGCAACAGATTCATCGCCGGCAAGACTAGTCGTAGTAGTCGTAGTCGTCGGAAGAAGGGCATCGCCAAAATCGCCATCGTCAGCATGCTCCATCTCCTTTTGCGCGTTCTTCGCCGCGTCAATGTCCTCCTTGTCTTCGGCCTGCTCGAAGACGCGACTGCTAGGGTGGTTACTGCCAATGGCGATGCCGACGCCGCCGCCGCGATTGTCGAGCACGCGGTCCATCGCTTTACTAGCCTCGTCTTGCTGGTCGTCGGGCGCCGATTCGTCAATCTCTGCGCGCGCCTTGTTGACGCGCGTAAAGTAGTCGGTCGTAAATGCGCCTTCTTGGATGACCACGTCGTCCAGCATCCGCTTCTGATTCGCCTTGCGTAGGATGTTGGACTCGATCGTAAACTCCGATACAAACCGGTAGATGTGCACATCGCGCGTTTGCCCAATTCGGTGACACCGATCCTGGCACTGCTTGTCCATCGCCGGATTCCAGTCGAGGTCGTAGAAGATGACGCTGTCCGCGCCCGTCAGGTTGATACCTAGACCGCCAGAACGCGTAGATAGGATGAATGCAAGGATGCGGTTGTCGTTGTTGAATCGGTCCGTAAGCATCTGCCGTTGCTCGACTTTAGTCGTGCCGTCGAGTCGCAGATAGCGGTGTCCGTGGATGTTTAGGAATTGCTCTAGGATGTCTAGCATCTTGGTCATTTGAGTGAAGATCAGCGCACGATGGCCACCGGCTTGAAGCTGACGGAGTAGTTTGTCCAATTGCTGCAGCTTTCCGCAGTCGTACTGTAGCAATCTTTTGTCGGGAAATGCGATCGACAAGCGCATCTGAGCCTCATGGAATGGATCGTAGTTTTGGTAACGGATCTCTGGTCCAAAGTACCGCGATTCTACAGGCGTGATTGCTGCCTCTGTAGTCCCCGCTGCGACGGCTGCCGGAGTGACACACCCGAATCTTTGGATGTATCCTTCCATATTCTGAGCTCGATCTTGGATCGAGTTAATCATCGAAGCTAGCACCGACGACTGATTCGCGAGCTGATCAAGCTTTGAGATCTGACGAGATGAGCCATCGCGTGCGGAGAATCCATTGTATGGCCGTTCGATCGTGAGGAATTTGATCAAGCTTTTCCCCCAGATCGGTCGTCGACCATGTCGATGACTCTCGAAATACAGCGCGCTCTCGAGCTCATTCATTCGTTTCTTCCGCGCCGCGTTTTCCATTGAATCTAGTATAGACCGCACCGAAGAGCCATCAAAGCCCATTTGCCAATTAGTTCGCCTATACTGACGTTCACGTAATGTCTTCAGAGGCCCGAAAGCCATAATACGACTGCTGTCTTGGACTAGTCTAGTGGAAAGATCTTCTCTTGATATAGGTGCTAGGTTCAGGAACTCCAAATCGAGTGTGTCAAACGGATGCTGATACAAAAGCCGTCGTCGGACAAGGGTGTTTTTGATCTCATAGTCAATTGACACTGAAGTGGGCATTGCAAAAGAAGTCGAAATCTGGCGCGTTTCAAAAAGATCTGGATGGTTGCAGACTTTTCGAAGTTGCATCAGACAGTTGATGATGGAAAGGTAATTGCCAGAAGCCAGCGTTTCTTTTGTTTGTGCCCTAGACATGAATCCGTCATAGAGATATCGCTGGCGCTTCGACAGTCGGCAGGTGACAACGTGCTCATACTTGGCTGGCATTTGTTTCTCGACGTCTGCTTTCAATCGTCGAAGAAGGTACGGTCGAAGGACAGTGTGTAGTTTGGAGACAATTTGTTTCGCCTCCTCGTCCATCGTTTCCCGCCCATGCTCGAGAATCTGCTCGACTGGCCGTCGGAACCATTCTGAAAAATTCCGCAGATCTGCAAACCCTTCTACACCAGCTCCGTCTTCATCTGACGGCATCAGGAAAAACAGAAGCGACCACAACTCCGTTAGGTTGTTCTGAAGAGGCGTACCCGTAAGCAAAAGACGCGCGCGCGTCCTGAACGTAAGTAGAGCTTGCCACCTTTGAGACCGAAAGTTCTTAATGTTGTGGGCCTCATCAAGGACCATATAGTGCCAATTCCTCCGCTTGAGGACTTGCTGATCCTGCAACACCAGCTGATATGATGTGATCAGGACATCCCAGCTGCTATCATCCGTCCAGCCTCGCCGCTTTTGCTTTCTTTCCTCCTGGTTCCCGTAGTAGGTCATGATTTTGAACCCCGGGCACCACTTTTTGAACTCCATCTCCCAGTTGAGGATGACACTCGTCGGGACGACGACTAGATGTGGTCCCCAGGTTTCATGCTCTACAGCCAAGTGTGCAAGTAAAGCAATCGTCTGGATAGTCTTACCGAGACCCATTTCGTCCGCTAATATACCATTGATGTGATTCGTATATAGTCCGGCTAGCCAGTCTAGCCCATAGTGCTGATACTCACGCAATGTTCCTCTGAGCAAATGAGGGATTGGTGTTTTCAGTCCGGCGGGTGTGGGTGAGTCTGTTACAGACTGCTTGTCCATTTGACCTTCATACGATGACATAGATTCGGGTTCAGATGGCTTGGTAGCAACCGTGGCTGGAGAAGCTTGGCTGGAGGCATCGCCGCTGTGACGTGACTCGTTATTACCTTCTCCATCTCGTGTTGGGAATTCTTGCTTGTCAACATCCATCTGCTCTCCTTCTGCTACAGCACGAGAAGATTCTTCATCTCGTTGACTTTCGGATTTAGCACCCCCTAATTTGTTGGCCTCTTGGTCGCTCTCTTCCGAAGAGCCTGTCGGGATAAGAGTGACCTCGTCTGCATCTTCGTTTTCAGCATCATCGACTGAGCCTTTATTCTTCTCATCTTGCTCGTCTTCCGTGTTGTTCATACCGCTAGCCAACAGCGGGTCTTTGGAAGAAAAGAAACCAAAAAGCCCTGGACCGTCATCACTAGCAGTGCTCTCATCGTCATCGTCGCTCTGCTCATCGCTCATATCGTCAGAATCTCCCAAGTCATCCTCCATATCCGTAGACTCATCGCTGTCATCTAACATAACAGGATCAACTTCGTCAAGATCTGCATGTGTTATCGATGGAGCAACCGAGGTGTCGCCTTCGGTATGCCCATCTTCAACAGACGGAGTGCCGCGACTCGATGAATCCAAACGAGAATCATCGCTGGCGTTATTTGCAAATGTGGTATCCGGAAGGTTCGCATACTTCAACCGCAATTCCTCTGCAGTTAGACCCTCATCGTCGTCAGGGAGGTTGTCGCCTTCGCTATCACTTTCGCTACTAGACATATTGCTTTCGTCTGCATCCGAGAGGGAAGTTTCTTCATCTTCCTCATCGTCGTCTTCGTCTTCTTCCAAATCCTTGTCGTCGTCATCAATATCCTCACTAAAGGCGTCCATGTCGCTTCCAATGCCAAGAATTTCCTGTCTTCGTTTCTCAAATAGCATTGTTGACTGCTTGATGGCCTGGTTTAACGCCTGCTGGTTTTCTGCCTTTCTTTCTTCTTCCCACCGGGCTAGGCGAACTCTGTCCACCTCAGCACGAACCAAATCGAACTGTTTTTGGAGATCTCTTATGACTTGTTTGCGTTTCGCTTTCATTTCTTCTTCTTGTTCACGTAGAATATCCTCCGGTCGTTTATTTCGCTTCCTCCAAGCTTCAGCACACCAATAAGCAAGCTGACGAGCTGTGTTCCGATGTCGTCTGTGTTCTTGGTCGAGAAGCTTGCGAAAGTAGAGGGCATGTGCGACGAGGTGATCGTAATGAGAATATTGAATCGGAGGTTCTTCTTGCGGTTCGGGAAGACAGGCGGAACAGACTTGTGGACTGAGCAGCCCTCCAGGCTCCCCAGCTTCGAGGACTCGAAGCCGCTTGATTGCTTCTTCTTCAGCATCTTCAGTCGTCGTAATGACGTTTTCCCCAGCTAAAACATCGGTATTGTAGACCCAATCTCGGAAGGAGGGGTAGTGCTTTGACGGTACAACGTGGCCTGGGTGTTGAACACTGACTGATCCCTTTTTAAATTTCAGCCGTATACGAGGGAGCTTGTGGCCTCCAGTAAACTCATAGGCGTCACTTTGGCTGGGACTCTTAAGGTCCCTAGAAACAGACGGCGATTCCGTGGTTGAGATGGAAGCATTGCGACGCGTATACCTTGGGCTAACGCCGTTGACAGTTGTCTGTACGCGCCCATGCAAATTCGCGGCGTTTTGCGACCTCCTTCGAGCTTTGGCGGAGTCGCTCGCAGGTAACGAAGCCTCGATATTGGCGCCTCTACCTACAGAAAGCCTTGAACTAGATTTTCTTTTGCTCTCCCTCCTTTCGATGTTGCTCGCTGTGCCATTTGATGCTGCCCTTGCCCCAAGAGATGATTTCCTACCACTTGCTCGAACTGGTTTCAAAGATAGTGGCGACGATACGGTGGGTGTCTGACGAGTGGATGTAGCTTTGGTCGCGGAATCCTTCTGGATTCCTCGAGTCTGTCTTATCGCGGACGGCGGTTGCATCTCTAAAGGGATAGCATTTGTTCTCGACGATTTCCTCCTGCCTCCTTCCATAAAGGAAGTAGGCCCATCGATGCCGGCCTTCTTCCATGGCGGCGATACTGGTCTCGGCGTTGAGCGTTTGGAATCGGCAAGCTTTCGCTTCTTCGAGGGGGGCCCCTCGACATGTGCTTCGACAATTTCATCGTGCTTTTGTTCGCTGGGTGCTTGTACCAAGGTAACAACGGTCTCCGCGGGCTCTGGTTTAGGCGAAACGCGAAGGTCTTCAGTGGGAATGGGCGTTACGCGCTCGTCATGTTGTGAAGCCCCGTTTGGCGTGCCGTTTTGCATGTCTCGTCACTGAGCGCGAAAGGGGGCCTTTTCCGCAACAGACCCCAACTTTCCCAGCACAGACCAGAGCAAATATGGCAAATTGGGCATCAAAATGTAGAGGGTTATCTGCTGAGGCACCTGTGCGAGTTTGGCATAGCTATCAGCGCTGGTGCGTTGCTGGCGATGGAAATAAGCGCTGGAACGTATACTTGGGGGAGAGATTTGATTTTCGCTCCGTGACGGACGACGACTAAAAGCGGCGCGGCAAACTTGGGCAAGTGCTTGGTGGCCACACGCGGCGTTAGTGCCTGAGGCCATCCACGCCGAGCAGAGCAGCCGCATTGAACCTTTCCGACTTCCGACCTCAACCCAATAAATCAGATACATCCCTCCCAACCCTCCGCCATCCATCTTCCACGCTCGTTCGACCAATTGGCCTTGGCGTAACGGTGAGTGCCGTGCTGCATCCTCAGTTGTGCGCTGCATTAAATAAATACTGATCCAGACTCTGTGTGTACACATCAGATGCTTTCTCGCCGACTCATGACTGGGCGGTTGGCCCAAACCGCCGCGACCAGACTTGCCTCTCCCCGCGCTGCCTTCTCTCAAGCCCGGGCTCTTCGCGCCCAGCCTGAAGAAGATGACCCTCACCTGGTACTGCTGCTGCGTGGCGAGCTATTGTGTGCCCTATGCTAATTGTTTGTCTGCAGAATGGAAACTACCCCAACCCGCCCGCCGTTAAACGCTCATTCCGCGACCCTTACGGAGACTGGTGGGACAAGCAGGAACGACGCAATTTCGGCGAGCCCGTGCACGAAGATAACGATATCCTGGGTGTCTTCAGCCCCGAGCAGTACACTCACGTCACATCCAACAAGGCCTTGCTCTCAATTGGAACATTCGTTGCTGCCTTCCTTGGAGTCTGTGGCCTGGTCAGCTTGTCCTACCCTGACAAGCCGTCTGCTCCGCGCACATTCCCCCATGGACTTGAAAAGGAACTGGGTGGTCCAGGAGCCGTGAGGGTGAGTTTGATTCTCCGTCTGCCTTTTTTTAAAGTACTTCTAACTGGCGATCATAGGCTCGTCAAACCGGTGAGGATACGTGGTGATTTCTCGGTGTTATTTGGGTGTACATAAATGAGTTCTAGATCAATTCAATCGAGTTCCTACAGAGTCAATGCGGTCTTTACGAGAAGATAACAAGTATGGAAGTTATGAGTTGTGCTCAATGGGATTAGTGTGGGCTTGCGAGAAGGCTGCCAATTTTTTCCTACTGTGCTATCAGCGTACGCAGAAATTGGCACTAAAGCGTCGATTCTCGAGCTTTACTTGTGTCTACGTAGGAAGGCCGGTCGCATGCTTCTACGAGAGGTTGTATAAGTTGTGCTCGCAGTGGAAATCAAAAGCCCAAGAAGCAACACGCATCTCCCTCCGATATCTACATACATACCTACATTTCTATACGCATATATATCTCATCAATTCGCACCTAGTCAGCCATCCCATAAAAACTAGCATGCTGTTTATGACAGATCCCTGCATTCATTAGGACCATGAGCACCTACCCAGTTCATTGGCCAGCAATGCTTTCTCTCAGACGCATCGTAGAGCAATATGATGGGTACGGCCTAGACATGTAGCCATTAACCTGCAACATGTTATGCCAGGGCGCCCAAACTATATATAAGACTGCATAACCTTGGCGCGCCGCTAGTTGTCGCTGTAGGCGCCGAGGCGGTCCGCCTACGTCAGTCGGTCAGTGTGTTGTTTCAGATTCACCCCTCACTCAAAAACATCAAAATAATCCGTTCGCTCAAAGACAAGAAAAAAACAAAGCGCCGCCCACTTACAGCGAGCAGATAGTGAAACTGATCGGTGCTCGCTAATTTTTATTCCCCCCCTCCAAATACCATCGCTGGGCCCTGTTTCCCTCGGTCGCTTAGGCTTTGTGTGTCTGATGGGTCTCGCTGTCCCCTATACCGCCTAACCTCCGAGTCTGGGACCAAGGAAACTGAATCACTGCAACACCTCGCTGAATCTCATGTCGACGGCGTCTGCTCGCTCCAGCGGTGTCAACCGCCGATTGACTGATCTCCAGAATGAATCCAAGCACTCGCATTCCCGCAGCCTGTCCAACACTCGCAGGCGACTGTTGAGCTCAGCTGATGCATATTCTTATGCACTCCGTGTTGCTTTTCTGTCGCACTTGCTTCAGCCGCGAGCACGTCGTACGCAAAAAGTACAGGACTCGTCCAACCATGTTCGCCGGTCATCGTCTTCGTTCCAAGACCTGTTGGGCGATTTCGTTCGTCTGAGAGACTCGAAAAGTACGAGATTCCCGCATGGATTCATTGCGGAGTTGGAGAAGAGGCTCACAGGCATACTGGTTGGCAAGGAAAGGAGGAAGGAGTACCAGGATCCGGTGGTTATACGAACGTTTGCCATTTTCCTCAATGCCTTGAAAGAACAGACTTTCAAGCGGCGAATGGAACAAGATCGTCGTGTTGAAGACCTCGTCCTTATTTTCTTCTCTAACGCCACAAAGGAACTTGGAAAGGGGAAGGATCCCGGCGATGACAGTTGGAGTCTTATGGTCGACCGACATGTTGCGCTTTTTGTCCGCCTCATTACGCTGATCCTCAAAGAGCATGATTGGGCTAAGGACAGACCGGAGCTCACCAGCAGGCTAGCAGTCCTGGAGGCCAAGTTGCTGGCCCACGACCAAGACCTCGCAGAAACAAACGGATCTTCCAAGACTATCGAGACTATTGCGCCCGTTAGTTACGATGTCAAAGACATGGCGTTGGTACCGTTCGTCGCGAGGATATTTGGAATTAGCTCTTTTCAAACACAGGACGATATCAACAGAAACAAAAATGAATGGACTGCAAAGGCTGCCCTTCAGGATCTGAAAAATTACCAAGCGCACCTGAGTCTCAAGACTGGAAGAACGCTGTCCAGAGACGATTTTCCCGATGATGAGTCTTACGAGACGTGGAAACGTGGCGAGGGGCCGGACCTTTCGCAAATGATGCTGGCAATTGTACAGTCGAATCCAGAACTCGCGAAGAGCACACCGGGTGGTGCGCTGCCACAATTCAATGCCTTAGCACAAGACACGGCAGCAATAAACTCCAACTTTGTGGATTCGTCACCTCAAACTCCCAACAGATCAAATCGCATTTCGTATGTCATTGATCAACCTATTGATCTGAGCTCGCTGTCACTGGTTGATGAAGCAGAGTCTGATCACGTCTACACTTTCATACCGTCTGATCCACGATCTCTTTACCGCGCAATACTATCTCGCGCTTTGATGTATGATATCCGGGACCAGAAACTGGAAGCTACCGAGGCAACATCCGAAATACCATCACTAAAGCTGTTGTCGAAGCAATCAACGGAACTGTTGAATGAGATATGCTTGCGTTGGCGGATACCAGCCTCCTCCCGGGTTGTTCTGTTTCTAGACGTCATTCGAGAGAAGTTCGTGGATCAGCAGATTGATATCAAGACCGTCGATGCAGCTTTTACTTTCATCAAGGAGCCCCCCGCGCAGGAAGGGAAGAAACGCAACAGTCTTCTCACATCTGTGGTCTTCGACAGGAAGCGTTGGATTACGCCTGATATGTCACTGATGCGTGACCTATTATCTGCGTTGCAAGAGGCTCTTTTGCGGGAACTATACGATGTGATGATGCACTGCTATGACTCCAAGCCTCATCCAATCGGTCCAGTCATGTATATACTGGACAACCATGTTCGACTGGACCCTCAGTTTGAAGATACTCCTGATAAATTGGATGGGTTTGCTAAGTATGTTACAGATGGCCTTACTGAGAAAGCGAAAGAGTGTTATCAGAGGCTACTTGATGCGGCTATTCCGGCCGATCACCTGGAATGGGAGGCATATAATGTTACTCAACTAGGGGACTCGATCATGCAGCTAGGAAAGAAAATCCAGAAGCGCTACAAAAATAATCCAGTTATTCTTGGGTGAGTTGGGCCATTCCTTAGGTAACCAGATATAGAGCTGACTGGACTCGCAGCGTCAATCCGCTTGATATTCTACTCAGTTGTGTGCTCCCAATGTACGCAAGTGATGCACACGAGATTATCCTAAGGATTATGGAGCGCGCAAAAGAACAAGGAACAGAGATCCCTGTTGAAGATGGATTTGACCTTTACAAAGGGCTCTCTGCTGTCAGGCGTCTGCATATGAATGCACTTCCGGGGTATGTAGCACAAGTTTAGACGATGACGCTGATGAACTAATGATAAATTGTAGGGTTCCGTTCTCGATTCCTATTGAGACACTACTGTCCAACTTCGTCTGGCGGTGGATCCAACAGACGGATGGCAAGTTTATGGAATGGGTTGAGCAGGCTGCCAGACAAGATGCTTTTACTGTTCGGAGCGATGATCCCAATAACCTGCCACCGGATGACTTGCGGCACAGTGTCTCTGTAATAGACATATTTCGCTCGTTCAATCAAGTTGTTGAAGAGCTGAAGAATCTAGAGTGGGAAGATGACCTTCAGTACGCCAAGTTCATGACCACATTATCTAAATCAGTCGAAAGAGCTGTTGGCAGGTACTGTGAGTTACTGGAATTGTCGTTCACCAAAGAAATGGATCGATTGTCTCCGGATCAAGAGGCTTCTATGGGTCAATCCAGACAGGAGAAATTCATGCAAATGGCCAAGGAAGCATGGAACAACAAGGACAAGATGGAGCCGTTCCAATTTCTTCCGGAGGTATGTTTTGAGTTGTCTGGCTTTCTGTTGAGCATAAAACTAATTTTCTCGTACAGTCCCTCGTCAAGCTGAATAACATTGAATACGCGGTTGCACAACTCGATAAATTGGAAAAGGAGATCAATGTAGACGGCTGTGCGGATGTCATTGCGAAGAATACGCCACCAGTCGCTCAACAGAAGATTCGCAAAGCAACCACCTACGTGTTCACGGTGAAAATCGTCGAGGGCGAGGACTTGAAGGCTTGTGACATTAACGGCTGGAGCGACCCATATGTCGTTTTGACAGACGAATATCAAAAACGCATAGCCAAGACTCGCATTGTCTATCGCAATTTGAACCCTCGGTGGGAGGATTCTGTTGACATCACAACCAAAGGGCCGTTGAATATCATCGCTACTGTCTGGGACTGGGATGCAGTGGGGGACCATGATTACGTGGGACGCACATCGCTGAAACTGGACCCTGCTCATTTCAGCGATTTTCTTCCTAGAGAGTTCTGGCTTGACCTAGACACGCAAGGACGAGTGCTGCTGCGAGTCGGCATGGAGGGTGAACGCGACGACATCCAATTCCATTTTGGAAAATGCTTCCGGACGTTGAAGCGGACTGAGAAAGAAATGACGCGGAAAATCACTGAAAAGGTCGGTTTCCTAGACATGCCTGAGTTCAGAAGTAACGTACCTAACAATGTAAATAGCTCTCCGCGTATATCAGTGACAGTCTTTCTCGCCGGGCTCTCAAAGCTCTGCTGAATCGCGGTGGACTGACAATTTCGAGTTTCCTCAGTCGAACGCGCTCAGGGAACACAACAACAGCACCAACACAAGACGAAATAGAAACCGCCCTGGGACCCTTATTTACCTATTTCAACGACAACTTCGAAATCATGAACCAAACCCTTACCTCGGAAGCGATGAAAATGGTCATGGCTCGACTCTGGAAGGAAGTCCTCGTAACCATAGAGGGCTTACTCGTACCTCCCCTCTCAGACAAGCCTTCGCACCAGAAGCCCCTCACCCAGCAAGAAGTAGACATTGTCTCCAAATGGCTCGAACTTCTCCTACTATTCTTCCAAGTACCCGACGAGGTCACCGGCGAAGCAAACGGCGTGCAACTCGACATCCTTAAATCACCCAAATACCACGAAATTCAATCCCTCATCTTCTTCTACTTCGAGTCCACAGACACCCTGATCCGCACCTCTGAGCGCATGGCATCAGCCAACGCCGCACGCCAGCAAGCAAACAAAAACCGCATGCCACCAGCATCCACAGCCACAGCCGGTGGCATGCTCAGCGCCGGCGTCCCCGTCGGGCGCGCAAAGAGCATCATGTACGTCCGCAACATGGGCACAATGCGCAAAGCCAAAGCAGAGAAATGGCGCGAAGCGCAGGCCGATCCAAACGACGACATGATCCTGAGAATCCTGCGCATGAGACCCGAGGCAACGGGGTATCTGCGCGATCGCAGTCGGCAAAAGGAGAGATTGGCTGCGGCCGCGGCGGCAGATGCGATTGTGAAGCAGAGTCTTGTTGCTAGTAGTGGGGGACGGATGACGGGGACGTTGAAGAGGTGGTGATTTTTCTTTTCTTTTCTCTTCTTTGCCCTTCTCCTTTTGTTTTTTTTTTCCCCTCTTTTCATGATGGTTTGTTAATTGATTGATCAAGCAAATACTGGCCTTATACCCACTCCATTCTAGTCCATTCTGATAGCATACGCATTGATCAATGAGCATATTCTTTCTGCCAAAGCCTTCATCCATCCATTCATTTATTTTGATTACTGTATTTGGGATAATTCTATTTAGCGTGTGTTGAGCGAGGTCTTTAAATAATAATATATTTTCCTTTCTTTTTTAAATCTTTTTTGTAGGTTAATATTAATAATCTATGCATATTGTAGTTATACTAGCTAATAATATTCTAGAGGATAAAAGTAACCAGGCAAACAACCTCTCAACTGCCAGGTTATGAGAATAAGAAAAAAGCAAATCAAGTCTGTCTCGCTGTACACGCACAAGAGTAGAAAGAAAGGGGGATTGGGGGATCAGAAAATATCCTCACACGCACTCCAATCACTAACCTCCCTACACTTCCAATACTGGCCCGAAGACTGCCAATACTCCTCGCCTGTAATAGGGCATTTAGCCCTCTGGAACCACTTGGGCAGAAACTCTTCGCCCTTCATTTCGCGCTCTCGCCGCTTCGCTCTCTGCTTCTCTTCGACGCGGTGTTTCTCGCTGGCCGCAAAGTCGTATTCGCCGTCTTCCATGGCGCGCTGGTCGGGACGTAGTCGCGTGTCGGTGGGCGGTAGGAAGGGGCGGAGACGGTCCGGAATGGCGTTGAGGGTTAGGACGAAGGGAGTGAGGTTGAAAGGGATCCCGGTTGGGCGCGGGTTGGCTTGCCATAGGAGGATGGGCTTGGAGGACTCGTCGGGGGCAATGGTGCTTTCGGTGCCTTGGGGTGGTGTAGTAGTAGTAGTAGGACGAGCGAAGATTTTGTCGTTCCATCGCCCTCCAATTGTCCATCTCGTGACGCCGGCGGCATCGACTAATTTGCCGCTTACTTGGTAGGCAGAAGAGGCTTTCCAGCCGCGGGCTTTGAAGTCGAGATAGCAGACTTCGCCTGTTTTCCAGTTCTTGACTTCCATGGGTCCGTAGTTGTCGACGGTGGGGTTGCCCGTGATGATGCCAATGACTGAAGAGGTTACTTTTTTCCATGTGTAGAGCTCCTCTTCGCCGTTGATAGGGCGTAGCTTGCAGAACCACGTTCCTAGCAAGTTGATGTCGAAGGATTTGCCATAGAATTTAGATTTCAAAGCCGATTCACCCTACTATCGTTAGTCCTAGATACATCAAGGCACGAAGAGTAGACAAAGAGGGACGTACGTAGTATTCCCATTTCGGTGACTCGGCCCACGCAGCACCAATCGGCGGATGATGGCTGACCTGCTCAACGTAGAATCGGTACTGTTTGTCCGGGCGAACATACTCAAAAGTCTCGCCTAGCAGGGGATTGAACGGCTTCGCAACCCGGCCAATCGTAGAGGCATACTCGCTAATTGCATAGGCAGCAACGTACAGCAGACGCTCCAGGGACTCGGAACGGTCGGCGGCGACGTCTAGCAGATCTGCGTATTCCATATCCTCGGCAACACGTTGAAGGAGCGAGGTGGGCTCGTTGAAGGATACGGGGAGTGTCATCTTGGTCATGTCTTTACCGATCATAGATTTGAGGATGCTCTAGATGGATGTGAGTTACCTTGCAAGAAATGCATGATAAAAGATAGTAGTAAAACTTACCCACAACGACAGCTTAGGTCTGTCATCTTGGTCCATCTTGAGTCTTTGCCGAACGGGATCTTCGTACCCTGTAAACGCAGGTGTTATAGCAGCAAGCTTCGACGAGCGCAGGTCAGCTATATTACTGTCCACTTCGCCCGACTCTGCCCACTTTTCGGCTGGGATTGCATCGTCTTCGCTGCTAATAGCATCAAAAAATTCTGCATCGTCATCATCGGAATCCGACTCTGCAAGATCTGCATATTCAGATATAGTCTGTCCCTTCTTGCTGGCGTCAACAACAGGCTCAGCTTTATCCCCCACAAGCGTCATTGTGGTTACTATTGGCTTTGCTGTTGCTTTCTCCGCCTCCAGCTCTGCTTCTGCTTCTGCTTCTTCGAACTTATCAGCATCCTCGTGCTCGAGAGGTTTGGGCGTATTTTCTAAAACTTCCTTGAGCGCCTTCTTTGTTTTCCTGCGCTTCTCTTCCGATTCACCGACTTTGTGTTGTAGTTCTTCATGCTCCTGGACAATACGAGCCATGCTTTCCTCCCACATTTTGCGCATATCCGATTCTTTATCAAGACGGTATTGCCAATAGGCATCCCTATCGCGTGATATGTTCGAAAGACAGGCTAGCAAATCGTTGAGACTGCCCACGGCCGACTCGTAAGTTGACAACGCTTGATCAACCACCGGGTCAGATACTGTAAGCTCCGGGGTTTTATCCTTCTGGGCCTTGAGGGAGGCAGAAACATTTGACAGAAGATCTAATTGCAGTTTCGCGGACTGGGCTGTGATGTAAAACGCATCTTTATTAGTGGGCTGAGCGTCATGACTCGATGCATAATCATTATAGTCTTCATAGTCCGGCTCTTCGTCAATGCCAGCAGGTACGCCGTTGGTGCGGTGAAGATCGATGGTGTGAGCGACACTCTGAGTGTAAGATCCATAGGCAGAAGCGGCTTCATCGTCTCCGGGAATTGAAGAGTCAACTGCCGTTCGAGATGTATGAGTATTGACCCGGGAGAAACTGGGTTTTGAATCAGTGGTCACCAAAGCCGAGCCGCCGGCACCCCTTGAATTGACCCTGGAGGTAGCCGAGGATGTAAACTCAGATGCTGGACCTTCAGAAGCACGGCTTTCCACTTGTTGCATCTTTGCATGCAAAAATTCCGATTCTCTGGTCCGCCGTCGTTCTTCCTCCTTGGCCTCGTCTTTGGCCCATTGGATGGCGTTGTTTAGAGCCCAGAACCATCGTTTGGCTTCGACTACGTGGTTTGCTTTAAGATGGTATTTCACGGATGACTTTCCCTGAATTTCGAAGCGAGTCTTGTCCTGTGCGTCCATGTGTAATCTAGCAATGCGCATACTGATAGCGCCTCGACAGGCAGAACCGGCGTCATCTAAAAATGAATGAGTTCTCTACTCAGCAATTTCGAAACACTTCTCAGCATATCATGGAGATAAACCAACCTTGGTGTTTGTAGTAACTCAAAACCCCGTCCTCAAGAACAAACCAACGCAGCTTGAACCCAGACGTATAGTTTGTCCACTTCTTAAGATAGCCCTTCATTTCTCTCGCATCTTTCCCGGCAAGAGTAACCTCACTGCTCGCCGCTCTGTTGGCGCTAGCTTGAGAGGGGACATTGCCCAAAATGGCTCTTTCCTGAATACCGCGCTGGGCGATGATCGCAGCAGGCGACTTCTTCACAATCGCACGGGTCTTGTCATCTTTCGTAACGTCTTGCGGAAGTTTGCCCTTCTTGTCACGCCTGAATGGATCCGCGCCGTGCATAAGCAGTATCTCTAGCAGTTTTGTATCCTTCTTCCTAGCCCCCTCGTGCAGTAATGTGCCTCCGGATTGCGCCGTGACAGTATCCGTGACAAGGTCCAGTGCATTCACGTCAATATTGCCCAGCACTCTGGGTTCTTCGAGAAGCTTTTCCAATCCATTGTAGTCCGCCCGAACCACCATATCTTGAATCTGTTTCGCCTTGACGTCGATAAAGACCGAACGTGCAAGTTGCAATTTCTCAAAAATCTCGGGCGTGCGTGCAACATCCAGGGCCGTTTGACCGCGGTAATTCGCAACGGAATCGTCTATCTGAGGCTGTGCCAGAAGCGCTTGCACCACGGCATCGCGGCCTAGTTGCGAGGCGAGATGCAACGGCGTATTGCCTTCACGGTCACGAGCGTTGATGTCGACATCGGGCCCGCTAGCAACCACGTATTCCACCACTTGCAAATCCGCACATTGTATAGCCAGATGAAGGATGGTAGTTCCCGACGATGATGATGCGGCGGCCGCGCCGGTACTTTGGTCCTTTGCTTCCTTGATCGCCTTGGAAATGGCGGTAGTGTCGCCGCTTCGTAGGATTTCAAACAGACGAAACGCCTTTACGGACTGTTCAATCGACGTGGCAGCGGCAGGAGCAGTTTCGGGCGGCGACGAGGAGCTTCTCTCCTCGGCAATGGAAGAAGAGATGTCGCCGGAGGCAGTGGGCGATTCCATTGTTGTGTCGATTCTCCGGTTGCTTCGGGTTTTGGTCAGGGAGAGCGACGAGTGTCGGTTGTGCTGGGACTCGGGAAAGGAGGGAAAGGAGGACGATGCGGTTGTTGATGTCGGCGAGATATTTCCGTTGCTGTTGCTGTTGCTGTTGATGTTGCTGTTATTGCTATTGTTATTGTTGTTATCATCTCGGCTCTCGTTTTTGGACTGTACGCGATGGAGGAGAGAGCGCGCCAGGGCACTCTTGGATCGCTTGTGGCTATGGACCAGAGGTTAGAGCGACTGGCTGACAAGTGAAGTGGCTGCGTTTAAAGAATGCGAAACAAGAATGGAGTCAGGGGAGCCAGAGTCAGAGTTCAGAGTCATGGCTGTGTTGACGTGGTACGGGGCTTCGTTAGAACTCACCCAACGCTTGATTCGCTCATCTTCGCAGCTGCATAGCGACTCGCTCGGGACGGGAAACAAAACAGGGAATTGGATTGGCTGGGATTATATGAATATGAAACTGGCCGTGTGTAAGGATATTGAGGGAGCGAGGGAGGAAGGCCAGGGAGTGTCTGGAGTTGTTGGCTGGAGGAGGGGAAGGAGAAGGTGGCGACTGCTTTGGGCCCCGGGGGGGAATTATTGGCCTGGGGCAGAGCAGATCAACACACTGCCACCTCACGATTATTTGCGCATTTACTTCTTAAGACCTTCAACGATCATCTGCGCATTTCCGATATATTCATGGGCTTCTCTACGTGATAATGTACAGTGGCATCAGAATTAAGGTCGCTGTTATTCACCGCCGCTCGCCGCTCACCAACAGCACGACGCTCCCCAGCTGCCTCCTCAGATCCTCTCGATCAACATCGTGCGTGTCCTCGACCTCTCCCCACATGCCCGTCTGATACATAACCTCCAGGCTCGATGCCTGCGCAGCCTCCTCAACGCCGAATCTCTCCCGGTCCACAGCAAGCGTCTGTTGCAGGTTGGCGAAATGCTCACCCCATTCCACCACCAGCCGCGCCGCAACCAGCAAGCTCTTGCTGGCCAGGATCGCCCTCTCGAGCCCCGCCAGCTCATATGCCGGCAAGGACCAGATCCAGCTCTGGATGGTATCCAGCGTCTTCTGGCTCTGCGACACGGGCATGATGCTGTTCTCGTCGAGGACGGGCTTGAGCTCGACGCCCGGCCAGATTGTGCGTGTGAGGAAACCGATAATCCCCTGCGCAACCCTCATTTGCATATCGCGCAGGCTTTCTGTCGGTGTCCCTCCTTCGGTCCCTGTTTCTCCGGGGCCTGACATGACTTTCTCACTGGCCAGTTCCTTCTCCGGCACCCAACACAGCAGCGTATCCGTGTCGAGATACCGCATAGCCGTCTTCACGATCTCCTGTCGAATGCGTTGTTGCTGGCCCGACTCGTCTTCGCGGACAATATCGGTGGCGCGCGTGGTGAGAGACGTCAGCGGGATCAAGTGTTGCTTGAGCGCCTGCTGGGCCGACGTTAACAAGTCCCATTCCAGAGCGATGGCCTCGGCGAGGTGGCGTTTGGTGTTGGGGACCATCAAGACAGCTTTCGTGGGACTGCGGACGGGGCGAGTGTCGAGTAATACTTGATAACCATCTACCAATTATCACCTATTAGCAGCGGAAAGGAATTTATCTCACTAAGTAGCTGCTCACCTGCATTCTCCGTAACATGCACGTCCTTCCAGAAGCGCCTCTTGAGCGGGGAGGATTTCGCTTGCGACACTCGCGTGGCAGCACTGCTATCTGTTTGCGTCTGTGTTTGTTTGTGCTGTGTAGTCGCTCGTCGTGGATCGTGCTTGAATTCGGGCGCGGGCGTGGGAGCTTTGGGCGGAGGGCCATGGGCGGTGATGGGGTGGGCGATGGCCCATGTTCTGGTGGCGCAGTGGAAGCATGCTGTTTGGCGAGTTGACGACAAAGCCGTCGCGGCTCTGCAGAGTTTCGTTCTCATTTTGTGTCTGGATAGCTGGCAGATGGAGTGTTGAAGAGATGATGCGGAGTGAAGCCGGTTGGCGATACATAAAATGAATTGCCAGCCATCGCCGCCTTTGTCACTCTACAAGTATACTTACTATACCAGAAAGTATACAGTACCCAGACAGGATCACGAGAGCGTATAAACAAAACAAAATAAAATGAATTAAAACTGTTTGTTGGAATCAAGAGCCCGAGATTAACTATCATTAGTTATTAAGCTTAACAGCAAACTGTACACAGCCTAGAACGAATCTCATCTGCACGAAGCATCAACTGACATTTTGAGAACAGAATACAGTAAACGGCACGAATGAAAGCAAATAAAAATAATATAAACCTTGGAAAAGGATGAACGCAGCAGAGTAGAAAATATCGACAACAGCCTCCCAATACATTGCAACACATACTAGTACGTAGTAAAACTTCTTGTCTAAACACGAACAGAAAAGTAAGTATGACACGAGGGGATCGGTAGATGAAAGATGAGAAAGAGATACTTTTGTACCCTGAGATATACTATTACATGCCAGTCAAATCCTGTTTCTCTCTTTGTTTTGATAATCGTGTAATCAGAGACGGTGGTATAGGACAAGCTGTTCTGTTTGGTCCAGCTGCATTCTTGCTTTCAATCGTCGCATCGTAAGTGTGAGAATCGTCTATCCTAAGCAATCGAGGCAAAGCCCGACGGGGGCCAGGCCACCTTGTTCAGGGGATACATCGACGACAGCCGGGGCTGTTTCTTTTGGCGCTCGGTGTCTGAGCGTTTGCGCATACGTTCGGCGTCGTTGGCGTCGGCGCCTTCCCGGCTTCCCCAGGCCGTCTGGCTGGGGTTAGCATAGTCTAAAGAAAAAGAAAAAGAGAAGGAAAAGAAAACATACCACATTCAGTGTCACAACGGCGTATATCTTGATTGCCCCGTGGAAATAGCCAAACAGAATCGACACCGGCAGCAACAGGAAATCCGCGGGATAGCGCCTGTAATGGCCCATCAGCTTGATGAATTTGCTGACAAACATCCACAGGCCTAAGGCGCGCATTGCAAAGCCATGCACGTCGCCGTCCAGGGTCTCGGTGGCCTTGTGGCAGAGGTAGATGAGCAGCAGGTCGCCCAGCAGCGCTGGCGGGGAGAGGGTCGTGAGATGCACGGCGTACGTGCTCCATGGCTGGCGGCTGCTGATGGTCAGTCTACGACGAACAAAATGGGAGAGGAGAAAGATGAGACCTGACACGTACTACCAGATGTCGCGCTCGCTGAACATGCTCGTCAGGTTGCTGCGCCAGTTGCTCCTCGACCAGCGCGCGCACTGCTTCAGGAACTTGGAGTTGTTCTCCAGCGTGGTCTGCACCTCGACCTCTGGGTGGTACTGGATGTACGTCTCCCAGCCGTGCGAGACCATCCAGCGCGTGATGAAGTTGTCGTCGTCCGCATTGAGCTGGTACTTGCCAAACCACCACTCCTCGTTTGTGAACGCCTCGGTAAAGGGCTCGGCCTGCAGAATCGTCGTGCGGTAGGCCACCGTGCGCCCGGACAGACACGGCACGCCGCCGTCCATGTGCGTCGTGGCCGCGCAGTCGAAATTGCGGCGCTCCAGGTACAGCGCGCCCAGGAAGTTCCAGATGCGCTCGGAGAAGGTTGGGTTGACTGCCCGGCGCAGGCGCTGGCACGTCACCACGCCGCCGTAGCGCTCGTCGGTGTCGAAGGGGGCCAGGATCCAGGGCAGCGCGGTGCGCGGCCAGCTCACGTCGTCGTCAGCGAAGATGGTGATCTTGGTGCGCACCTCGGGAATGGCCCTGGTCATCTGGCGGCGCTTGTTGGGGTGGGTGATGGTGAACAGGCGGATGCGCGAGTTGTAGGCCGGCATGCGCTCCAGCATCTTCTCGGCCTTGACGCGGTTGGCCGTGATGGTGACCAGCAGCAGCTCAAAGGGCTCGTTGTCGAGGATGGTGCGGATGGTCTCGACCAGCTCGTCGCCATCGCCTTCGAGCGAGGGCACAATCACCGTCACGTCTTGCCCGGTCAACTTGGGGTTTTCGGGGATCGGGATTGGCTTGAAGGTGTAGAACGACCACAGATTGACTATGAGGCGCGCATACCGGTACAGACTGTTTGTTTTTTTTTAAATTGACGATGGTTAGCAGGTGTTTCTCGCTTGCAGACGGAGATTCTACGAGACGGACAAGAGGAAAATGAAGCTCCGCATGAATGGGAAAGCCATGATGAAGAAAGATTACGAGACTGCGAGAAGCGCCAATTGCATCAATTCAGTTTTTTCTCATTCCCTCCTATTCTCTTGCGAACGAGTAGAAGAAAAGATACCGGAAAAGCGAGTGGCAAGGCAGATGAGAAGTTAAATGCCCATGACTATATCCCCATCAATCGAGTAGAGAAATACAAGAAGAGAATTTTGTTTTTTTTTTCTCTCTCTCTCTCACTCTGTCTTTTTTTAAATCAACGAAAAGAGGAAAAGAAAAAGGCGCAGAGTGGCTTTACAAAAAGAGTGACATGCAGATTCGCGCGTCATGGGAGCTGGATCTAGATGGGGAAAGGAACTATATATGCATTAGCCTGCGTAGTATACTGAGTAAAGAAGGTATAGTAAGGGTAGTAGTATAGTGCACTGATGCTCTCCATCGGCTTCTGACTGGCTGATATGCATCAGTCTGCGAGAATCTCGCCTCGGCCTCGTCGTACTCGGCTCGTGCGTTCTCCACTGCACTCTCGCTCATACGACTATCACTACGTTGATCTACCTGCGAGCATCAACCCGCAACAGCATCTTCGTTGCGTAATCATACGCATGCTCATGCGCATAGCCATACCCATGCTAGCAGCCGGGTGAATGCACAGAATAAACCAAAACAGAGAAGAGAACGGAAGAAAAAGGACACAGTGTTGCAAATGGCAAATGCGGAGCTGCAAAGCATGCTGCTGCATCGCTAACGCTTAGTGTGCTCCATCGGCCTCTAGCCTGGCTGACTGTTGGCTTGGCTTCAAGGGTCTGGTCCTAAGCTGTTGCTTTAGTCCTAGTACTGCGTACAAAAGAAGTTAAGAACTGCGTGCGATGCCAATTGCGTCCTCCGGCGTTTTTGCCGTTCGGCCCCTCCGGAAGAGGCTTCCCAGTAGGTAGTATATGACTATATTGATTTTTAATTAGTTATCACAATATAATATGGATTGTCAGTGGTCTCTCGCACTAGACTGGAGCCTGGCATTAGGTTTATTGCGTGCATAGCCTGGATTGTTTCTTAATGGTCTGACAGACGGGCCGATGAGGGCCACTACTCCGTACGCTACGGGGTATAGTAGTCTGTGTTATGACTATGACTACGATTATGGAGAGGGATCGATGGGATGAGGACTCGCAACGACCTTCTCGTCTTTAGTCTGTCTATTGGCGTACCAGACTTGCGAAGTGAGAGCAAGGTTTCAGATGAGTGAAGGCCCATGCTCGACTTCGCCCTTGCCCCGGACGTGAAGGTATAATTTCATATGATGAACTCATGGATTGAATGGAATTGAATGTAAATATCCGAAAGTTCAACTCGAACAGACTAGATGGAAGAACACTCCGTATCAACTCCGGATTTCTTTGCTTCCAATCCTCCGTACAAGCACTGCTGCTACTACCTAGTCAGCCGTGAAGCTAGTGCAAAGTCTACTCACTATTAGTACGTACTTGATTTATAGCAGTAATAACATTCAGCTATTATAGTTAACCGTCTAAACTAGTAATCCTGCTAGGACATGCGCCGCAACTAGTCTCGTACTCATTCTTTTAACAGAGATGGTAATGAACCAACTACCTTATACTCAGCATATTGAACAACATATGTACGTACCTGTCTATCTACTGGACATATCAACAACGGCCAGGAAAATACAAATACGCCAACTCCGAACAAACAATTCAAATCAAACCAAGTCAAACACCGTCTAGTATACTTTTCAATTCAGAGTCCGTGCGAGAGCTATCTAACCGGCCAGCCTAGTAGCTACTAGTTAGTAGTCAAGTCCACAATCCGCCCTCCACACGGGGGCGTCGCGGCGTGCGCTTTTCCTTTCGTTTCTTTTTTCTTTTCTTTTTTTTTTTTCCCTTTCTCTCGCCGTTTCTTTTTCCGGCTTTGTTTGCATCGCATGGCTGATATGACAGGACAGCCTCATCATGTACGACATAGTAGAGTTTGTGGCTAGCACGTGTGCAACCCTAACCCTAGCCCTATACTACCGACACATAGTCAGGCTCAACTATAGTCAGTTGCTAACTGGACTGGACTATACGATAATTAGTACGACCACGACAGAGTAAGCCGGAGCGAGTCGGAGCATTCTAGAACAAAATTTTTCTTTCTTTGTGCAGACGCAATAATTACTCATTCCCAGAATACGACGCGTAACTGTTAATATCGACGGCCAAACATCTAGAACAGCTACATAAACTACTCCATATCCTTAAAAATGTGACTACGACTAGTCCTCCGTACTCCGTAGTCTAGTACAAAGTTACTACATAAGGAAGGGTTCGCTGATCTACGACCTGCGTGGACCGAAGGGCCGAAGGATTCATCCGTTGAAACGTCAAGACTCAGAGCAGCCGATTTTTAGTGGTCGACGTACACGGTAAGAGCATTGGCCAGTGGGAATTGAAGGCTGAAGGATTTAGAAAATTTTGAGTAAAACATTTAGTACTACTAGCTGCTATTATTATTATTACTATTATTACTATGGATCAGCCGGGAAGTATGGAGAGAAGCAAGAAAATAAAACGGCGCGTACTCGGTGGACTATGGAGTAGTGTTACTATTTAGTATTTAGTTACCTACATTCGAAGGATTCTCATTTGCACTTTGCAAGTATACGAAGTACTACTGTAGGGGGTAGCTATTGTTGATTGATAAATATTTCTATCTATAACATGCAGGGATGCAGTAATCTAGACACTTCCAGAAAGCCCAGGGGTAGTTAGCGATATAACACTATCATAATATAAGCATGTTCAGGTACCTAGTACTCCGAGGTAAGGCTACCTACCCAATCCGGAATCTTTTGCATGAGCATTTATGAACTACAACAAAAAAAAAAAAAAAAATAAAGAAAAAAAAGCGAATCCTGCGAATCCTCCGTCCATCCATGCTCCAAGGATTGAGGGACATTTCTCTGCCGGAACATGTACACAGTACTCCGGTACCTACCATCTAAGTAGGCAAATAATAACAATATAGAGCCAGGGCACGGCGTTCAGTGCGCAGTCGATATTAATACTAGCATCAACTTGAGTTAACTGATTACGAAATATGACGGCTTGGTTTTGTATTCCTCATTTGAAAATTTCATTTCCAACCGCATCCATTCTCCCATCCATCATGCGTGCGTGCGTCCGTCGGAAATGCACGTTGACTTCCCCCCCGAGAGACTAGCATACACACCTACATAGACATAGCATAACATAGCATAGCATAGTTACTAATGTACTAATGTATGCATGCAAAAAAGGCAGCTAGTCTAGCGAGTACTCTCAGACCCTAGTTTGCCGGCTACGTAGTTATAGACTGCTAACTAAGTGGGAACTGTCTCGGACTGTTGTGCGATCTGAAACGACTATCATGTATTGAACAGAGTAGACAGTGATCGTGATTGACTATTTGAGCGTGGATTTATGTATGTATGTATGTATGTTCAGAGTTATGGAATGAGTCATGCTAAGTTCAACTTGGTGGTTGTACTAGGTTATAAAGACAGCTTGCGCATCGGATGGTAAAGGCATAGTTTAGTCTAAAGTATATATACATGATCATAAATGGGCAGGTTTCAGGTGGTGCATACATATCAACGTCAGTGCCAGACATTTCCTAATCGGGTAATATCTTAAACTATCCCGTGAATGCTTGCGAATTTCTCTCTTTTTGGAATAAAGTCTATATATAGAGCATACCATATACTCTGCTGCTCATTACCCGCTAATTACACATTTCTTCACGTCACTGGCAAATGCCCCTACCAGCCTGACCTGACCTTGGAGTACACTCACCATGCATGTACATCCGCGTACTTAGATCTATGTGCATATACTAGCCAGACGTGTGGATATGCATGATGCATGTACATACATAACATATACATGCTGCAGAATGCTTCGGCAATCGGTCGAGCTTCGGACCATGTCCCATGTTCCCGTGGTATGTACTAGAATGTGCTGTTCTGCAGTGAGAACTGCCTAATTGAGCTGACCTGCTTGCCTCTATGACTCATTTGAGATGTCTATGTGGAGTATTACATACATTTGCGTTGCTCCCAAGGTCCTACTTACTAGATCGAGCATCGGTTTGCTTCCCTTCTGAGCAAGCTTCGCCTCGCATAGTTGTACGTCCTAAGCAAGAGGTAGTCTGTGCCGAAGCACTTATAGGCGATTTGTTGTAGACTCGAGACAGTATCTAGGTAATATGTATCATTTCAAATTTGTCGTCTTTCTGCATTTTTGCATCGAACTCGATATGTAAATGGTTTGTATAATTCTATACATATCTTAGCACCTTGTACAAACCTGCACTTTTAGCTTTCAAGCGGGATACAAAAAGAGAAGAATAAACTTATTGTGCACTAAGAAATCCTCCTTTCCAGCTTCACTCTTAACGCAGGAATCCCTATCTCAATAACCTCCGCATCCTCGCCCACCTCAAACAGAAACCAATCGAGCATAAAGCCCTCGTATTTGAACTTATCAACGTCCATCAGGGCACGCAAGTCGGGCGTTCCGTCGTCAGCCAATGCGTTCTCGTCTTGATATACGGCACGGAATGCGAGTAACCTTGATCTAGCTAGAGCTTGTGTTTGACGCCAAATGACTTTGCCGGATACCGCTGCATGCTCAATGCCTTAGGATCAGCAACAACACCGTACAGTTTTGCAAGAGCAATACGGAAATCGGTGCCGTTGCTAGACAAAGTCGTTGATGAATATAGCCGACATGGTATCGACTGAAATGCTTATTGACAAGTTTAGCCCTCCTCCGGCTGAAGTAGATAAATGGGAAGAATTATATGTGCCGGAAGGAGAGTTGTTTGTTGCATTCTCCATGGCGGTCTTCATCAATGCCTCAATTAAAATATCGCCAATGATATCTGCATGGGCGTTCAGGTCCGGGTTGGATACTGTGTCGGAGGCGAGAATGGCAAAGCCGACATTGTAATCCCCTCCACATCCAGACTTCGCTGCAAATTCATATCAGCAAACGACGCTGAGGCAAGTATGGCCAGAAAAAGAAATTTTAGCTCACATCGAAGCTCGCTCGCCGATGTTTCAAGCGGAATACTGACAAAAGGGAAACGAGGAGTTAATTTATTTATGAAGATACTCCGCAGAGACTCAACAGCATCCAAAGACAGCAAGCCTTTGTCGCTGACATCTTCCTCTTGTGTAAAGCCAGCAGCAGTGCTGGTATAAGCATGAACATTTGGTTGATTATGGGACCGCAAGGTCTCTCATCCTCGTGAGCTCGTCTACTTGTGCCTCGAGGGTTTGAATTCTCATTTGGCGCATGTCAGAAAGTCGTTCCTACTAACTACGCGATTTCAATTTGCTTACAGATCTTTCTAAAAGCGGCTGGAGCGCCGCCGTTCTATACATGGTTTGCCTAAACGACGGCATCTGCGATCTTCTGAGCAATGTTTGGCTTTAGCACTGATCTGGATCACGAACCTGTTACAATCCTGCTTGCTGTCACGCATGCAGCGTACCCTTGAGGTAGCGCAATTCAGGCATGTCTTTGGCTGTGAGCTCACGTTAGTCTTGGTTGCATGGTCATTCGAGATGCTCAAGTGATCTTGATAGAATTGTTGAGAAGCAATTCAGGGCTGAAGATGGGCGACTTAATATATAGAAAATTAAGTATTGGGTCGTTCCTTTTGCAAACGAGTCTCCATGTATCGAATAATGAAGGAAAGGGTTCCAATGAGCATACCATCTAGGACGGAAGTCATAAAATGGCTCTTCCGAATATGTAACAAGCGACTGGCCATTCATACGGGCTTGTATAATCCTGCCGTGCTTGTCGTTTGTAAAGGAGAACAACGTTATAGGAACGATATTTTGCTCTGAGATGTACCCTTCGACGAGTTCCTTTGCCCAGTCTTTGCTCAGATCGCGTTTGATGTGTCTCAGGTGCATTGACACGAAGAAAGTATGCTGGAGCGGACTAGATTGAGTGCGTCAGTCTAACACCATGGCCTTTGAATAATCCTGGATTGAATTTGAAGGATTCTTCTGTCTGAATTTTTAGATAGTTCAGGAGGTGGCAGAGGCAAATTAAGAAATTGTCATAAATGTTACTTATCAGCGTAGCTCGGTCTTCTCCTTTTCTGATTTCTGGCTGATGCCCGGCTTGGAAATCGTTCTCCTGAGGATTGAAATTGTAGCAGAGTTCAACCACGTAAGTAAGAGATATGAGATGGACAAGGTCGTAATGATGAGAGCCACGGAAGTGATATTACATGATAGGTACAGAAATTGCCAGGATTTTACCTACTTTTAGCTTCTGATCGAAGTAATGTGATGCTGGGCTACATTTGCGTTATCTTAAGAGTAGGCCTTGGCGTCTAGAAATTCTTGTATTACCCCTGGTAGACAGAAATGTCTACGTAGACTCGGTTGTGAAGAATTTCCAGGCACCTACGAGACTTTTTACAAGGTCTGAGGGAAATGACCGACCTATCAATCAATGACCATGTGCTCGAATTAGCTAGTCGATTACATGATTTTCCAATACTGGAGAATAATAGATAATAATACTGAATTATACGGCAACTAATAAACAATACCTTAACGGAAATATTATCTTTTGTTAGACCAGGATTGGATGAGGGAAAGTAAATATAAAAGAGGCTACCTAGGTATGAAAAGAAACTACACATAGGAAGTTCTCGTAGTATATTCTGCCTGCCAGATAGCCAAGTAATAAATACCTAGGTACTGCCCGAATCATATCGAGATCCTCGTGCAGTAGTCAACTATTCGACAGTATGCCTCTCCTCAATCTACCAGTTGAGCTCTTGTTTCATATTGCCAGTTACTTGTCCAACTTCCAACACCTCAACGCATTTACTCAGATAAACCATCAAAAATACCACATATTCAATAGCTTCCTCCATCAGCTCTCCATCCAGAAGTACAAGAATCTGTTCACCTTGTCATGGTATGCAGAACATAACTTATCACATCATGTCCAAACCCTTTTTGACATGAGCACAATCTCTGCAGAGAAAGACAAGGCTTTATATGCGGCCTCTCTCAGGCTAGATTACTCGATCAACTTCTAATCCAGAATGATGCTAACATAAATACAAAAACGGCAAACGTATTCACTCCACTCCATATAATTGCTTATCTAAGGGATAAGATGGGCGACGTTATCGGTGTACAAATCTTGATTTAAAACCAAACCAATATTAAAGAACCAACCGGTGGGTATCATAGTGGATATACAGCCCTTCATTTTGTCTGTGCTCTGGGCAGGGTAGGCGTTGTTAATTTGCTGCTGGATTCTGGAATGGACGTTGAATGCAAAATTATGTCGCCAGAGCACGCTCCTATTACGCTTTTAGCGTGCACAGCTAAGAGGTTTTATATATCTCTTCTTTTCTGTGCTATGTATGCCCTAAATGAGGAAGTCTCAATGATAGATCGTATTGCTACATGGTTCCATGCAGGAGATACAACACGTACCGTACAAGTTCTAGTAGAGCGCGGTGCAAAAATAGACGGCGAGTCAGAACTTTAGCAGCTAAGAAAGTCTTAAGGAAGCCGGTAGATGACGACCCAAATACCTGTGATACTGCCCCTGTTCCAGTGCAGAGAAAATGGGTCAGGACAGTTGCCAGAACAGCAAGAAATATAGCTAGCAGGGCAACGGTCAATATGAACCAGATGCATCTTTTTAGACGCGAGAAGAGAAACTTCGGAGATTAGAAGTTACAAAGCATTTGCCTATAGCTGTGTTTTTGAAGCAAATAATACGAAAACATTGGGTGCAAGCTGCCATAATCTGGTTAATTATCAACGTAGCGTCGATAATTGGTAGTTTCAAGAGTGATTATAGTTCTTGCTCTCGGAGAATAAAAGTGCATCGTGCTCGTGCATACAAAGTTGTTGGTACTTGGTTAACTTAGATATCTGAGATAAAATATGACAGATCACATCAAGCCTGTGCTAAGCCTAATACGGACTAGCTCCCGCAACAAACGCCGGTATTTTATTACAAAACAGATAAAAATAGCTTAAAATACACTACAAATATTTGTATCTTATCACCCTCCGCTCGAAGTCTGGACCAGTTGAACTGATGGGTGGTGATCAGTCTGGAGTGAGTGACTTTGTCTGTGATACCACGATCCCTGCTGGTGTGTCTCACAGATCACTTGTCCTCCCCTTCCATCTCCAAGGTACTAATAGGTTACGGTCTAGATTCCAACTGTGTGACTCACCTTACGTAGCACCAGGTAAAACTAGTTTAACAGGCTTCAGCAAATGAGATGGTCGGGCCTGTTCATTCCAGTGTTTTCCTCATGCCGAGTCGGCACACGGCCGGCCGAGGGACTCCAATCATGCTTTTTGCCTCTTAGATCTAGTTGTTCAAATTTAAGAGTGTCATGATACTTACATGCAAGGATAGAGGGGCAATGCACATCGTGGCGGATTTAGGGCGGGGCACTAGCCAACTGCATGCTGTGATAACGACCAGCTTTTCAGCTGCACATTTTATTCTTCTAGGATTATCGTAGGGAGTCGGATGGAGGTCGAGCGAGAGTCGAGACCATTGAGCTGGTCTGGAAGCTTATATTCCTTACAATACATAGTCATACTATATCCTCCGTAGGATGGTGCTATTACTGTTACTATCACTACTCACAGAACGACACTGTAGATGTGGTTGGTCTGAATGGCGTCTTACTTGCGGTGTGTTCAATCTATTTGACAGTATATGTAGCATGATCAGGATAGAAAAATACAGCGTTAGGTAGGTACATGTAATTAATAAGGCAGCAATGTGTAATCGCATTACCTCGGATCACATCACCGATATTTTTTTACTGTACGTATTATATTTTTTTACTCCCCCTCCTCTTCCTTGCCTCAGGTATCCCAGCTATCTCTCCCACCCTAGCCCGGTCTTTTATTCCCCTCACTCGCTTTTTATTCTCTCTCTTCCCCTTCTCTTTCCCCCCCCCTTTCTCCGTGCTCGCTCTCCCAGCATGTCCCAGCAAACATCCCAGGATGCCTCCTCGACCACCCAAGAGTCCGGACACGCCACCACCAATACCCCCCGCACCACCGAACTCGCCAGTCTTAAGATAAGACTGCGAGCAGCGTTGCGCCAGTTCCCCGATTTCCCCTCGCCAGGCATCCTGTTCGAAGACATCCTGCCCATTTTCGCCGACCCGACGCTGCACGAAGCCCTCATCCGGTCGTTGGAGCTGCACATCCTCGAGACATACCACGAAAAGCCCGACGTGGTGGTTGGCCTGGATGCTCGCGGATTCCTGTTTGGTCCCAGTTTGGCCCTGAAGCTGGGCGCGGCTTTTGTGCCGGTGCGTAAGAGGGGTAAATTGCCGGGTCCTTGTGAGACCGAGTCGTACCAGAAGGAGTATGGCGAGGATTTTTTCCAGATGCAGGCCGATGCGGTCAAGAAGGGACAAAAGGTGTTGGTTGTAGATGATATCATTGCTACGGGTATGCCATCCAACTATTTATCGATTTCTACTCTGCAGTCATCGTTGCTAACCGCTTTATATAGGAGGCTCTGCTGCTGCGGCCGGAAATCTCGTCAAGAAATTAGGCGGAACTCTCCTCGGATTCGTGTTTATTCTAGAGCTCGACTTTCTCAAGGGCAGAGACAAACTTCCTGCTCCCGTCTTCACTCTTCTCCATGGACAGGAGGGCAAGGTTTAAAAAAGATGTCGATATATGGAGGAGTACTTTTTTGGCATATGCACACCTGATTTCGGCATGATATGTCTCTTCATCTTTTTCTCGATATTTCGGTGCATGATCTGAGGATGAAATAAAAGACAAGGGTTTTATCTTGCTTCTCGATTTTCGAGTACGACTTCAAAGGCGGTGCAACAGTTATCTTGTTTGTTGTCAGGCTATTGTTTTTTTTTTTCCCTTCGCGATACCCTATTATCAGCCCACCGCTCCCAAATTATGCCTCTCAAAACTATACTGCCTTACAGGGAGGGATGCAAGGCAGAAAAAATTACTCGACGAGAGGAGAAAATCCCACCAAGGAAGTTATAAAAAGAGCAGAGAAGAAAAAGACAAGGGAGTTTTGCATATTTACTATTATTTTTCATGTTTTATTTTTATTCTATGCTGTGAGCGCATCATGGCTCCTTAATAATAAAATACCATCTGTTCTCTTTTTCTTTTTTTTTTTTCTTTTTTATTTCGATGTCTTTCTCTGGCAAGTCAAGAATCATGCTACTTGGTTTTGTTGTCTGGAACAAACAGCTGTCATTGACTTTTGTATATAGACTGCCGAAACTGAATACTTCAAGGCTTTGAAATAGAATAACAAACAAAATAAACTAGAAAGTGATCAAAAATCGAGGAAGATACATGCAACAGCATCGACAATCACGTGACCGCGTCCGATTATAAAATCTTCCGCTTCCGAAAGCTTCTTTCTGTTTGCAAAACATCTCGTGTTGCTGTCACCCACCCACAATGTTATTCTATCCATCCAGGACTTCTTAATAAATTTACCCAACTTTTAATTCTATAATGTCTCCCGCTCGAGTTCTCGAGACTATCCACAAAGAGAATGAGCTCCAAACACTAACTTCCGCGCTGGATGCGTTATTGGTGACTGCCCATCAGCTGAGCTTGAGGGAACAGGATTTACAGCGAAGACTCAGAGTTGCGCATGATGAGGTTAGTTTTTTTTTTTTTTTTTATTTCATTCCGTTTCGTTTCATTTTTCTTTCTTGCATGATGAGAAAAATTTTATCATATTAGCTCTAGATCGCGAGCCGCTTGACGGCTATGACATTTTATATGTACCTGACAAGATTTTCACCTTTCGGTTTTGTTCTCCTGTTTTCTCTTATTGAAGAACGGATGCTGACATCTCCAAGTATAAAAGATTAGTCGACCGAGTCGAAAGTGGATTTTCCGACGTAGAAAAAACAGCCGTATTGGAAAAGATTCGTCCAGACGATGTTTCCCAACCTCTGCCGAAATTAGATCCGTCCCTGAAACCGCTAGACGTGGTGAGCCACCTCCGCGGCTCGGGACACATCCAGCCTCAGTTGGCCGATGTCGTAGTGGCGGGGATCATATATTCGCGATCGATAGCAGAGCGATCGTCAGTTGGTAATTCGAGTGTCGAGGTTAATCCGTGCGTAGTGGCTGCAAAGGCTCACGCTCGGCGACCTTCACTCTATGAACGAGATTTCACAACGACTAATGGCGTAACGGGGAGTCTTCGCTGTCCTTTTGCTAAGCCTACGGGAAATGGGAATGGAAAATCCACCACAGCCACCTATCAAGATGGGCAGAGCAGTACTACTAAATGCGGGTTCGATCCCATCAAAGCAGATCTTTCCCAGGATCGAGTATCCAGTGCAGGCGCGTCTGCGAGATCGTCGACGGCGGCAGCAGCTCGCTGTCCGATCCGATACATGGATGACCACTCACCCGAAGAACTGGCCAAGTACTTCGAGAACCACAAACATGAAATCCCGCGCAGCCACGCGATATGTGTAAACCGGTTCCAGAGGAATCAGACGACCATGAGGCAGATTGATGCTAAATATGGCAGTTTGGTTTCCATGATCCAGGGCCTCGGCGAGAAACATAAAGCGCTTCTTCCGGAGGCGGAGCGGAATGGAAACGGCACTAGCCCGTCTGAGCGCGTTGAGAAATGGGCAGAAGATGTCAGTTCCAAGTCGCCGCATCCAGCAACGCTGAGCACAGTGGAAGAGGATGATGCGCCTGGTGAAGCGGATGCGCTTGACAAAACGCACGAAGAAGAGGGCGACGAGAGAATGAGCCATTTTGAACGTCCCCTGCGGGAAATTCGCGTTGGTGAATCGCCTAGTCGGCCTTGGGGTATACCTGTGCCTGTGACACACCAGCAGCTGAGTGCTGTCAACAGTCCTGTTGCCCAGGTTCGTATCCATAGCCCCGAGTTGAAAACGCCGAAGCCGACGGACAGCGACATTCAACAACTTCAAGACAATTCGCCCACTCCAGCACGGCCAAGGGGTAAATGTCCATTTGACCATACAGCGTTTATGAAGAAGCCTCCTGCTGCTGCTATCGCGGCAGAGAATTCTACTCCGGACAAACGTATCCGCGCTGACGAGGCAAAGCCGCAAGTACAGTCACAAACGCAAGCACAAGCTCCGAGCACTAATTCAAATCCAAATCCAAATCCAAATCCATCGCAAATGGTTTTTAATGGGCCTGTGTTTTTTGGGTATTCGGCGGAAGAAACGGCGGCATTGATGCAGCAGCTGTCCAATGCCAAGTGACGGGAAGTTTTGAACATATTGTACATGACACATTCTTACGAGAGATGATATCCTGAGCGTTAATTGTTGAATAGCGACATTTATATACCCATATCAATATGAACAGTCTGTATATTGCAATGCAATTCTTCTCTCTGTAGATGATGATAGGCCGACATCGGCAGCTCCGACTGGTGAGGGGCAGGCAGCTCAACTTCCAAAGTTCCCCACGGGAAACTTCTTTCCATTTTCCTACCCAAGTCTCTCTTCAACTGATAGGTAACTTTCTTATACCAATGTTCCATCGTCTTGCATCTCTTCGTTCTCCTCTCATCTCTCGACTTGCACTTACTTCTGCTACCAGACCAGCAGCAAAGATATCTTCTTCGTTGTCCAGCTCGCATTCGTTGTTCCCCCGACATAACAGCACAATGGCCGAAGGAATGACACCTGTTTTCGCCAAGGACGCTGCTCCTCGTATGTTTGTTTTCTATCCTTTGTGCATTCTGTCATATTGATTGATCCAAGACTAACGTTGATACGCACAGCCGCCGGTCCTTACGTACGTCTCCATCCACCTACCCCATAGTCTATAAGTTAGTATTGTACTAACGTCGAAATCACAGTCCCACGCCATCAAAGCCAACGGCCTAATCTTCGCCTCCGGCCAGATCCCCTGCGACGCCTCAGGCACCATTCTCGCAACGGGCACGATCCAAGAAAAGACCGCGCTCTGCATCGCGAATGCGCGCGCCGTCCTCGAAGCTGCGGGATCCAGTATCGCGAAGGTGGTCAAGGTTACTGTGTTCTTGACTGATATGGCCGATTTTGCGGCTATGAATGAGGAGTATGCAAAGCATTTTACGCATAAGCCGGCGAGGAGTTGTGTGGCCGTTAGTCAGTTGCCCAAGGGGGTGCCGGTGGAAGTTGAGGTTGTTGCTTTGGAGTGATTTTTATAAGTCTTCAATGTTGAAAAAGGAAGAAAACTGTCTAGGACTAAAAAGTTAGTAGTTCTGAGTTAAAGCAGTTCTGCGAGGTATTTTCATCCTTTGCAATTCATGCTTGTATTTGTTGTTGTATTGTCGTTACTCGTATGATGTATCATGGTTACGGCTAGCACGAACAAGGTTAGTCGTATCAGCTTAAATTAAATATCTGCCGACTTCATTAATTTTCTTCCGCTTTTTTTCCTTATATTCAGCAAACTATGCTTAGAAGTCACACCATAAGGCTGCAAATCTTATACCTCGTCATCGGTCCATTCCATAATGCTGGGATATATCGTGACATTCAAACTGATTGCTACCAACTAACCCATCAGACTAGATCGTCGACTACACAAACAACACGACAAGCAATCCTCCATCCAACTGTTCCACTTGCTCGCTCAAACTTTCAAATCTTTGATTGTTTGACACCGATTAAGTCCTCATGGAACCCTATGGGCAGTCAATACAATCCGCGCGTTTTGTGCATGTTTTGTACTGGAGTTGGGCTGGGGCTATTTCTCTTCTCTTCTGAAAGGAAGATGGGGAAACAAGCACAGTTGCAATATCGATAGAGCCTTCATAGTTCATGTTTCTATGTCTCGCTTGCTTCATACCTGAAGGATTCCGGAGGGTATGAGGGTGTATTCTACGAGAGCATGACTCCTTGCGCACTACATCTTATATACTACTATATACATGAATATATAACTTATCAAGGACGACAGTTACAACCGACTTTTCTCCTCAATCCTTACAACCACCTTCCCCCACGTATCTCTACTTCCCAACGCCCTCAACGCCCTCGCCACACTCTCCAAGCCCACAAACCTCTCGTCCGCAAACGCCGTGCCCCTAAACTTGCCCTGCTCAATAAGCTCGAAAATCCCCCTCCAAACCGTGTCCACCGTCTCCCTCTCGAAATTCGCATACTGGCCCCAATGCAGCCCAACAATGCTCACGTTCTTCAACAACACTCTGTTCAGCGCTACCTTTTCGATTTTCCCAGCCGCGAACCCGATGACTAGCAGCCGTGCGTTCCATGCAACGCATTTCAGACTCTGCTCAATCAGGCCGACGGGGTCGTAGACGATATCAACGCCGGCTTTTCCGTTTCCCGTACGATGCGTTTTGCATAGTTGTTTGACTTGTTCGGTCCAGTCACCACCATCACCTTTATCACCGTTCTTTGCATCGCTGTTCTTGCTGCCGCCCCGATAATTAATCACATAATCCGCCCCAAACTCCCTCGCAACCTGCATCTTCCGCTCACTCCCCGCCGTAGCTATAACCGTAGCACCCTTGGCCTTCGCAATCTGCACCGCAGCCAACCCAACACCCCCCGCCGCCGCATGCACCAGCACCCACTCTCCCGGCTGCACGTTGGCGCGCGTAACAAGGCCGCCGTAGGATGTTGGCGCGGTTACGAAGAGGCCCGCGGCGTCCTCGAAACTCCATTTCCGGGGCACGGGGAAGAGTGCTTCTTCCGTTGCAAGGATATGTGTTGCGTAGGCGCCTTGGGTGGCGCCAAAGACTCTGTCGCCGACTTTATATTTGTAGCTTGTAGAAGAAGAAGAAGAAGAAGAAGTGGGCGTTGCGAGAACGGTGCCGGCGAATTCCATGCCGGATATCCATGGGAATGGCGGTTGGTGTTGGTATTTGCCCTGTATTTGGAGAAGGTCGAAGAAGTTTGTGCCGGCGGAGTGGATTTGGATGAGGTATTGAGAGGCTGTTGGGGAAGGGGTTGGGAGGTCGCTTATCTTGAGATCGAGGGGTCCCTGTTTGTACGTTTAGCTCTAAAGATCCTATGGTTGTAGGTGGTTGTGTAGGTATACCTTGACGTAGTCGGTGAGTTGGATGGCACGCATATTGCCTGGCGTTTGTCTATATACTGATAGTTGACTTCGTTGTATATATTTTGGATAATTGCATTATGAAAGTGAGGTCAGAGGAGACGAAGTTCAATGCGGAGAAGGTGTGGGGAAGATGCCTCGGTCCATTCGGCTACAACACATTGCCTGTTAGGGAAGACTATCCTGCCATCTTGATAGGAATGCTTGGATTCAAATATGGTACAGAACGTAATAATGCATACAAATAATCTAGAACGGAGTGGGTTATACGGTAATCGTATCTTTCTGCGTGGCCTCGTATCTCTTCCCCCTAAAAGCCCAGATTCCCCAGTTCCCAGCCGACACATCGCTCGGATCAAGATCGTTTAGATCCCATCTCAGACTCCTAAACCGGTTCTCGCCCGGCTCAAGAAGAACATCGAACTCGCCCGCACACTTCTCGCGAACCCACTTGATGTCCCTCGCCATATCCCCTTCCGTATAACCGGTGCAGATGATGGGCACTTTGGTTTCAAGTAGCTTGGGCAGCGTAGCTTCCCATTCGTGCGAACTAGCTGGGTGGCCTAGACCAGGGTGGAAGAGCATGAAGCAGTCAAAGTAAGGGTCGTATGGGTAGAAGTATTGCGCGTCGTGCATCGTATGGAAGTAGTCTACGTAGGTCGTGATCTTCATCTGCGGGCCGAGGCGGTCTTCGACAATGCCGCCGAATGGGTTCTCAGGCGTGCGCTCCGGTAAGGGAAACTCGTCATCGCGGTTGGCCATGCTCTCCGGCCCAATGAAGATGAGATTGATGAGCGCGTTGGGGAACATGTGTGTAAGCTGAAGCCACACTTCTCGCGGCAGTGACGACTCTGCGCGTGCTCCAAGAATAAATATGCGGACCGGAGGCGCTTTAAGTCGTAGGCCTCGAATATCTTTGCCTTCTCCTTGTTTGGGTGGGTGAAGGGTGTAACGGAGTGCTTGATCTCGTCAGTAATCTACATATACATCGTAATACCCTTTCTCAGGGACAAAAAGGAAGAGAGAAGAAGTACCTGTCAAACTTTTCAATCCCTCCGGTGTCAGTCTTCCCCCCGAACGCACGGTATAGGGACTCAACTCGTGTATAACACTGGCAATCGTAGTTGGGTATGTCAGCATCCGCGTGACCTGTCTCATGCTCCTTTCGTTATCTATCGCCTCAAACTCGCGCGTATACAGAAAAGTATCCCAGTTCGTCATGTTGACAACAAAATTGTCATCCTGCGGACCCGGGTACGAGAATTCCGGGAAGAAGCGTCCAGACACCAAGTCGTGGTCATCCTCGTTGATCTGGCGAATTGTTTCACAAACTTCGAGGTGCGCTTCGTAGTCGTCCATCCAGTGCTCTTCCGAGCAGTACAGTGGCACGCCGCAGTCGGGACACTCAAAGTTTGAATGTGCCGGGGGCAGGTTTCCAGTCGGCTCGTTTTTCTCTGAGGTAGTGACGCGAGTCTGCTGGTGGCTTGGATGCGGACAACAGGCGTTTTGCTTGATAAATGCAGCGCGTTTCCTTATAATCGACGAAGGAGAGGACGAATAATGGTGGAATAAGTTGTCCGGTCTGCGCAATGCCCGCGTTTCTGCACTGGCCGTCGGAGCGACGACGGCAGCTGATTGCACGTTGCGCGCGGAGCCGGCAGAATACGTAGCATTCTTAGGCAAGGATATAGAGCGCCGCTCAGCTGCTGTCTGGCTCAGGGGGTTGTTGTTGCTATTGCTGTGGAGTCGGACCGGAGAGCTGGAAAAATTGCATCTCTTGCTTGCCTGGGACGGGAGACGTCTGACGGAGAGGGCAATGCGCGGGTGCATTTTGATTTTCGGGGTAAGGAGCTGCAGGCAGCGGCTGCAAGTGTGCTCGCTAACCATTGTCATTGAATTGACATTGGCGTCAATTCTCCGGTATTTTGAAGCCAAAGTCGGCGTTCGAAAAGACAACCTGACGAGTTGTGGCCCGTGCTGCTTACTAAGTCCTCTCTTACCCAATGCAAAAGATGTTATTCTCCCTAAATCTATTCTTACAGATTATTATATTTGATATATATCTCGTTAGATATAAGAGCAGGATTTTAAAAAAAAAAAAAAAGCTTTATAGGTATATAGCCACTTTCAAAGGTAAACATCAAGTCACGAAACTTTCAACCCAGCACAGCGCTGATATGAATGCTAGATAAAATATACTCCATCTAGCTGTTAGCACAGGGCCACGACTCAAGACACTTTCAGGCTTCTCAGTAAGTCGATTACAGACGGATTGGCTATTTCCATTGATATTTAGAGAAAATGGACCAGGAAAGTCGCCAGGGCAGTGACCAGGATAGTGACGAGGACGAAATATATCATCCAAGACGTGACAGGTAGGGAGACTTTGAGATAAGGAATCGAGCTGGAATAATACAAATACATCAAACAATAATCCTATTCCTCTTTTGTGTATTAATGCCTTGATCCCATAACAGATACCACAATCCCACTCTTTATAATAATACATGCAGTAATCCGATTCCGTGTAATAATGCCTTGTTTCCGTTCCCAATACCATAATCCTATTCCATGTAACCGATGCCGCAATACTATTGCTCGAACAATGGCGAGAGCGTCTTCCGGTATTCCGTCCGCTTGCTATACCCGGCAGAGTCCTTTATATGGAGCAGACCTTGTAGAAGGTCGGCTATCTCTTTGCCTTCGTCTCAAATTTCGACCAACCCGGGATGTATACTTTCATCTAACCCACAGACTATAACGACGGATTGCTCTAGATCGTCGGAGTCTCTTTTCATAGACAGTAAACGTCTTAAAGAGCGAGAAATATCTTTCGTCTGCTTGGAAGTCTGTGATGTATCTAGCATAACCGATGGCTTGTCATTTGTACGCAGTGCCGTACAAAACAGAGCGCATACATCCACTTCCTGTTCTTGGAAGGGAGTCCCGAGCACTTTTCATAGTTCCCTTGGTATCATTCTCTATGATCTAAACCATCTTCTCATCCTCGTCACCATTCCTGTCACCGCCCTGGCAACTCTCCTGGTCCATGTTCTGTCGGTAGTCGATCCGTCGAGTATCTTTGCGCCGCGTTTCTTCAAGAGCCCTTTGACATCCTGCAGGAAGTATGTACGCAGAGAAATTTATCTGATGAGTTCTGGGTCGTAGGCTTTTTCTTCATTATACGCTCTATTTTCGATTAAGATTTGAATGTTGGTAATATTCTCTAGTTCTTCTCTCACACTAATAGCCACATGAAGCAGAGTTAAACCATTGCGTGTTTTAGTATTTATACTGGCGCTATTCTTAATCAAAAATTTTATAATGGAATACTAATCCTTGAGTATCGCTGTATATAAAGTTATATCTTTTGTCTGAGGAATCTGCTCTTATATTTAATAAAATCTGAACATGGTGTAAAAATCTTAAACAAAAAAAAAAAACCAAAAAAAAGTGTATACATAGGGAGAATAAGCATCTTTCTATATTTCTAAAAGGAAAGTCGATAGAGATTAAGATTAAATGCGTGATAGTTTTGACAATCTATCCTAATCAATAAGTTGATGTCACCAAGATAAGGCAAGTATCTGGCAATATAAAGCAGAAGCTCATCTGAGAGATCATGGAGCGGCATTTATTCTGTAGGATAGGTGAGTAATGGACGATGATGGATGTCGAAATATGAGAGGCGAATGATGAGGGTAGGCCGGTGGAAGCAGATAACGCACGCTCGTCGCCCTTCTCGAAGATACAACAGAGTCCCTCAGTGTTCTCTGATTTCTAACTAGCAGTGTTCCTAGTGTTCTCTGCTCCGAATCAGCTAAGTGTCCCCTTTCAACTTTACACATCTAGCTAGTTAACAGAAGAATCAGTGAATCAACATGGCATAGAGCAATTAGTTCCACAAACATCAAGGACATGACTTCCCCCAAGATGTGATCAAATTCGTCAGACAACAATCATGTGTAATCGGTTTCGAAGATTCCACATTCATCCACGGGTTTTGCAAGCTGTGCCCGGACAGTCAGAGTCCTCGTATCACGCTTTCCCTGGCCAAGGAAAACCACTCGCCAACAATTGTCATTAGGTTGCAAAGCTGCACCTTCCAAATCGAGATCGAAAGTCAAGAGACTGGAGGAGCTGGGAAAATTAGGCAGCTGAGAGACTGCCATCCTCGCTGGTTTCAGAATTTCGAGGGGGAAATCGCCTGTATCCGTATCACGACTACAGACTGCGTGAAAGTCGGCCATCTAAGTGCATTGGATGATGAGAAGCGTGCACAGTGGCAGATGCTTTTCAATACTCTCCGTTATGGGTCCGCGACAATAATCATGACCTGGAGACTAAACTGGAAGCAAGCCGCAAATTTGTGCGACTGGATGTCCATGCTTTAACGAAGAATCCAATTAAATCTATAGCCTCGAGCAGAGGATTCCCAGAAAGTTCCAACGGCTTTCTGGTATTACTACGGGCATGTTCAAGAGGAATATGGAGAAGTGGAGGTCTCGAAATTGAAGACAATCTTTTCGCCTTGTCCTTGATTGCGATCTGACAAGGAGCAAACCTACAATGGGTTGAATATCGTCGCTCCATATTTCATCGACAACCATACGCGACGTTTGAGACTCGGACAAGCGATGGAAGTGGAGCGTCGAGCTCAGGAGAAGTTGGTCACCAGTATATTTAGCTACGGTAATGCGCATAAGGCCATCATTCAAGGTAACGACGTGGAATCCTTCCATCTCCACGTTCGACTTAGCAACTCCGAGGATCAGTCATTCCCTAACCCAGAACTGGCTGAAAAGACCAGGGCCGATGTGAAAATTGGGAGTACCTTCGACTGGAAAATACAAGGCATGATTGTCGATGTGTCCAACGATGCCGACTGTGTCATTTCCATCGACAAACGATCAATGGATGGCTTCGGATTTGATCTTGATTCCGAAATCCAAGTGCATATCAAGATAAAGCCAAGAATGACCTCAGTCGCAAATCAGATCAAGGCCATTAAGCAGGCCGAAAATCCTCATCTGGGTTTTGGAGACAAACCGGGCAATCAAGGGAAAGGCTTTTCTCTTGCCAAGACGGTGCTTGCCCATGGCTGTGAGGTAGATCCCAGACACCCCGATTACTTCGTTTTGGACGTCACGACCATATCTAGCCTGGAGCTAAGTATTATTCAACAGCGGCTAGACCATTTGAAGAACGTATTCCACCTCGACGAGCCCCAGTCTTCTGACGGGGCTTTTCTTCAACGCTTCCATATTCTCTGAGCTGCAGGCCTATCAAAATGCCGTCAGAAACCTGATTGCCGGAGTCAATCTTCTTCAGGGTCTTCCAGGTACTGGAAAGACACATCTGGCGGTGGCAATAAGTATTACAGCAGCTTGTCTAGGCCTCAAGATCCTACTTGCTGTTGGCTCAAACAAGGCAGTTCATAATCTGATGGCTGCTGTTCTCAAGTTTCTCGACCAGCATCCTCGTTTAAAGGAGTGGTGCGGGACTGTGGCACGCGCGAGAACTCCAAGCCACCAGATGTCCATTGTGCGAGCCCATAGCGCCAATTTCTCTATCCGCAAAGAGAGAGCAACGGCACAGACCGAAGTCGAAAATCACTGGTCAGTCACGAGATACCATACTACGTTATGAGTTATGCTCGCCAAAACTCGCATGCTAAGTCCTGTGCTGCGCTGCTAGCAATGTACGACGAAGATAACCAGCAAGGATTGAAGACAAGAAACTCGGAAAGGACGTTCAAACGCAAGTACGAGGTCGTCCGCAAAGAGTACCTGCAAACTGAGGTACGAATCCTGGCAACGACTCTCAGTAACTCCGCCCACGAGTCTCTACAAGACATTAGTCCAGATTACGTGGTCTGCGATGACTCCAGTCAATGTTTAGAAGGAGACCATATGATCGCAATGACGAAGCCCTCGGTGAAAGTAGTTGTCCTTATCGGAGACCCTCAACAACTGCCTTCTACTCTCATCAGTGAGAACAAGGAAAACTTAGGGATAAAATACGTCAAGCGATCATTGATGGAGAGACTTCGAGAAGCAGGTTACCCCTGCACAATGCTGAGCACCAATTACCGTTGCCATCCGCATATCCTCGACTTTTTCAACGAAGTTAATATATGCGGGACACCTTCGGGCAGCACAAGTCAACCCCCCTCCAAGCAGAGCTGGAAACGTATGGGAAAGCTATGCAAGCGCTCACTTTGGTCAAGCCAACTTCGTTGGCAAACACCAAGTGAGGATCTCTCGCAACACCGCGGCAGAAAGTCCAGCCGGGTCCATATCGTTTGTCAATTACGGGCAGATTGACATTGATCTAAGTCTCGTACAAAGCCTTTACGGTCATGTAACGGCGGCCGGAGAGAATATTGGCCCTTCAGATGCCATGTTCATCAGCCCATACAAAGAGCATATGAGAGGGCCTTGTAGAAGGCAGCCAATGAGCGAAACGTGGAACACAGTAATAAACTCACTGTAGACTCTGCTCAAGGCCAGGAGGCGGACATGGTCATCTATATGCTTGTCAAACTCTCCAAAGACGCAAATCGAATTGGGTTTGTTGCCGACAAGGCTAGGCTGAACGTAGCCCTTAGCCGAGCAAAGAAAGTGCTCATCATTATCGGCAACTCGACTATATGGGACAAGGCATAGCGGACGAGCTGAAGAAGAAACCCCCTTTTAAGCCACTTGTTTGTTAGATGACGTGGTGACAAAGGGAGACGTTTTCGACTAGTTGGCGCAATCGAGCATGATCCGCCTCGGTGGCCCCTGTTGTGGACAACTTGAGAGAGCTCACCATCCAACCTCGCTCATCCCACGAGACCATTCTCATAAGACAACGCGTGGAATATCTCCGGTCGTATCTGATACGGAGATGAGTCGTGCGACGAAGCGACAACGGCTCGATGGCCCCAGTGCGTCAAGCAATGATGATCCCAGCACATGGATGAAACAATCTCTTGACTCCTTGATGGATGAGCTTGCGACTTTGAGGAAGAGGCTCGAGAACAAGGAATAGGACCTATTCAATGTTAAGAGCTGGCTTGAAATGGGGCGGATAGCTAACCACTATGTCAAGGGGCTGAGGAGGAATTGGCTGTGGCGGAGAGAAAGTGCGACTGGTAAATATGGAACTTGGTCGGTGTTTGAACAAGCCTCATCCAGAGACACTCAAACATACCGAGCCTGGACGACTATCCCGTACTTATCTCTGATCGCTTTGGGGACTCGGAGAGAACTGTGGAAGATGCGGAGATGGAGGGTTGATCTTTCATGAATGAATGCCTCAAAATTGATTCAATGTTGAAAATTTGCACTTTGTATTCTACTTTACCTTATTATTTGCTACATGTACGACAAGACCTTCGCGAATGTGATCATGACTTTCATACCGCAGATGCAATAAATCTGCATGGCTGTATTGTAGATAGGTAGTAAATACATCACGGCAAATCTACTTGTCGATCACATAGCACTTGAGAACCGAGTCATAACTGCACATCGCACAGTGATGAGGCAATTGAAGATTGCAGTCCATGAAGGGTTTGCGCTTCTTTCCATAGCGAAACTGGCTAGTTAAAGAGCAAGCCTATTTTATCTACTAGAAAGACGGCAGTAACAATTTATCTCATTGATAGCTACGTAAATACCAGTGTATTAAATAATGACATGGCTAATCTCTATTTGCGATACGGTTTTGTTTTGCTTTGGTGTTTTCTGTTTCATTTTGAAACTAAATTAGGGCTTCGGGAATCACGTTCCGCGCGCCTTCCCAGTTAGGAAACCTTCTTCGACCAACCTAATAAAGAAATCCTCTGAGGGTTATCCCAGCAAGCTCAGAACTTAGTGCGTAGTGCTACAAATCTGGGCAATTTCTGCAAGGCTCTTACCACTGAAATAACACAAGTACGCACATGCACAGGTGTGACTAAAGTGAGCCCGGCAGGAACCAAGAACCAAGCAGAAGAAGCGTCTGCATATATAACGCAGGTAAATAAAACAGACGCTGCGAGCATGTGGCTGCCTCCTTGACTGAGCATGAAAGCTCAGCGTCGCGGTCTTCATGCACCAACTAGTATCATGACGAACGACAGTTAGAATACCTCAGTAAAACCTAGTCCTCCCTTACGAAGAAGAAGAGAAGAATATTATCAAAAGGAAGGATAAGGTTAGGACTCGTTACTATTCTAAGTTTATATTAGGTAGGTCGGATGAATCACATAAACAAGCCAAACGTAATCTGCGTATAGACAAATGAACCAATCATAATCCGCAAAAGACGTCGATTGACTAATGACTCCAAGCTGAAAGTACCTGCAGCTGTGTCTGCCTTTGATTCCTCCATAGATAGTTTGGTGCTCTATAGTACAGAATAATTGAAGTGCTGCCTATTACCCGAATAACGCAGGGAAAGTATTGCGTATATAAGACCTGCGCCGGACTTATCAAGAGTTAAATAGACGGTCAGGGCAAAAAAGCGGCGTCGATCGACAGACATATGGTTTTGACAACGGAATATTTTCCAGTAGGCCTCCAAAAAGGGACCATTAATGGGCCTTCTAGCAATGCTCAAATGTAACCAATGCCTTATATTGCGCAGGACTTTACAGCCGTACTAGTCCAAATACAGTGATATATAGTATACCAAAGAGTACTTTTAGGGCAAACGTATTGCTGCAAACCAAAGCTTCGGATTTTTGATGGCCTCAGTTGGTCGGTATTCCTTTGTTACCTAGCTGACTTCCTACTTAGACAATCAATTGATACGTAGTAACTGCTGCCTACCTAAGTAGCAAGACATAATGAAGAGTCAGCTAGACTTGTGAACACGAGCAGGATTCTGGAAGAGAGAGAGAAGGGGAGAGAAAGAAAAAGAAAATCGGAAAGAAGGGGGGGCAGGGGGTAGAGTCTTTTCTTTTGTTGATTACCTGCCTGAGGCCCCCTACCAGCCACCTTCTACTCAAACATGGGCAGCTGATATGCAATTGAAGGTGTTTGGGAAATTTATGTATCTAACGTCTCCTAAAGACGGCCAATAAGCATGATCAAGGCCAAATTTTGAGAGAATATCAGTGAGTATTTAGTGGTCCTTGGAATTCAGCTTTTCCTTGAGATCGTTAATCAATGATTCGGTGGTGTTAGTAGCTTAGAGTGATAGAGATATAGAATCTTTAGCTCAAATTCTTCGTACGAAATAACGTCTATAGCAATAGGCCTATGGACCTACCGGTAGGTAAGCTGCCAAAATCTTAGAATGCATTGCTTGGTCACGAGGTGATTTTGAACTAGCAATGTCTGGAGTGTGCTAGGCCGGCATGGTACTCAAGACATTTACGACAAAGGCGGACACTTCCGTCTATTTGGCCTGCGAGACATTCAGGATGTATTATATGTTTTCGCCAGACTCGTAAATTCGGTGGAGGCCAGTTTTCTCCCAAAACAAACCAACGACCTCGTGCAAAACAAGCTACAACATCAGGATGGCCAGAACGCGCAAAACGCCCACAAAGTTCGCACAATCAGGCCACAAGGGGCTGAAAAGGCCTGTGCCTAATCTCTCGGTTGGCAAGTACCATACGAAATCGTCTGCTATCCATGAGATCAAGTTCACGGGGGCATTGGTGCACTGGGAAGACTTCGAAGACGAAGTCATTGCTGGGATCGAGGAGTTACGGCCCAAGTTAGAGGGTATCATTACGCATGAAAACCTCTCCAGAGTCCCCTCATATTATATGACCCAAGAACATGTTCAAGCTGGGGATGAACATGGGGTGCAAGGGAGATTCCAGCAACACGTTGGGCAAGTCGTGTCAGCAGTACTGAAGGCAGGCGGCTTTCCCGTCAAGTTCAGCGATTACAGGGCCTCGTCAAGCAAAGACTATAACCTAATCCCTGACGTTGCCATCATCGATGTTACGACTTGTGACTTGCGAGGTGTTGGGGAGATCAAAGTCCCCTGGGTTGGTGCACACGATCTCGACGCAATTTTCAATGTGGAGGCAAAATTGCAAACAGCATTGGGTAAGTAAAGCACCTATTTTCAGATGGTCTATGATTTAACTGGCTTTACTTTGTGATTTCTTAGGGTAAATCGCACAATATATGCACAAGTTCCAGCTCAAGTACGGCCTTTTTTCGACGTACGACATGACCATCTTTTTGAAGCAGGAGCAGTCCCAAAATGGCACTTGGGAGCTGCATTACAGCAGCATTGTAGAATACAGCCAAATTGGCGGTGTCGATAAATCTTCGTTACGGGAATGCGCCTTCTATCTGGCTGTTTTGGCGTCCGGTGGCCACGGTGCCAACAACCAAACGCCACTGGACAGTTGGGTTGAATAGGGTTGGGATGGAGAGTTTGGAGCTGCCTGTTATCACAAATAATTTTCTGTAAATTAATATCACCAGAATCCATGTCTTCATAGATAAGAATCCCATTCAGCTAGACTGATACATTAATCTTTCTGTGTGTCAATGACCATCATTTAACACGATGCTATTAGATACATAACTATCGGGCATTCCCTGCAAAAGTATCCAAGTGATGATTACATAATCTTCATGTCATTGGTCCGTCAGGGCCTTGAGCTTGCTTTATCATTACCTCTGGATTTCCTTTCTGTGATCTCAATTTTGCTTCACACAGTCTCGATACATCAAAAATGACTGAACGAACGTCTTTCCCCGACAACTTCTGGCTCGACAGGGTTGTCGAGTTCGAGAAAGTTGATGGCGATAACAACCGTGTCACCACGCAGTGGCAGATCGAGAAGAAGTTGGAAGAGAAGCACCATCTGGGGAGCAAAGAAGACTGGGAGGACTTTAATAGGAAGAAGCCTATGATGGCAATTGCTCGCTTCAACTGTGTCAATGCCAGCGATCCCAGCGAATATGCGTTCATGAAAGTGTACATGCAGCATGTCGCCAGCTTCTTATCGCTTCTTATCTAAATTTGTCTGTTCTTTGCTAACACCTTACCAGAATCCCGTATGCAGGCTCGGAGTTTGACCTGCCCAGTGTCAGGGCTGCACAAGCATTACCAAATGCTAAAATCAATGAAGAAACCTCTTTGGTTACCTTGACAAAAAGGGGGTGCAAGTCGTCACCACCACTCCGCAACCGAAAGAGAGAAATACAGGACGATAGCTCACCATTTGTTCCTACAGGCTTTATAGTCTATCTTGTGACAGACGTACTGCCTGGAACTATTCTGGAGCGCGATGACTACTGGAAGCTTGACTATAATGAGCGTACTAAAATTCGCCTAGCTTTCAAGGCTGCGTACGAGTATGTTACCTTATTAATCCATTTGAACTACTCATCATAATATTGACTGTGGCTATTAGGGATTGTTTGAGCTGTGGTATTGTTCATACTTTTGGTTTCTTGGGCACCAATCTGCTTTGGGATAATATCACTCAGACAATGTAAGTTAATCTTGCAAACTTATAATTGCAAATTATGCTTATCATTTGATGGTGTAGTTCCATCCTAGGCTTTCGCAATAGCAAGCCTGCGACTAAAGAGGACGCTTGGGATGATAACCAGTGGGTTGGCTGGGGATTTGGCCGACGTGTCAAAGGTTTACGGAAACATGCAGGACCATTACCACAAAATATGATACGAGGTCGAAGAGACAAGGAGGTATACGAATTGTGAAGCATGCGGTGAGATTGTGGCCGCGGTCTATTTATCAAACATCAGTAGACCTATTCAAGGGGGTTGGTGATACATGGAAGCTTATGATCATCACAAAGACCTTTCTGTTCTGCACTTTCAAAATGATGTTGTGAGAATTTGCGTATTCCTAACGCATCATATTCTCGTGGCGTCTAGACAGTATTACGCTTGGCAACAGTAAGCTTTCCTATCTAAGTAACTGTCCGAGAATACTAGACTGGAGTAATCACGGAGAAGGAAGCACCGAAAATTGGCCTGGGGTTCTACACTGTTAAATTCCATCCCGGGGAGATAAAGTCAGTCATTCCGGGGTTGGCGAGGAAAATTTCCTTTTTAGGCAATTTTATCTCTATGCTCGATTTCTTTCATATAGGACAGAGTCTATAGACTAGCATGGGGCTGATGGTAAAAACTTCTTCCGGAGTGTGGGGATATCATGTTGGAGCCCTGTCGATAGACGATAGATACTAGGTATAATTCTATTGTAAAGCGCATTTCTATCCTATGCAAGTGCTCTTGTGTATATATATCCTCTGCCTAAACGCTTGGGGTCGACTCATTGATTTCGGCATTGAAGATCTTCGTTGCTATGCCATAGCTTGCCCGTACTTCTTCACTCGCGTAGACTCTCATCTCCTTCTCATATGCCGCTGTCACGCCGTTATTGTATCCACCAGCCTCGCGCAGCAATCGCCCCAGTAAAGCCGAATCCCTGACGGCCGTGTTAGCACCATTGCCACCAGCCGGCGTCATGGCATGCGCTGCATCTCCAATTACTGTCACGCGAGGCTCATTAGGCCATTCTGGCACGCCGGTGGGCGTTGAACAAGTGATCTTCCAAAACGCCGCTTCCGACTCATTTATATTATCAATCAAAGGCTTGAAATGAGGGTGCCAGCCACTCGTCAACGATTTAGCAATGTCAGCCGCTGTCTTGCCAACAATCGAGTAGTCGTTATTGGGCACCTCGATAACGCCTGGCACAGCACCCAGAGTCCATCCAAACTGAATATCGGGATCGTCCATGTCGCCCGGGCGAACGTTTGTGATGATGGAGATCTGACGTCCAGGCGTCGACTCGTCGAGAAGCCGGAACACACCTTCGCCTAGACTTTTGAATGCGGTGGTCGATGCTTGTCCATGTATCCCCCGTGCGCCGGTATCGTAGACCTTGAGACGACCGCCAGACACCTGCTTCGCAACGAGCGACTTGATACCATCACCCGCCACGAGCAGGGCTCCTTCGACAGACTTTGTCCCGTCAGCAAAAACAGCTCGGACGCCATCATCCGTCAATTCGTAGCCGGTAACGTATTTATTGAATTGGATGCGGTCTTCAAACCCTTCCAGAAATAGTCTTCGCATATCGCCCCGCGAAATACCCACAATCTTCCCACCCCGCGAGCCCAGTGCCTCTGGCATATGCTCTAGCATCTTGCCTGTGACAGCGTCAAGGGTCACGACCCCCTTGCCCGCTGTTTTCCCGCATTGGTCATAAAACCGCTGAAATGCCGCGGGTTCAAGGACGGATTCAATCGCGTCAAGACCCTGGGAAGAAAGACGCAGGCGGTAGCCCTGACCGCGGAAAGCGAGAGAGGCGTCGCGCTCAAAGACTTGAAAGGGAATATTCGACTGCAGCAAAGAGCGCGCGAGCAGAAGAGAGGCCAGTCCGGCGCCAGATATAAGAACGGGCTTTTGCATCATGATCACTGGCAGTTTTGACTGATTATTTTGAAGCAACAAGGCCACTGCTACTTAGTTATTTAACTAGTTAACATATAAACATGCTTACAAAGCCGGGATACGGTTCCTTTGCCGATGCTAACCAACTAACTTGCAAACTTAGTGTGGATTATTAATGCTTACAATTTGATGTCTAACTAGTTAACCACTTGCTAGTTATACTTTTATAGACCGTAGATAAATAATCCTTGAATATTCAGCTAACTGACTAGTTAACTCCGGGTTTGTATGGGGTGACAAATCACAACAATCACGCATCCTTGTCTAGCCCTAAAAGACAATAGATCCGGGTCGAGCATGGCCTCAAGGCCCACAAGCCCATAATCTGAAATTGAATAAACAGACTCAATCCAATACCAGAAACGGTAACGCTGGCTGACCGCTCATGCAGAATTGGACTGTGCTGATAAAGCCTCGGCCCTGGACAGCAGCTCGTCCGTCTCCTCCTTGAATTTCTTAGTGGCATCAGAGAGTCGATCCCACATGCTGGACAGCCACTGGAGTCTCTCAGCTATCGTCATTTTAAACACAGCCCACTCCTTCTTGGTTTCGTCTTTGTATGGCAGCAACTTCATTTTCTTGACTCCATCTTCGATTATGTTGATACAATCACTCATCGCGTGCGCGTATACTCGATCCACTATGGGAGCGTCAGGGCTGCTTCTTTGGTTGATGTCTCCAATGAACTCTTCAAGCTCCAGTGCTGTAAAGTTCAGATATCCCAGCCTGGAATGCTCTTTTTTCAGCTTTTTCGTGTCCATCGTGAACGAGCTTTGTAAGTCAGTCTACTGGTTGAATATGTATGCTGTTAGGCTCGGGTTTGCGTATCTGGGTTAGAGTAAGCTTTCTGTTTGCGTGACAGTGAATAGGATGGGTATTTCGACAGAGAGAGAGAGAGAGAGAGAGAGAGCGAAAGTCCAGTCATGGAGGAAAGAGCTTTGTATCAATGACACACATGCCAGAGTCTTTGATGAATCACTTAGAACACGCTAAGCTATTATTGGACAGTGTATATGAAATATCAAATGAAATATCAACTGAAACTCGCATCTGAAACTCGCTCTCAGAGAAAGACATCTACCTAGGTATCGTCCTCAGGAATCGCCCTCCTCATCACACTCTGCACCCAGTTGCGCGGAACTCCCAGCACCGTCGACTCCGCAATAGCTCTATTCATCCTGGCTATATACTCCCACTTGGGCGGCCCCTGCGAGACTCTCTTCTCGTCTACGTAGACCAGGACCGTCGCATCTTCTTCTCCTTCTTCTTCGTCTTCTGCTCGACCTCCATCTGTATAAAGCCACTTCACAACCCGCGCTGGCACATACCACTTATTATACGCGCCATTCTCCTGCTCCCTCGGCCTGATATCGAGCGGTATCTGGCGCGCAAACGCTGATGCAGGCGCCAAATGATCCACGCCTTCGTAGCCGTCTAGGAGGAATTCGTCTTCGGGCGTCATTTCGTAGAGGATGCCAAAGACGACGTCCTTGTCCCTGTCTTTGGTTTCTGTGTCCGGAGAAGCAGAAAAAGAAGAAGAGGAAGAGGAAGACTCAGGAACCAAATCCGCATACCCTACTTGTCGACCAACCCTCCATTTCGCCGGCGGAATCACGTTTGCGTATCCGCGCTCGCAGATGAGCCAGCGCCAGTGATCCAGGCGTGCGAGGGCTAGGGGCCGGCCGGAGGTTGATGGGTCGTGTTCGCAGCGGTGACGCATTTGGGTGGGCGACAGGTTGGAGCCGTAGGCGAAGTAGAGTGTTCTGTTTCGGGGTTTTGTCGCTGTCTTGTTTTGTTGCTGCTGTTGGTGGAGGACGGTTTGGTTGGTGTTGGAGAGGCGGTCGGTTGTGAGGGCTTCTGCGGGCGCGTCTTGCGCGATGATAGCTTTGCGCATCTCTTTTTCTCGTTCTTGTTATCGCCTTATTCCTTTTTTTCCTTGGCAGTGTAAGAGAGAATAGTATGAAAGATGCAAGTCTAGAGAGTGTGTAGCAAAGTGTACCTGAGGAGGTGAGATGCCCCGCATGTAAACAACGCAATAGTAAATGGCGTCATCAATTCAACTGCACTCCTCTCCATTACAACTGAAATTTAAGGATTATATTATATACAAATTCCCAATCGGGACATCCTGGCTCTTCACCATCCACCTCCTCCGAATCCCCAAGCCCGTCGAATCCCTCAGCAGCGCGTACGTCTGCTCGCCGCCGCCCACCATGATCGCCGCAATGGGCTCTGGTCGCGGCAGTCCGCCCGCCGTCAGTTGTATCTCGTCTAGATGCGGCCGGACGAGCATGGGTTCAGCTGCTAGTGCCGCTCGGGCTTGTAGTTGCTGCGGGTTTGTGGATGTGAAGGGGCGCTGTTGATGATAGTGGCTGTCGGCATCGTACAAGGGTGACGACGATAAGATCATTTCGTCGTGTTCGGGATACGACACCAAAATGACCAGTTGCAAGCTGCGGCTGTTGATGTTGCTGGACGCATGATGGTAGCCAGGAATATTCCTCAGTTTCTCGGAGAATGTGCACCCCCCACGCTTAAGCACGAGCACCTGGTACTCGCGCGGCACTTCGGCTGGTAGTCGGTGGTCGCACAGCTCGTCAGTTAAATATATTTTCGACCATTGCAGACGTGTCGTCGCCGGCTTGCCGGTGTGCAAGAATATAGAGGCGTCTGGGACATCCGGTAAGGGGCCAGAGCCTGCACCGATGGAATTGGCGGCGGGCAGTGTTAGGCGGATCGCTGTACTGCTACTGCTACTACCGGATTTCTTCCTCGATGAAAACGAAAAGTAGTCGTCATCGCCCATGCTGTTGCTGTCGTCGTCGTCGTCGCCGCCGCGGCGATGATCGTCGCGTAGGATGGCAGAGACGTGGCTCATGAGCGCTGACAGGGCCGTTCTAACGCTTGATGCGCGCGAAAGGGGTCTGCTCAGGAGCGTGTTGTCGCTGGACAGTGAAAGAGAATCCTCCTGGATGATGGCTGGTTCCTGCTGACTGTTTTGTTGTTGTCGTTTTTTTCCTTGTACATGCTCAGACTTTGTATGGTTTTTGTTCTTCGTCTTTGCTGCTCTTCCCGGTTCAACATCAACGACAATATCCAACATAACTGAATCGCGCACCCGAGAGAAATGCGGATCATTAGGACTCAGAACATCAAACAAAATATCTCGAGATATGTACACCTTCTCATCCCTGCCCAATGGCACATTATTGACCACCTGGATTCGGAATCCTTCCGCATATACATCTGTCAAGCCTTCGACGCTCATTGGGATATCCTGCACCATTCCAAGCCGCATGCCCCCAATTGATTTCAGCAGAATACCATCTCGCACTCTTTCCATTGCCCCTGGCCCAAGTATCATACCCGGTAATTTCGGGAACGATATGTCTAGTGAAGGTCGAACTGACATGGGAGAGCTCATTGCATTGTACGGCACTAGCTCGGGAGGCAGTGTCCAGGGGTAGAATGTGTAGTTGGATGGCGAGAATAAATCAGAAACAGTCACGCTGGGATGGTCGTATGCAAAGTCAAGCAGTGCACCGCCAGCTTCGTTTCGACCGGGCATGAGGTGTAGACGCGCCAGACTCGCGGCGTGGAAAATGTCCGGCCGCGCCGCTGTCGAAGACAGACTGAATGGAGGAGGCAGCGGTGCAACCTCGCAAGTGTAGGCCATTATTTCAGCGTCTTTGTTGAAAGCGGGATCTTCTTTCCTTGTTGTCGGCTTTGACGCTGAGGAGGCGGAACTCTTCGGAATAATCAGCGGATGTCCCTCAGTTGTAAACACAAACGGCGCGTCCAGTTTATTCAAGGGATGATCCGGATCGAAAAGTAAGAACAGGTACTTGGCTGTTTCTCCTAGGAAGAAACTCTCCATGCGATCCTGTAGCTCGCCCGTACGCACATCCTGCAGGCCCGCCCAGCCACATCTCGTCCAGCAACGACGTTTAATATCTCGCAGCACCATCTCACCAACATGGAGATACCAGGGGTCTCTAGTTGCGCGATACAAATAGTAGGTTGACTCGATGAACTCAGGACGGCCTCCCCACCATCCAAGGCCGTTGTCTATGTCTCCCGTGGCAACATTCCAACGTTCTGGCAAAGCAGAGAATCGCGTCCATAGCGCGGTGGCCAGTAGATGGATTTCAGTTGCTTCTTCAATCCGGCCTGCCAGCGTAAGCACGCCAGGATAGAATGCGCTCAGACTGTCTATCCATAGCGCCCTGGTTGCGCCGGTCTGGAGATCGGCTTGCACGTAATGTGGATGCTGGTAGCCGTGGCCGCGATAGAGGTGGTGCTTGATAGCATCCTGGGCGTTTTGCCAGACGTTGAAGTAGAACTCGGGGGAATGATTATCTTCCCCAAGAGGTATAAAGTAGCTGTCCATGACACTCCAGGGACTATGGGGATCAAACCTGGGCGGTTCCGGATCTCCGGAGGACAACAGAATATACGCTTTGAAAGCGTATTCAAAAAAGCTGTCAATCCCAGCGCCAATCTATACAGCATAACTCGTCATTAGTTTCGTATTATTACCTGCCAAAGAAGAGAGGGAAAACAAAACCGAGAACATACACCTGTAAATGGGGCTACCCAATTGCCCGACTCAGCATCAATGCCAGCCCCGAGCAAGTCAATCTCGCTCCTCCTCAGCCAAACGGCCCAAAACGCCCTTTTGGCAAGATCCTCATAACGGCCATCACCAGTTAGGCGACTCAAGGTCGTGAATTCCAAAACAAGACTGCCCGCGCCCGCGCTACAAGTCTCGGTGATTTCTTGACTTCCTGTTCTTTTGCTTTTTTGTTGCTGCTGCTGCTGCTGCTGCCCAGGATAATTCTTGCTCAATGGTGAATTGTCAAAGAATGGAACGCCATAACGCAGGTTTACGCGGGGGTATGGAAGACCCGTCGGCGTGTAGAACGCGGGGAGGAGACGATCTGCCAGATCGTGAGCAAGACGTAGCAATTGCCCGTTATATATAAAGCCATTGGACCAGACGATTCCTTTAGTATGATTATATTCTGCCGACGAAAAAGCGTCCTTATCCCAAGCCTTCGCATATTCAGCATCTTCCGTCGATGGAGCGTATCCTCGAATGGGTAGATCGCCGACAGCGAAGAGATGCGCGCTCAACAAACCACCTAACCCCCAGAAATATTAGAAACTGAAAACATGAATTGCGAGAATTGAATGAATAAGACATACCCAACCCCCGTATCACAGTCTCAAAAACCTGCACTTTACTATCCAAATCAAACCCTCGCGCTCTCTCGCCCTGACCGGCGGGACCATCACTACCATCGCCATACAGCCGGACAAGCTCTGTCACGCCATTCTCGAAATGCGACCATGCGCGCGACCCGGTATCATTGCTGGATGCGAGGATGGCCAGAGTTGACAGACTGTCAATCATGGTCAGCGAGTAATTGCCGAGGACATCATTCAGCTCGATTCTATCGGGACGGTCGCGATCGCGCGTGAGCGGGCCGCAGGAAAGAGGGCGCAGTTCGTCTTCTGGGAATGCGTATTTGATGTAGTTGTCGTAGCCATGGTAGAACATGTGTTCGGTGTGTGATCTTTTGTTTTTGTCCCTTACTCAGTATGGATGGTGACCCCAACGGAAATAGAAAAGTGTATACCTAAGATCCCGTATCTGATACTCCTTCATGGCCTGCGCCTGGACCAGCCAGAGCGCCAGCAGCAGAAAACCCCAGCTCATGCATGAGGAAGACAACAGGCCCGGTATTCTCGGGCACTGGCATCGCGTGCGCATTGCCAGCGACGGGATGTGTGAATCATTGGCTGGAGGGAACGTGTGCTGTTATAATATAGGCTCGTGAGTATGGTGATTAGAACATGAAAGTCCTGCATAGGCCAGGTAAAAAAAAGATGAAGCTTATACAGACAGCAAGGTTGCTGCGTGGTCTTAAGTAAGCCCCCGGTTAGACTTTGGTTTAAGCAACTAATTAAATCATGCGGATAAGATAAGCTCAGCATAGGTCACGTGTGATCAATGAAGCCCTAACTCAAGCAATGTCTTTATCTCTACTTGCATATATACAGATAATAAACGGAGTATCAGACAAGTCAACTAGACTGCTGCCCATCATCTCCTGTACACACTGAATTCAAGCCCCAAAAAACCGACATACGCAGCCAAAAGTGCAATGCCTGCTATCCGACCAAGGCCCAACACAACCACCGCCAAAAGCAACACAGACGACAGCCAGGTAACCCCAAGCTCAAAGAGCACGAAGCTGTCAGCAATATCATGGCCATCAGGTATGTCACTAACAGCGACAATGCCCATGCAAAGCGTAAGCAGAAATATGTTACTCCCAGCCGTGCTTGCGACCATAATACCACTATGGCCGCGCGAACCACTCATAATAGCCACGAATTTCTCCGGTAGAGTTGTGGCGAATGACAGAATGGTAATACCGACCACTGTGCCGGAGAGATCGAGCGATTCAGCGATTGTGCTGCTGCTGTGCGATAGGACGAAGCCGGATATGGAGAGTAAGACAAACCCGACGAATAGCTGGGCGATGTGATACACGAGAGAATGTGCAGGCTGTCTCTGTCTACTGACATCTCCGGAATGCTCACTGCCTAGCAGACGGGATGTTTCTGACGGAACGAGTGTGTCGTTGTCTTCTTCCCCATCGCTATCGCTATCGCTGTCGCTGTCAGAATCAGAATCAGAATCAGAATCCTCTGGCGGATCGATAACTCCTCGATAAATCGCATAACCAATCGAGCCAATATACACGACAAAGAGAGCTATGAACGCAACACCAGCAGTCCTATCCAGCCTGCCAAAGAACGCCAACGCAACGAATATCGTAGTAATGACGAACAGAAACACAGTATACACCTTCGCACTCCAATCAAAAGTAATCGGACCAGAGTGGAATATCAACCCCAGAGAGAAAGCCCCGAGAATGTTAGAAATGGTCGAACCCATCACATTCCCGAGAGCCAATGGGGTCTGGTGCTGAAGGATTGCAGCAATTACCACCGCGAGCTGGAGACATTTAGTAGGTAGAAAATCCAAAGAAAAAAAGAAGGGGGGGAGTATGAATTGACGTACCTCCTCATATTCAGCCCCAGCAGTCAATAGCGCGATGAGTGTCTGGGGAACGCCTAAGCGGCGGCCGACGACCACTGTGTGGTCGATGAATTTGTCGGCGCCGATGTCGAGAACTATGACCCCGGTAATGAAGGCAGCGGTGTTGAAAAGAAAAGTATCCCACTCCATGGCGTTCACTTGAGTACATCTCTAGATGGTTGCAAGATGTTATCCCCAAGTCAACGTCGAAGCGTAGGAGATTAGCAAAGCTCGGAATAACCATTTCCCGTGAACATGTATTATGGAAGTTACCTAGGTATGGGCATAAACTAGCCCTAACTTTGTCATGTCCACGAATCAAATATACAATTGATGCATTCCAACCATATCTAGACAGTCTCTGCTATATACATCTAAAAAGCCACTCTATACTGAGGAACCGTCGATCTCGGCTGTGCCTCAACCACATACTCCACCCCGTCCTCCGAGGCATAACTCGGCGGACGGATTTGTGTTGACGTTGTCGAAGGCGTGATTGAGTTTGCGTTTGTATTTGTTGTTTGATGTTGATTATGTTGCTCGTTTTGACTTTCATCGTTGTTATTGCTGTCATGTATTGTTGGTAATGGTGTTATTGTGGTATTCGTGTTTGTATTTGTATTATCAACTCGTTGCCAGTAGAGCAGATTCGGATTTATGCGCTGTATTCAGTTAGGACCTAGCCATATTGAATTTACCAGAGTACATACCACAGTATTCCGCCAAAGACCATATGCTGGTGGCGGTGCAGCAGGTTTGCTAGTCGTGCTTGTACTATTATTTCCCCCTTCTCCTTGTCCTGGCCCCTCAGACCAAGAGTCGGCCGCCTCAAGCGCAATCTCCTCATCCCTCGCAAGAACGACATGGATCGGATGCGCCGGTTGAGCATAACCCTGTGGACCAGCCACGCTGGGTATGCGACGGAACGACGAAAACGAAGTCGCGCCGTTACTCGCACAGCCGCCGTGTTGCGCAATACTTGTCGCGAGAAGAATCGTTCGCGCCAATGAGTGGCAGAAGATGATTACGAAGATCATGAGGAACAGGAGGAAGAAGATGTGGTATGTTTGTCCGTTTAGCGATTTGTTGTGGGAGGCGTAGATTGAGTCTGCTCAAAGTTTGTTAGTTAATCATCACTCAGAATCTGGTTGGGGGTTCGGAATTCAAATAGATAAAGTCATACATATTGGTATCATGCTAAGCAGTAAAATGAATGATACAATACAGATGGTGAGGTGTTTCCGGACAACTCTATCCTTGAGCGCGGTTCGATATTCTTGTTTGATTCCGCGGCGAGACCTGGAAGATGATGACGACGCCGATGACGGAGGGTCCTTTGTGATCCATACATCTATATAGCGTCTGCGCCGCGGTGGGTTCGACGAAGGATTGGTGTTGTTATCAGTTGGTGATGTGCTTGATGATGATGATGGCAAAGTATCAGCAGCGACAATTCCTCTCTTTGCTGACCGAGGCCGGAAAACTGAGGCATATATTCGCCCCGCCTTCTCTTTCCACGTTCCAAATGCGTAGTTGTGTTTTTGTTGGTTGTCCTCGACGTCGAAGAACGAGCTGGTGTCCGCTGGATTCCGATTCATAGTATCGTCGTCATGCACAGCCGCGCTGTGCGGGCGAGAGAAGTTCATTGATCCAATGCCGGTTCGATATTGGATAGCTCGAGTGATAAATAGAAATAAAAAAAAAAAAGGGAATATTAATTAAATTAACGAGGGGTAGCGTATTGATTAATTTGATGCGGTCCGCAGTGAGCTCGGCCAGTCTGAGTATCAGATAAGGAAATGGATGATGTTATTATTGTAGCGATCAACAACCGTCCAGCAGTTAGTTAGCCTTTCGTATAACGAGGGGGAAGTGAGCGAGCGAGAAAATAAGAAGAGAGAGAGAGACAGAGGCGATGTCAGGGTATTAAAGTGAAGGCGATCATGGTAGGAGGCATACAGCGTGAATGGAGATCAAGCTAGGATCGTATCAGGGGCGAGAGTTGCTATGGCAGAGCTAGCGGGCTAGTCCGGCCGGCACTAGTCTAGGGATGGTTAAGGGGTCAAGGGCTGTGACTTTGGTCAAACAGGGGGCGCTTGCGCCTTATCTGATTCTAAACTCAGCTAGGTAGTTACTTAGCTAGGGCACGGAGATAATGCCAGGAGTTGGCTCCGTGCTTGTGATTATTTCTAAAAGGCACGACTTCACAGTTTACAGGTTACCAGGTAGAGCAGGAAATTGTAATGCTTCGGGTTTCATATGCATCTGCTACAAGTCTGGCAGTGTTAATACTCTAGCACAGAGACTAGCAGTATGACGCGATCCCAAACTCCGTATGCTTGATGCATGAAGTTCAACGTCCGTCTCGACCAACTCCTGTAGGATGCCTTCAAATTCATGGAACAATGCTGACTTTAATGTATTAAATTTTATTGTAAGTATCTATGCTTAGACAAACTACTTGCCGAGTTCACCAAGCATGATATTTCGATCGGACGAGCCGGAGACAACTAGAAAGAAAATAACGTCAGCGTACTCTCAAGCAAGGTACTGTCATTAACAAGACTTACCAATAGGCTCGTCGTTCGGAGAAAAGCGAACGTCGTTCACCGTCCCCTTATGACCCGGGAGCTTGTAGAGGAGCTTGCCCGTCTTGACATCCCACACTACAACGCTACGATCTCCGCTTCCAGCCGCAATTTTCTCTCCCTTGGGGTCCCAACTGGCGCGGATGAGGTTCTTCTCTAACCCAACTGGCGCCCCGTCAAAAGTCCTGATGGAGCGATCGGCGGGCGCAAATGGTCGGATGTCCCATGTGCGCACGGTCGAGTCGTGAGAGTTGGACAACAGGGTTTGCGAATCGGGCGATATCTGGAGCGATGTTACGGTATCATTGTGGCCGAATAATGAGTATATGACCGCCTTCTTTCGAATATCCCAGACTTTTATATCGTTGTCAATACCACCCGTGAAGATTTCATTCCCAGCGTCCGACAGCGCAACGGCCGTAATCGGAAAATCCGTTTCGAGGAAATCGAGCGCCGCTTTGTGTCGTGGATCCCAGATCCCGATATAGCCATCGTCACTGCCGCTGACAAGCAACTCCTGGCCACGTCTGCTGATGTCCAAGCAATTAATCACTTCTTCATGGCCCACGTGCCTCCGAATCCGCTGCCCGGTCTCCACGTCCCAGCTGGCTATTGTCATGTCGGCAGAAGCCGAGAAGATGAACTGAGAGTCTCGAGACCATTGCAAGTCGAGTACAGCGCCTTTGTGTCCGGTCAGGACGCCGTAGTTTTCGCATTGTTCGTAGGTCCGCCATAGCACTATACAAGTTGAGGTAAGTACATGTGATCGATAGAGAGAGGGGAATAAGAAGGGACTCACTTATGGTACGATCCATGGAACCAGACGCAATATTCTGCGCTGTAGGGTCGAAACGAGTCGCAAATATTTCTCCCGAGTGTCCTGTTTTCGTCAGTCCAGCGCCCAAGGGACAGATGGAGGGGAGAACTAACCTGTCAACTCCATAATAGGAGCTGCGAGCCCGCTGGTTCTAGGAATCTACTCGCAAGCATTAGCAAAGAAGAAAGGCGACGGAAATCCGGCTGCTCTAGACAGCAGGAAAAAGAAAGCGATGCATACAGCTTGTACCAAAGCACCATTTTGACTACCAGTCCGCAATGCAAGAGCGCTTGAGTTGAGGTCGCTATTCGATTTTTGTCTTTTCACGACGAGCTGGTTTGCTGCGCCGAAAGATTCTGAGGCCGGCCTTTTTTCGCCAGACATCATGATATATACGTAGAGCTTGGTGCGAGGAGGAGAGAAAGAGGAGTAATTTAAAAAAGAATAGTAAGAACGGCAATCAATCAGGTAGCCGGTGGGTGGTTGAATGCTTAAGCGCGGAGGTCCATAAAATTCAACCTTACCTGGTAGACGCGCTAAACGCTTTATGGCGGCGGGCCATCCATATCAACTTCACGCTTCAATCCAACGCTTGCTTCGCTCAACAACAACCTCTTCCTCTGCGTCGATACTATCTTTAGCTTTGGGAATTCAACATTGGGAATTAATTCCTTCTTTATCGCGGGCATAATATTCACATTTCTGGGTTAGAGAGGGAAAGGGACAAATATTGGACATGTCTTCGACTACAAAAGCCGCCCGAATAGGGGAAGAGTAAGTCCCCCATTGACTCGACCAGCATCGATTAAACTAATCTGTTGTGTCTTGCTTAAGAATCTGGAAGTCAGTCATTCCCGCCCAATCGCCGGCTTGGTTTTGACATCAAAGTCGAAGAGACATACAGTAATGAATGGCATTTACTGAATTCATTTTACTTATCTGCAGAACAAAGATCGATAAAGTCAACGCCGAACTAGTGACGCTTACGTATGGAACGATAGTTGCGCAGCTATGTCAAGACTACGATAGCGATTATGTGGAAGTCAATAAACAACTCGACAAGATGGGGTATAACATAGGCATGCGGTTGATTGAAGATTTCCTTGCCAAGTCTAACACGGGTCGATGCGCGAATTTTAAGGAGACGGCCGATATAATCTCCAAGGTCAATTCTACTTGCCCCCGCAAAGCATACATACGAGGAAAGCGTTACGTGCTGACTTGTCTTTTGTCTAGGTGGGATTTAAAATCTTCCTCAATATAACACCCACCGTTACCAATTGGACTAGCGACAATAAACAATTCTCGCTGGTGCTCGATGAAAATCCACTGGCCGATTTTGTGGAATTGCCGGATGACGATCGAGCGCAAGACCAGCTGTGGTTTTCTAATATTCTGTGCGGGGTGCTGCGAGGCGCATTGGAAATGGTGGGCGCTTTTTTCTTCTTCATCATCTTCTATGAGTAAATTCGGATGAGTAAGCTAACTGAGTTTGTTTATCTTGTCCCAGGTCCAAATGCAAATTGAGGCGCATTTTGTGAGCGACGTGCTCCGGGGCAGCGATACAACGGAAATCCGGGTGACACTGGTGCGATATATCGAGGATGAGATGCCGCCGGATGATGAATAGGAAGTGCCACATGTGCCAGACAGGCGATATGCAGCTTGATTGCGGTGCGAATCGACAATGATATTCAGCGGTTTCCTAGGTAGGCCTAGCATGGGCGTGTGTGGCATGATCTTCCGGGGAGCTTATCGAGCGGGAGCTAACGCTAATCCCCGTCCATACTCGCCGCGCTCCGTAGTTTACAGATAGTTAGCTGGCTCCAATTCATCGCCGAAAAAAAAAAAAAAAGCAAGCCTGCCTACTCTGCACCGCCAGACAGTCGCTCCCGTCAGTTTTGTGTATATCCGCGTCTTGTCGTACGGCAGCAGTCGCACAAAGAGTTGCGCTGCTGGCCACAGGAGGGGCTCCACGTGACACGCTAGTCCCCAACCCGGTAAGCCCGCCCCCACCGCCGAGCCATTCCGTTCTGAGAAGTGCGCAGGGCGCCGCCCTCGCACTGCGCCGGCGAGCGGGCGATTCAAGATCAGGGTGGAATGGGGAGATGACGGGTGGACGTCGTAGTGGTTCAATGGCACGCGCAAAAAGCAGTGGCGGGCTTCAATATATGTCTACTAGAGACAAGTGCCTGGCAGACGCGCAAAAGCTACGCGGCAACGGGCGTCCCGCGGTACCGGGAAAGGCTGTGCTGACATCTACGCGCGCTCCCGCCAGACCAGCCTCCATTAGTGCGCCCCGAGCAGTTTTTCCGCGCCGGCCCTGACGGCTGGCGGGCCAATAGGAGCCGCCTGCCAGCCTGTCGCTCGATCTCGCTCGCTCTCTCGTCCTTCCCTCTCGCTCTATCGAATTCATTCCCATCCTCGCCTCTTCCCCTTTTGCCCCCCCCTCCTCCTCCTCTTCCCCCCAAAGGGAAAGTCGTTAAATGTTTTCTCGTCGCTAAGTCCGCGCTGCTTCTTGCTCGCCCTCTTGCGCTGCGGCTGATCCACTCCAGCTCTCGCACCTTAATTCCTGTGCCCAACCCGACTGGAACCCGACCGAACGAACGAACCTCTATTCCCGTTACGACGGCTGCAAGTAGTAGTAGTGCTCTTACTACGTACTACTACTGCTTGCTGCACATCATCCCGGGTTTCCCTTGTCCCCTTCCTCTCGGTGCTGCTGCTACTCTATTGCCTCAATTTCCCTTTTCTTTTTTCCTTTTCTTCTGGATTCCCCTTCCCGCTCTCCACCCTCGTTGCTTTCTTTCCCCTTTGACGAATTCCTCTGCCATAGTCCTTGGCTCTATCAACTCTTTTCTTCATCCGTCCTGGTCATAGCAGCTCGGCCTCCTGTCGCGCCGCTTTCGCTCACAGTCTTTTTCGTGTCGGGCCAGAAAAGGATTTCGTCTGGAGGGAAACGAGCGGCTTCGAATCGAATTCCTTATCTCCTGATCTCTCCCATCGCGATTCCAAACCTACCAGCCACCTCGTCGGTTCCCGTCTTGCGGACTATCGATTGGACGTTTTTTTTTTTTCTCTCTTTCCTTTCCTTTCTTTTTTCTAATATCAATCCTCTCATACCAATCTGATACCTTCGGCTCTTTTAAGAAAGAATCAGAATAATCGCCGTGGTTGTCGTGTATATCTGGGACCCTTGCCACATTTGACCGGCCGGACACTCTTTTTTCCCGCCCGTCCGCCCCGTGTGGCTCTAGGCCTCCTACCGGTCGCGATCTTGCTCGACACAGTTCAACAGAGAAAACGACCGTCGAATTTCCATCATCGTCCTCATTTCTATATTTCATCGCAGCCCCTTTGGTGCTTTATTTGACTTAGTCTAAAAAGTTCTATTTTGGCCTTCGCTCCACGGCCTACTTGGAAGTTTAAACGCGATATTTCCGGGTGGCTGTCACCGCCTTTGTCGCGCTTTTTCGCTCACTCACACACACCCTCTCTCATCTACACACCCTGGCGCTTACATATACCGCGCGCTTTTTTTTGTTACTTGAGCAGTCTGGCTTTCATACTTTAGTCATCTTGGGTGGTGGAAGTGGCCCAGTGGGCTCTCAGCCATGAATCATCCAATCAACATGGCTAACATGGCTGGGATGAACCCCATGCCAGGTGGCCCTGTAGGTGGCGTCCCCATGATGAACAGTGCATCGACCGCTCCCCGCACAGAGTCTCTGGAATCTGTCTATATACAACTCAACACATGTATCTACGACTACTTTATCAAGCGCGGTCAATACGACGCCGCTCGCGTTCTTTTAAACGACGAAAGCGTCAAACTGGATACCGACGCCGACCCCAAAACTAGCCCCGGCCATGTGAATGGTGTGGATGGGGATACGTCGATGACCGACTCGAAAGATGAAAAATTAAAAATTCCTGATGAGTTCCCCCGACCTCGTGTCCCCGTGGACAGCGCGAATTCTTTCTTGTTTGAATGGTTCAGCCTATTTTGGGATATCTTTGGGGCACAGCGTAGGAGAGGGAACTATAACCCAATGGCTCACCAATTCGTTCAGCAATCACAGGTTTGTTTTATTTCTATCTCTTTGAAGTTATTGTAAGTTTCGATTCGCAGACTGATTGTGTGTGTAGAACTTGATGCGCATGCGAGAACAAGCCAATCAAAATTTTCTTCGCCAGCCCAATATGCTGATGCAAAACCAGATGGCTAATATGCGACGCAATGGAGTTCAGGGTATGAATTTGCAAAAGACGGTTTTACAGAACAACACAACAATGTACGGTTTCCCCCCTTCTATATCTTGCATCAAGCGTTTTGATGTCAAAACATTGACGAGGGTCTGTTAACTGTATTTAGGAACCCTCAACAAATGGCTCAACTGCAACTGCAAAGTAAAATGCAGCGTGAGCACTCGGATATGGATATCAACGGCCACCGCGCACAATCGCCATCGTCGGCTGAGAACGCCCCGTCTCCGTCGAAACGACCGCGACTCGAAGGCGCTCAACCGGCTGGACAGCAAATGGTCCCCAACGGCCGAGCACCGGGCCAGATGCCGGGTCAGATGAATTTGATGCAGAATGGGATCAATGCGAGGGGGATGAATACAACGCAATTCCAAGCGTTCCAGCAACAAGCTGGCCAGACTGCAGCGCAGCAGCAAAAATCCATGCAGGTATATGCCCAGAACTTGCTCCTTCATCACTCGAGCTCAGCAATGAATAACCAGGGGATACCGAACGGACTGATGAACAACGGATTCATGCCGAATCAAACTGATATGATGCCGCAACTATCGGATGGGCAGACCGTACCCATGATTAACGGACAATTTCTCACCGCCGACATGGCGGGAATGCCTCGACCGGGAATGCCAGGGACTAACCAGAGCGGAAACCATGCTCTTCAAGATTACCAGATGCAATTGATGCTGCTAGAACAGCAGAACAAGCGCCGTTTGATGATGGCTCGTCAAGAGCAGAATAACATGCATCCCGACGGTCAGCCCATGGCTGGCCAGCCCGGTCTACCTCCAGGTACCTCGCCGCAAGGCAGCAGGACTGGAGCGTCTCCGAATCCGAGTGAGCAAATGAAACGGGGAACCCCGAAGATGCCTCAAACCGGTCTCCCGGCTTCGCCCGGTGCTGGTGACATACAGGGCCGTGCATCTCCAGCTGCAATGAACTTTGCTACTGGCCAGATGACTCCGGACATGAATAATGCATTCTACAACATGAAGCCTGATGGCATGGTAGGCGGGCCTAATGGTATGCGACCGCCGACATCGAATCAAACACCATTCAATCCACAGATGAACCAAGCTATGCAACAAGGACCGAACGCTCGGATGCCAGGTGCTAATTGGCCGACAGGTCCACAAGGACCGCCCATGGTTGCGCAGCAGTCTCCTGCAACACAAGCAGCCCCAACTCCACAGGAGCGAAATGCCATGCCGCCGCCGTCTGCGCCGCCAGCAGGTAACAAACCACCGTCTCCTCAGCAGGGAGCAGCGCCGCCGACACCACAGCAAGCGAACAAGCCGGCTCCTAAGGGCAAGAAGGACACTGAGAAGAATCGGAAGGTATTTTTTTTTTCTCTTTGCGCATCATACATGTGCGTGATTGAGCTAACATGATAAAAGCGTCCCAACAAGAAGAACGCAGCAGCGGCCAATGCCAATACTGCAGCAACGCCGTCGTCTGAGGCGGAACCTCCACCAACACCCACGCCATCAACACCTATCACGCCGCAGCATCCGAGTTCGTTCAACAAGAACGGAATCAATGCAACGACGACAGCACAGCAGCCACAGCCTACATCAGCGCCTGCACCACCTATTGTACAGCAACCCGATCCTAATGTTGGAAACTTTAACGAACTGGCAATACCTGATGTATGTCCTTCTCCCTCTTTCCTTTTCTTAGCATATCAGTTAACTTACGATAAACAGACATCGAGCTTTAACCTCGACTTTGGCTCACTCGAAACCCCCGAACTTTTGGAAAACTTTGACTTTGACTCCTTCCTCAATACCGACGCCGACGCAACAGGTTTTGGGTTTGATCCCAGTAATCTAACCTATCCTACCGATGGAGTAGAAACGGGTACGGACGGGTTGTAATGAAATCATTGAATACAATCTATCTGGATTTGTCTAGCGTCAGCAATGTCAGAGCAAATGGGAATGAGCGAAAGCTGAATGAAGCCTTCAAAGATTAATGATGTTCAGAAAGTTCTTTTTTTTTTGAAGGGTCTTGTCTATTTATTTAAACAAGTGGTATTTTTATTCTATCCTTTTTTTTTTTTTTTTTTTGCGTGCATGCGTTTGTTTTTATTGGTATGAATGGTTTTTTCCTTTATCCTTGCCTTTCTTTTCCTTTTTTCCTCTCATCTCTTTTTCCCTTGTTTGCTTATTCGATTGATTGATTGATTGATTGATCCGGACAAAAAATCCATCCACTTATCATCCTCATCCTCCTGCCTACCTACCTTCCTACCTACCTACTCATCCTATCTATCTTTACTTTATACCCAAACCTGTCTGTCTGTCTGTCTCTGTCCATCCGTCCATCCACTCCACGCCTCTTATTTTCATTTCGTTTCCTACTATTTGGTGTACATCTCCTCTTCCTCTTTTTTTCTTTTTTATTTCTTTTCCTCTCGCTTCTTCTGATCAATCGATCGATACCGTGTGGTTTATTTATTCATCATTTATCTCTCATATTTATACCTCTTCTATATTTTTTTTATACTTCCTTATTTTTTTTGGCTTTTGGCTTTTGGCTTTTGGCTTGGCTTGACTTGACTTGACCTTTTTTATACTCTTTGAGTGATGATGAAAATATACTCCTTTTTTTAAAAAAAAAACACTTAAATCCGTTTTTATACATTTCGTGCTCATAGTTTTTGGAGGGGTCGGGACGGACGGTGCGTACCTACATAGGTAAGTCAGTATAAAAGGTTTGTGATGAAGAGATATATGGTGTGTACGTACGTATGTATTGGGATGGATGATGGTGATGGTGTACTTGGATAGGTAGACAAAACGGAACACGATAGAAAGAATGCGCGCACGATTTATGGACATAAGGGGCTATTAGGTAGGTATGAATAACAAACTAATTAACATATCGTCGTCATTGATTCTCCTGCTGACTCAATCCTGTGTTGTTTTTCTCGAACGAAATAAGTATACAGACAGAAAAGAACACAGGCAGCATCACCCCAAACTTCCAGCATAATAGCTTAAGGATTAGCAGGCCAATGTCCACTGGCTTTCAACACCGAAATCTTGTTACCTACAAATCCTTCGATCTGTTCACGATGCACACGCTCAGCCAGCTCCTTAGCGTAGTCCTCTCGAACCAGGCCCATCACGTACTCAACAGCTGCCTTGGAGCATGCTTCTTGAGCTTCGGCCTGGGTGCCGCGGAACGCCTCGACTTTACCGATTGGGCCTGCGCGCGCAAGGAAGGGGTCATTTTCGATCGTTACCCAGACCGTGAAGATTCGTGGTGGCAAGAAAATGCTCCCTGGTTTGTAAGGTCTGGTCTCCAGTGAGTGCTTGAGACCGAGCATGCTGCATAATTCTGTTTTTTTCCTCGTCAGTTGTGAATAGTTGACTAGCGGTTATAGACATACTTACTGTCGAACTTTTCACGGTACGTCGCCAAATTGACTATTTCGCAAGATAGGCTACCTGGAGACTCCTTCCAAATCCTTACCGGTTCTGATACGGGATACACTGGCTCCATCGACATTCGCGGGTTCACGACAGGACGCAGGTTAGACATGAAGTCAGTTCTTGGTTTCTTTGCCTTTCTCATTCGAGCTCGAGCTCGTTTTGACATTGCAGCAGGGGGTTTGGTTACTTTGTTGGCTGCATTTGCTACGGGGCCCGTTTTCGGCTTGTTATTGTTGTTGTTGTTGCTAGTCTGTTTCGATTTGGCTTGTTGCGATGCGTTAGGGATTGTATTTCTGAGCGCTCGAGGTGCGTTTGGTGCTCTTTTCACGGTTGGTGAAGACGCAGGCACGCCGTTCCTAGGTGCAGGCGTCCCAGGAGACACGGTCAAACCATTTGCAACTTCGGGCTCTGAGACCGAAACACCAGAGAGCTCTCGAAGCTCGCCCGTGATCAAAAGATAGAGTACCTGGTGGGCAGCAGCAGCAATGGCCAAGTCTTCGCTAGTGTAGAACTTGCGCTTTCCCAGGCCAGTTACGCTGCCCACGGCAATCTCATATCGAAACCCCATTCTATGAACATATCGCGAGGATTCTGGCAATGACAACCCCATTTCTTTGACATACTCCTGTAGCAATGAAAACCAGCGCCAGTCTTGAGCCGTCAGATCCAGACTTGGCTCATCTGGAACTCTCCATCTGGCATGTCGAACTTTCAAAATCGACAACGCAACTCGACAAATCTCAACTTTGGCAACTACCAGCGATCTCATCGACGGCAGTTTGAGTGAATCATTATACATTGTGAACCTTGCAGACCATCTCCCGTCAGGCTCTTGGTTATATTGAATGTTTTGATTGAGATTTTTCTTTTCCTGCAACTTCAAGACGCCGAAGTAGAAAAGAACCTGCTCAGATGTCAAGTTGCGAGTGTCGACTTCATCCAGCGGCGGTCCTCTGACGACTTGCCTCTCTTCGTCATCCTCATCGCCGACCTCCACAACCACGGTAGCATCGTCGTCGCCATCGTCATCATCAAGATCATCATACCGTGGCCTCACTTCTCTTTCTTCGTGCTTCCCCTTCCCCCCACGTATCTCCTCCAAGTGAGGGTAATGGTTTTCCTTCTGGTAGTGAGCATCATACCGAGTCGAGGCGAGACTCTGGTGAGCAGCATCCTCCACGGCAACATGCGAGCTTCGCACTTGGCTCACGTCCCTCGCATCCTTAATGAACGTGGGGGGATGCGTTGCTGCAGGGTAATAAGAAGGATAAGAAGGATAACAAGGATACGAGGAGTGATGAGGAGAGTAGTAAGAAGAGGACGAGGAAAAAGCGTTGAAATTGGATTCTTGCGAGACAAAGGTGAACGGACGAGGACCGGGCACAAGTCTGATTACTGCATTTGGGGGATTTCCTCTTTCTCTGATGGGAGAGAGTGGCTCGGCCGCAGTCTCGACGTCGTGATCATCAGCGAACCGGCGACCTGGCAGTTCGTCCTGACAATCTGAGATGGGGAAGAACATGGATGGTCTGTGTGATATCGACATGTTTCTGCTGTAAGACCGTCACGTCTGACGGGGTCAGGAGGAGTGAAGGTTGATAGAAGTACGATAATTGTGGAAGATTGAAAGAGAGAAGGGAAGAGGAGAGAGAGGTGAGGATAAGGGAAGAACTGGGAGCGGGTGGGAGGTTGCCCAGGGACTGACCCAAAAGGAAGGAGCGCCTGCCAGTGCCTACAAAGGCAGTCACACCCGAGTACGTCAGCAACCACTGGCACGTACATGTCAGGCAATATAAGAGGTTTTCTCTTCTTCCATGCTAGTCAATAGTACTAACGTACAAACAAGGAGCGGACTCAAGATGTATGTATGTATATACTCGAGTATGTGTATGTTTACAGCTAATAATAACAGGTCATGCCTTCGCTTCAATCAATGTCATCGTCTTCGGCCACAGAATGCGCCTTCTCAACACGAGATATCTTTTTGGTGGGCGACTCGCTTGTCTGAGACGCCTCGTCCGGCGCCTTGGAATGCCTCTTCCGCTTCGTCTCGCTAGACACATGCACGACGCTCTCAGTAGTGCGTACTACGGCATGTGGATGGTGAGTGCTTGACCTGGACACTTCCCTGCTGGATGGCTCGCTGGCGGGTTCGGACTCGACACGGTTACTCCTTTTGGTGAGTCCTTTGCTCTCTTTCTTCCCCTTGACTTGGCCTTTAGGGCTGACAACAACCTTTCGGGTGGAAATCGACTCGACAACGCTATCTGTCTGACCAGACCTGGTACTAGACCCTGAAATTTGCCTGATATCCTTCGGATCTGCTTGAGAATTCCTCTTCGAATATGACTCGGAGCGAGCCAGAGCAGCCGCGGACGGCCGAGATACAGGCGGCATCGAAGGAACAGTTGTCTGTTGGGTCGAGGCAGTAGTAGCAGTGGTTGTATGTATTTTTGAGGGATTCATGGGTCCCATGAAACTCAATGAGTCATCTTCTTGAGAAGCAGCCATACTTGTTTGGTGACTATGCTCGTAACTCATACCATTCACACTAGACATGGCGCGACTGCTCACAGATATTGGCCCTGCATCAGGCATCGAAACATCGTCTATACTGCGCTGAGTCTGACGTAAGCGATGGGCTAGCAGTGGTTCGATGAACGGATCTGCTGATCCCATAAAGCCGGCACCTTGATTTTGAAAAGTTCCGAAATTCGTAGGATGTAAATTGAGTCTAGGATCCATGGTGAAGCCAGGCCAATTCATTGCTGGAAGGGGTGCCGGCGCCGATTCCGGTACTGCTGTTGGGACTATTGGTTTATGTGCCCATTGAGGTACATTTGAGTAGGTATTGTGATAGCTGGCTTCGAATCCATTCACTCGAGAAGGCTCGTAGCGTGTTGTGTCATGGCGAGTTGGCGAGTGTGCATGGAGCTCGTCGTTTTTCTTGTGGCTATCGTATTCAGGGAATGCCCCGTATCCTCCTGTGTTGCCTCCTCCATATCCTCCATAACTAAGTTGATGTCTAAACAGGTTCGTAGGAAGCTGGTTCCACATGTTTGGATTAGGCCAGGCTATACCACAATTTTCCAAGATATCTAAAATCAATCAATTAGCTTAGAGCCACCCAAGTGGGGATGAAAAGGGATGGCACGCACTCAGGGGGGCATGTTGAAACGAGAACACCACAACATCCTTCACCCTCTCAAAAGGCGGCGACCGATTGGGACGCGAGAATCCCTCTGAAATGACGACTCTCAGGCGGCCATGGGTCTCAGCCGCATCCCAGACATATGAATCTATGACCTCGGGATGAAACTGGGGGAAACGGAGTACTTCTTGCGTTCCGTTTTTGTCGACCTCTTGTACAGACAGGCAAGATTAGAAAAGCAGTCCCCAAAAGCCAGAAAACAGGGCTAAACTCACGAGAACTGAAATCCAAAAGATGTGGCCAGGCAGTACGAGGACCGAAGAGACTCCCTCTATTTCAAGTCAACATGTGACAAATTAGGACGCAAAGCAAGTGGTCAGATCAAGGAATGAAACGTACGCCACGCAGACATTATCTGTATAAATCCTAACCTCATACAAAACACAATCATCCGGATGCATCAAACTCTCCAGAATCCGGGACGGCTGCGGCTTTTCCCAGCTATGAATCGAAATGCGAAAGGGGCTCTGAGCGGGCAAACTCGGTATGAAAGAAGTGAGAACGGGCAACTGGCCCAGGGAGCGTTGAGCATAAAAGAGCTGCGAATTAAAATAGGGAGCGTTAAGATAGGGAGAGTCTGCGGATGTAGTGGACAGCAGGTTGTCATATCAGTCAGTGCTGTTCAGTGAAAGCTTGAAAAAGAAATACACATACCTTTATCGCCAACGACACAGCACTGTGTCCGGAATTCCTGGATAGGCACTCTGGAACGCTCCGGGAACAGGAGTACATCCCAGTTGCTGTATCTCATTGTTAGAGAGAAGGTGTGTGTGTGTGGTAACTAAGTAGTACGATAGTGTCGAAAAAACAAAATTTATATAAACAGAGGTGTTTAGAAAGAAGAGTTAGAAGAAAGAGCTGGAAAGATGGAAGGGAGGAGTTACGACGCTTTTCTCTTTCCTGCCGAAAGCAAAGAAGAGAGCAGGCGCCTGCCCATTTGCCGAAAAGGGTAAATAATACTTACTGCTTTTCACTTACGCAGAGACATGGACAATGTGGAAGAAAAGGTACGAATTGGCATTCTTTCCTGATTCATAGTTCATAGGAACGATCATGAAAACAGGGTTGTCTTCAAGACACAATGTAGACATCTGACCCAGATTGACATGGCAAACCGAATGATATGTCAAGAGCACAAAACATACAGTGCAGACCTCCAAGTAGCATCATCAGTCCGTAACCTAACTCCATGGAGAAAAAATAAGGTAGTGAGTAGTAAGGCTTTCGTGAGAAAACAATCGAATCGATCTATCATCCCTAGTAGTTACAAAGAACAGAGAGACGCGCTCAGAGAGCAATTGAGATTCAAGGATCGTGAAGATGCCCCCGTGGAATCTCAACGCAAAATGACGGTGAATCAAGTTGACGCTTAACAAACGTCGCAGGCCTAGGAGAATCAAAGGAAAGATAATATAACTTGAGGGGATAAAAGAAGTTTCAACTTAGACATAAGAGATAAGGTCCTAAAACCTAGTGAACGTATGGAAAAGCTGGAATCTCGCATCGAAAAAAAAAGAAAAATGGTTACAAAATGAAAGAAAGAGCTTTGAAGGCAGTAAAAAAAAAAAAACATTCACGAGCAGCTTAGCATGTTGTACAGTCGTCAGTCTACAAAAAGCACAATAAGAACAAACCTCAAAAGCACGTTCGAGACAAGACCGGTTCGTAAGAACAGAGGCTTCATAAGAGAACTTTTTGCAGCACGCCGACCCAACGGGTAAGGAGCAGAAAAATCGAGAGGGGAATGGAAAAACAGTCTGAAAAGTGTAGGGAGGACATGAGAGTTCGTGCATCATTAGACGCAAGATAAAAAAAAATAATCAAGGAGGCAAGCCACCAGGAACAACACAGCTAGGATGAAATCGCTCACGTGAACGTGCAAACGTTCCTTGAATCGAAGTAAAAGAACCCGCTCAGATAAAAACAAGAGCCCTAAAAAAGTATGCCCATCAAGAGCCGTAGATGATTCTTAGCTGAAGAGGAAGAACAAGCCGATGGTCAGCCCAGACACGTTGTCGTAAATTGATGCTAAGAACTCTGGAAGTTGCGAAAGGGTTTATTCCTTACTAGTCGGACCAGAGTTAGTGTGCTATGCCGTATCAAGTTTTATTGTAAGAATGAGTAAGACTTACCTTCATGGGAGCAAAGTTGCCGCCGTACTGGTGAGCAGGGGGGATGCCCATGTTAGGGTAAATGGGAGGGGGGGGAGCTGGGCGGTAGGGGGTTCCAGCAGGGCCCGAGTTGTTTTGAGAACGACCCCAGCTCAAGCGGACGCGAGAGTTACCAATGGGGTAGCCCTGCATCTGGTTAATGGCCATCTCCGCAGCGTGACGCTGAACGAACTGGACGAAACCGCAGCCCTTTCCAGGAGGGATCTTGACGTAGGTAATCTCGCCGAATCCCTGGAAGAAGGAACGAAGCTCGTCCTCGGTGACGTAGCCAGAAAGACCTCCAACAAAGACGGTGGTGTTGTTAGGGTCAGTGAACTGGTTCATGGGCTGGGGGGCACCGTAGAAACCCATAGGAGGACCGCCCATGGCGGGTGGATAGATACCACCAGCAGGGCCAGGCATACCCATACCACCGCCAGGACCAACACCAGGACCCTTGTTCTTAGGCGTGGCAGTGGAGATGCGCATGGGACGGTTGCCACAGTAGACACCCTGCATCTCACTCAATGCGCGCTGCTGGTCGTTTTCGTCGGAGAAGCGAACGAAGCCGTAGCCACGAGACATGCCGCTGATGGGGTCAGTCATGATCTTAGCGGACTTGCAAGATGGGAAGCGGCTCTGGAAAAGAGACACGAGAACGTATTCGTTGACTTCCGGGCCAAGGTCGCCAACGAAGATCGAGTATTCAGGTCCACGCTCATCACGGCCGCGGTCAGCGAGACCACCTCCAGTAGCCCAGTTGAGCTTGAATGCGCGGGTGGTGTTTGGCATGGGGGTACCGTTGAGGGTGAGGGCCTTGGCAGCGGCAGCGGGGGAAGCGAAGTCGACAAAGCAGTAACCAGCGTTGCTTCTGCTGTCAACATTAGTTCAACTTGAAAGGTTGGGCTCAAGGAAATGCTCTTACCCGGAAAACTTGTCGCGAATCATCTTAACGTTGACCTGTTCGCCCATCTGGAACCACAAGTTACGAATGAAGTTCTCATCAATCCAAGGCTCAAGTTCACCCATCCTATCACAACGTTAACATCCGACCATCATTCGAATTTTTATGATCCAAGCATACCAAAGAGTGGTCTTGCCCTCACCTCCCTGCTGAGGAACTGGCGCAGCATTAGGTTCACCAGGAGTGCCGCTGGCGAAAGGCGCAGGGGAAGGGTCAGCTTGACCGGTCATATTAGTGTCCGCTGGAGCTGGAGCACCGGTGGGAGCGCCGGCGTCCTGTTGGTTCTGGAATTCGTAGTTCTGGAAAGACATTTTTGATAACAGTTGAAATCGAAAGCGCGCAGCAAACTGAGTCAGACAATCACTTTTATGATTCCGTAAAAATGGCTGTGGCGATTTTCGAGAATTTGCACGAGAAAAGATCGCAGGCGAATATGGCAGAAATCGTAAAAGCTTTCGAAGACGCGATGTGGTATCTTACTTCCTGCGTGGGGCAGAGGGCTGATTAGTCACAGACAGGCTGAAGGATAATTGTCAAGACGAAAAATAGAAAGAACAAGCAAAAGATTGATGACAAATAGAATGGTATCAAAGTCGGGAAAGTTTCGCTGTGCAAGAAAGGATGTTGAAGAGCTGATAGCTGTTAAATATTGAATATCCACGATGGTTCTGACGTTGCGATAACAACTTCTCAACAGCGTGCGACGTAACGCAATCGCACAAAGTCTGGTTATTTTGAAGCGACTTGGCTGGATTGAGCCAACACGTGCAAGGCTTGAGCTGAAGCTTGCCAGGCTTTGGTCTGTCGGTCGCTGTCGGTTCCGTTTCCGGCGAGACTTTCACACAGCCGACCCAGCGAGCGCGGGCGCGCGGGCGGGCAATCGGCTTGGCTACCCGGTATGGTCCGCGCGCCTCTTTCAATTGATGCACCATGGATGATTGAGCTGAATTGCATAATGTTGGCGTTTCCATCCATGAAGTCGCGGTCCAGCGACAAGAGCTGGGTACGTTTTCAATCGCCCATTTGGCGGGTAGCCGATAACCCTTCCCACACCCCCCCTCCCCCCTTTCTTTGCTGAGACCGCTGACTTTTACGAGCGCACGGTCGCGACTGGTTGTTTCGACCGTAAATTTGCTCAATGGAGTCGCTGATGGCATGCAAATCGCGATAGCTCGATAGTCCGGTGATTTATTGTGATGTGTGGTAGTTGTTTTGTGTTGATGTTGACATCCCTCTCTCGCGAATAGAATCGCAAAACATCACCTCACGCAAGAAAAAGAAACGATGCGAGAAAAGAAAAAAAGAAAAAGAAAGTGTACATCATGAAAGCGACCAATAAAAAAAAGAGACTTACCGAATTAAAATTGAGAATCGAAGATGATCAATGAAGAATCAATTTCTTTATCGATGCCAAAAAGACGACAAGAGGGAGAGATAGATAGAGGGAGGGAGGGGGTTTGTGGAGGGGAGGAGAGCGACCGCAACTCAAAAAGATAGTAGAAGTCCTGGCAAAGATTGGATGACGATAAAAACAACTCCCGCGACACTAAGGAACACGAAAATGTATACAAGGGGGGGGGAGAAGAGCGATTACTAATTTCTGCAGGAAAAATGAAAACGAAGAGAAGAGAGGAAAAAGAAAAACTCCGTCCGTATTCCGCGAAAGAACAACGAGAGAGGAAGAAGGATGGAAGGGGAGAGGGAAGAAAAGAGAGAGAGAGAGAGAGAGAGAGGAGAGAAGAGAGAAAACAAAGCAAGGAAATTTTTTAATCCAGGCGAATGGAATAAGCGGATGGATGGAGGGGAGAAGGAAGGAACGAAGGGCAGGGCAGGGCAGCGCCAGGGAAGGAACGATCGGTGCGGTGCACCTGTTGAATCTCGTAAAAGGAAGGAACGGCCGGGAATGGAGAACTCGGTTGGCTGAACTTTTCGCGTTTGTGGTCGGCGCTGTGAGTGGCCAGGGCCAATACAGAGCATACATAAAATACGTAAAATACATGCAATTACGGACACTTCGTATCGGTAATGAAAATTCCGACAGGCTGGGACTGACGAGCCGATCTATACGCATTGTCTGCAGACACAAGCAGTATTGTTTAGAACATGGACAGCAGAAGCAGTAGTACTAGTAGTAGTAATAAAGAAATAATCATGAAAAAGAAATAGTGTATTCCTATATTCGCATCCCCTGGATATTGGTAGCTGGACCGCCTGTTGGATCAATGTATGAGGCTTATGGAGACCAGTCGTGATTAACGATGCAAGTCATGGCACCGATACAGTTAGCCTGAAACGGCCCCGGCTCATGATGTAAGAATCTGCAAGGATCTCTTCTCTTTTTGTTTCACTATTTCTGCATAGTCTACACCTAGTCAGTCATAGTCAGATAGGCATAAATGTTGTATTCTCAAACACGACAAATCCCATGCAAGGAACCTGCAATTGCATACTACATGCTGTATGTATAGCTAGTGTATATATGTATGGGCAGTCACGCACAAACTATCCCGGGCAGAAGATTGGATACATCACATCTTGGTAAATTAGCCAGCATACTAAGTACGTGCGTGCGTCGGGTATCGACTGCGGTGGGGTTCGTTATTCGCAGTAATACACACTGAATAACTTACAGTGAATAATGAACTAGAGGTGCGCATCCATGGAAACATGCAAGACCCCCCCCCCCCCCCC